TTTATCAATCCAAATCTACGATCAGACTCATCGCGCGTACGAACTGATTAAAAAATCCAATCAACCGCACGCGCACACGCAACCCTTCAGAAATGGAAGACAGAACAATGAGAGACGCGCATCATCAGGCGATAAACTTTTCATTTCATCGACTGACAGTAGAAAAAAAAAAAAAAAAGAAATCACTACTCGTGCGGCTTCCTCAATCGCTTTTAAATGAATCTCGAGTGGTTTTCGCCCACATATAATCCGAGCGAAAATGACGGTGGCGGTGGTGCAAACCAACTGGGAATCGTAGCCGCACAAAAATCGACTCTCTCTCTCTCTCTTCCGTGCGCGCGTCGGTGTATCTTGTTGCCAATGGCTCTTTTGTCCGAGCCTTTGATTTTTATATATGCTTGTAACGTTTTTGCCCTTTAATCTTTCCACCAATCCTACAACCAATCTCTTGGGATGCATCAGCTTTGGATTTTTCGTGATTGTACCCGATGCTTGTTCTCTGCGTTGATTTATATGTTGCTCTTTGAAAGTGAAATTACGAAAAATGATTATTATTAAACGAGATCGCATCGATAAGGTGTTTTATAGTTGAAAATTTCACCGGTAGATGATTTCAAGAACTACTTTATCTGCTTGAAGTAAGACTAGATTATGGATATTGAACTTCATTTCGAGTTACTTATTTGATGATTTAAAGATCACCTCGATCATTCCGTTGAACACCGTTCGATCAATCAAAAACTTTCATTGGAATAATTTTTCAAATAATATTATTATGTACATATGTAAAAATTAACAATAAAAATTTACAATATTATATAATCTGAACTTAAATTACATTTTAATCTACAATTTAATTACGGCACCTTTGCCTTTTGAAGCAATTCCTAACAGCACGTCCTCATTGGACAATGTTTAGTCGATCTTCAAGCTATAGATGTAAAAAATGTTATCCAACTCAACGTCAGTTTTCAAAGTAACAATTTAGAATACGAATAGTTGAGTAAATGATGGAAAAAGGTGAATTGTTTAATATTATCACGCATATTCTGGGATGCTGTCGATCTTTGAACTTGGTAAAAATATTTTACCATATATTTTCAAACAATCAAAACCTGTTTTTGACACATTTTAAATACAATTTCAAGGATGCGCACACTTCAGCCCGCACGACGTGAAAAGAGTACAAGCAACAATGCAAATGTCGAGAAGAGAAGACGCGAAAAAAGAGCTGCGAATAGGCGTTAAAGCCCCTCGCGTGCGAAAAATCGATGACGTTTGCTCCTTGCTGCATACGTATACACGCGCGCGGAGAAGTTGACTCTTCGCTTAATAGAGTCGTCGTGTTGACCCCTCTCTTCGTGTTCCTGTACGCGCGCGCGGATAATCGACTGAAAATAACCCCTAGAGAGAGGCTCTCTCGTACAACGAGTAGAAATGAGAGAGTAAAGAGCTCTTGCTCTTCGTGTTGGTTGGTATGGTATATAACAGCTGGGGAAAGGGAAATGGGAGAAGGTTAATGAGGAATAGTGCACCAGATGGAATCGTTCTCTCTCTCTCTCTCTCTCTCTCTCTCTCTCTCTCTCTCTTTCTCTTTCTCTTACTCGCTTTACCATCAAAATTTTCAGTTGTGATTATAGCTTCGTCGTAACAGTTTTTTTGTCGGTGATGGAAGTGATATTAGGGTGTTGGAATGGAATTACCTTCATTTAATTTGAAATAAATATGCTCGTTGTGGTATAGGCGTGGATAATGAACGTTTATAAGTTATATTTCCATGGTTTCAAACTATACGAGGCAATGAATATTGACCAGATGGAATCAAGAAGAATATGGCTTTTTGGCATTTATTAATATGATACTCGAATCAATTTTTATAGATCCAAAAATATTTACTAATTTTTTTGTATTTCTTTTATATTACATCAATTAGTAACTTCGTCTTTAAAATCAGTATTTTTTTATAAATTTCATCGTATTTTTGCTTAAGTGTAAAAAGATAATCATACTCGAAACAGTAAACTTTTCAAAATCTCACTTTAAAATATTTCATCTTATTATGAAAATCAGCGATTCCAAATTCTTAAATTTATAAAAAAATTTTAATCCTTTAAATTATGTTTAGGAAATAATTTTCAAATTTAACATTACTTTAAAATCGAATATTAATTATTTTACTTTAATGCTTTTAAAATGTTAAAAATTGGATTTTGCTTCCCAATACAAACGTAGTTGCTTTGTTAGTACTATTTAAAGTCTGTCATCACGTTTACTAATGCCATCGTCTTAAATATTACGATATTAATAAATATTATTCTGTCGAATGCAGTCTACCTTTATTTCGTTAGGAAAGTCGATCAAATAGCCACTGTTAATTTGACTTACAAGGAGTTTAAAAAAAATTAGCTTTGTTTCTCAATCATATGAAACTGCTGAACATCCTGAAAAAAACTTCATATAAAGAACTTAAATTACTAAGTGACAGTTTTACCTCCAAAGAATCGTTTAAACAATCGTCACATTTTATTTCTAAGCTCTTTCAGTTTCGAAATCCAAATAAAAAAAACTGAAAAAGCTTCCTCATAGAGCACCGAGGCATTCAATCCAAAGTTAGCCTACACAAATTCAAACTTTTTTAAAGCGCTAATTTAACGCTGTCCATGCGCCTGCAAATTTAGTTTGCCTGAAGCTCGGTGCTAGTCTTCGGCCATTTGAGAACTCGCTAAACATTCAACGGACATTTAAAGCATTTCTGGAACGTCGAACGAAATATTCGACTTTTAGAGAGAGGGAAAATGTACATTGAAGTGGAGTGTTCACGCCCGATGCATTGTGTGCGTACGCGAGAGAAAGAGAGCTGGAGCTATCTCGACTCGTCGAGCTCACTTTAATATCCTGATTAAAGCGACCGCCGGTGCTGCCAGTAGCGAGCGCGCGATGAAATCTAAAGAGATCGTTTTTCTCTAATTAAAAAGGCCTTTGAAAAAAACTGCGAGAGAGGGGTAGTGCCACTCAGCTGTGTGCGTGTGTGCGTGTGTGCGTGTATATGGTTGGATGACCGGAGTAAGCGGCCGTTTCCTCGCAGGGCAATGCTTGGCCGCGCCGCTGTGATTACTGGCTGGGATCTCTTTTCTCTTTTTCCTTTTTGCTATCTCTTCACACTGCCCCTTTTTTCTTCTTCTTCTTTCTAATTTCTCGTTTTTTCCGACCTCCGCTTTCATATTTTCTACGCTGAGAGAGTTTTTTCAGATTTTTACTATCTTGACGCAGAGAACGAGAGTAGGTACTTGCCGCTACGCGTGCTGACGGTTTCGCTGAAATAGCACCGATTGTTCGCTACTTTCCTTTTTCGTTCCTGCGGGATGATTAAAAATTGAGTTTTCAAAAAACGTTTTTCTATATTAAGTCAATTTAATAATTTTAAGCATTAATGACGGCCAATCGGAAGCAGAACGTAAGTTCCATGTGTACAACAATGTTTAAAAACATAATGACATCATACCAATTGAACTAAGATATTTTTCCAACTTATTTTTAATTACGCATTGGATTTGCAAGTCCATTGAACACTACACTGTAAAAAGTTTTACTTAAGTTGAACAGCCACAAAATTGTAGTCGTTTCGAGTTAGTACCTATAATTATCTACCGCGTTAGTGAAAAGTTGCTGAACATAAGAAAAAGGCTACTCAAGAAAAAACATGTCAATTGAATTTCCTTTGCACACGTGCGAAGGGAGAACAAATCACGAAAATTAGTTAACTATTCGACAGAAAGGCACAAGCCGTTTAATCAGCGAGTAATCAAGTGTTCGCACAGTAAAATTAATCGTCATTTCGCCGGGGTGAACGCGCGCGCTTTGTTCTGCCGGATAGAGGCAGCCGCACAAGAAGCTGCCATTGCTAGTGCGGCGTCATACCGCGCTAGAGAAACATGAAAAAAAAGAGAGAGAAAGAGAGAGGGAGAGAAAGAGAGAAAAGCTTCTCTGAAACACGCGAAATTACTCAGCACCTAGCGAGCAATTTAACCGGAAGCGATTCTCAAAGACCAACTACGGATACCTACTAAGCTTTCGCGGAAAAAAATGAGGCGTACTATACGTATTACAATATCCTAGTGTTTGTCTCTTTTGAATTTTTTTTTTCTTGTACTTGGCGTGTGCAATCGCTGAACCCGTCTCTGTTAGTTTTTCCTCTTTTGGTTAGATAGAGAGAGAGAGAGAGAGAGAGAGAGAGAGAGAGAGAGAGAGAGAGAGAGAGAGAGCGAAGCTAAGTGGATTGCTTCCAATACGTAATGGAGGAACGATCATTCCGATTTGCCGAGTCTAGATTGAGACTTTTACGGGTAAAAGGGACTCGCTTGTGAAGTCTCTCTGGCTTTGGCCTCGTGATTAATTTCACAGAAACTCGTGCTCACCAAGCTTTTGCCAAGAGGCTCTTGCTTGTGCGTCCATGCGAAATGCAAGAGCCTCGGTCAAATTGAAATATTCGTTGTATGTGTAGCCACAAAATATTTTTTACAATGTTCACATTCGAAAACCATGAAATCGATAAGTAAGTTTAATATTAAATAGAGTACAGGCAGAACCAACGTGTCTTATCAGCTCCTACTTTACATGTTATCTCGAACAGAAGTAAAGATATTTCAATCGTTCGAGCAATAACTTCCTTTTAAAAAGCCAAATTTTCAATTCAGCAGCCGGAAATTAGCCAAATCAAATGAATAAGACAATTATGCCCCGTGCATTAACGTGCAATAATTTCCATACTTGTACCTTAAACTTTACAATCATCGATCATATGATAAAACGAGTTACATCATCGTCGTGCGATAAAACACGTTCCGGGCCCACTATCGTTCATTGTATCTTTGTAACAATTGTGTACACTGTTCTACCAATGTGTGATATTTAAAAGAAGAAAGCGTAAAGAAGATTGTCTTACACTTTTTTTTATCTCGTTGATCAAATAGTCGTACATCTTCCGACGGAATTCAGTTCACGTCCGGGTGAACAATAAAGGCTGCAGCTGCATAATGGTACACGCAGTTCCATTTTCACTGTTGGTTAGTGAGTATACGAGAGTAGGAGTGTTGCTATTGCAGATCATCATGAAACCTATTATGGTCTTTTTCGTTCTATGCTGCTATTGCTGTTTGGCAGTTTATGCTGTATGTATAAAATTATTTTTATTTAATTGAAAATCCTAAAGGCCAATAATAAACAGTGTTAGGATTATAAATTTAACGATTGTGATATGTACATGACGTTTTAATTGTTTTTCTTTTTTTGGAAAATGTTATTGAAATATTTCTTCACTTAACGTGCTTTATATTAGTGATATTATCAGTTAAAGATATTGTTGTGCGTATGTTGAGTTTCATTTCGTTTTAAAATACACAGAAAGATATAACTACACCGAACAAAAAAGCAGTTCTCTTGTTTAAAAACCTATTTTGTCAGCTTATATTAAATTACTGCTAAAGTGACAGAAATAATCAATTAATGTTATTTCTAGAGTAATGTGACAATGACAAATGATGAACGTGATGAAAACATACAGACATGCCTAGCTACCACAAGATTAAGCCAAGGTAAACAGATAAAAGTCGCATAATATTTATTTATATTCTATCATTGCTTAGATGTTCTCTTATACATTCACTGATTGCGGTAACGTCTGTGGTTGAAAAAAAATGTCCTATATTGTAGTTTCCTTCAAAAGTGGTGACGACACATTAAAGTATCTGACTGAAGAACAAAAATCATGTTTCTTGGCTTGTATGTTCCTGAAAATTGGTATTGTAAATATCCAAATTACTTAGCATTATTCGGTGTCAGTAAGAAAATTAAATATTTTTTTGATTTTCCCTTTTCTATTTTAGATACAATACAACGGTACCGTCAGGTCAGTCACCGAGGAGACGGACATAACCACTGCGAACGCAATTGACAAATGTCAATCATTAGGTTTTTTTTCATCTACTTTTTCACGATAATCAATTGAACGCAGAATAAAATTTTTAATAATATTTTCAGCTGAAGAAAACCTCTGTAAATTGGCATGGTGTCTACACGAGAAGAATATGTTTGGTATTCATATTATCTTCGACTAAGCTCCCTGATCTGTACAGCCCACAGTAATATTTAATGATATTTAATAAATTATATAAGAAAAGTATTATTCAAAATCTATAGTGACATGATTTTTATAAAGCATTATAATTGGTACAAATAAATTTTCTTTTTGTAATACTATCAATTCAAATGCAATCAGTATTAATCAGTTTTTTTATATAATTTAAAATTAAAGTGACTATTTATTAAAAACCACACTTTCAGATACACCTAAACATATAACTCCACCATAGAAGTACTAAAAATGTGCACACCCTTATTTAGATACAAAGACGCAAGCAATGAGCAATCGTAAAAAAAGCGAGCGCAGTCACACGTTACCTTTTCAGTCATCGCTTTCTTAAACAATTCGTTGATTAGCGCGCGCGTAAGAGGCGAACGCGGAATTCTTCACCCGCATCCATCCGATCGGACGGATTTGAATGCTTTAGGGGTGAAAAAAAAGCAACGTAGTCGCTTGCCGAGGGACAGGCATAGTAACAGCTCGAGCAATTACAGGTTTTTGAGTGACAGATGCTCGCCCCGCCAGTCGTCGCAAGATTAAAACAAGTAATCAAAGCGCGCGCCCCGGATGGATATGGATGGATGCCCCCTCTCTTGCCGCTTTTGGAAGATATATGTATATACATTTCTTATGCTTTTCTTGCTTTTTCACATTCACGCAGTGAGATTTTTTTCTTGTTGACGAATTAATGAGTAGACGAGCATCGTTTCTCTAGTGATAAATAATTCACCGTTTTTACGTTAGCTTTCAAGTGATTTTTTTTGCCTTTTGCTACGTCTGCAATTTCAGTCATGTTACATTTTTCAAACTGTAGTATTTTAGGTATTTGCAAATTGAAAATAAGCGATTAGATATTATTAATTTGTTTTACGACGTTCGACCTGGGCTTACTATTTATATGAAGTAATAATTATTGATACATAATCTGACCTGGAAAATAACTGACTGACAACCACCAGAGAAAATTGAATAAGACGAGACGAAATTCGTTTAGAATAATTAAAAAAATTAAATCTAAAAAACTTTTAAAAAAGAGAAAAAAAATAGACGACTCTCGGCCACATAATCACAATGGACCTTCGTACACAATGACAACTCTTGACTGACCAATCAGTCCATGAATAGCTGCAGAGCGTGATCGCGCAGAGTTCCCCTTGATACATCCAACAATACACATAAAATAAATGTTCGTCTAAATATGCCTTGGTCCTCGAAAACCGCACAGTTGCCAGAGCTCATCTATATATATATATCCCCCATTTGACTATTGTCGAACCCCCGGCGCGATGTAAGGGTCCCGGGACATCAACTTGCGCGTACGCTTCACGTTTACTTGTTTTTGATTCAATATACAAGGAAATAATTTGCATCGGAGACATATTTTGTTTTAGCTCTGATATAATAGATACAGTTTCGAGCTTCGATAAGTTTTTCTTTGCAAGTCACATAAGTTTCATCTCTCTATATAAATAAATAAGTTCGAGTAAGGTACAAAAATTTGTTAAAATCGTATTAATGACAGACCGGTATGATCTAGAGAATATTTATTAACTCTTGTAATAATGAAGAATACCAAACTCTCATCGTCGCTGAAGTGTCTGTGTTCGTTGAAGTGTTTTGTTTAAAACGAACAATCACTTAAAATTTCATAGTATGAAATCATCATTTGTTTTATTTTTATACGTGCTATTAGTTTCATGCAAACTAGACTATATTTACTTATGATTTGTGATATAGCTAAGTAAATAATATCTTCAAATTTGAACAAATTTCACATTGGATTAACCGCAGAGAGTACCGATCAAGATTTGGTACTAAAGCAGCCGTAGCAAGAGTATGCACTAACAAATATAAAGTAGATCTATATTAAACTACTTATATTTTTTTAAAACGCTGCTTATTGTATTCCAATACTATGTTATTGTGATACGTCAGTGTGAAAAATTGAAAAAGAAATTTAAAAAAATGAGGTCAAGCTTTTCAACAAACAATAAATTAACGCGTATATACTTTTTAAACTAACAAAGTTTCAAAGGAACACTTAAAGAACACAACTTTTTTCTAAGTACATTCGATATACTTACGCTAAAAACCGAAACGTCACTGGTTACGTTTATTAGATTTTATTGGAGAAATAAATTTTTAAATATTTAAAAAAAAATGCATTTGAAATCTTAAATATTTGCCACAATTTATACATTTCGGCAGTTTATAAAAGGCACAATGTTCTATGACTACAAGTTACCGTATCTCAAACTATCGGAAAAACCAAAATTGAAAGCTTTTTTAATGGCTGTAGAAACAAAAATTACAATTAGATATAATTTTTTTAATTTATCAAATAAAATAGAGTTTTGCTTTTATAAGACAGAATTTTTGCTTTCAGCTCACAACAACATTGATAGATTGATTACCTGCTATAAAAATATCAGAAAATATTGAAATATGAAAGAAATATGAAATATAAAGTTACTATCAGATGTAAAACTGCTTTTTGATCAAGTAAATAAAAACTGCGAAATCGACGTAGTTATATTTAGATTTATCAAAGATAATAGAACCCCGTCGTACCAAAAAATAACGTGATTTGTAACGCGACGAATCACGTGATGTTTTTTAGCTATGCATGACAAGGACAGTGAATCATTCATCGCCGAGACCAAAATACTATTCTTATCTGTTTACGTGAATACACTGAATATGTACAAGCAGCTGTCTAGATTTCTTGATAAAAATATTGATAACGCTATTCGGTCATAGGCTAATGACTGAAAAAATCTTTTTTCAGAACAGTATGAAATCTACAGCTTCACGTTTCATTAGCATTTTACAAGAACTAATGCAAAACATATCAAATTATTATAATATGAATTTCGTGATTCAGTAAAAATTTGTGACATTTATTTAATTGGAGGTAGTATTTTAGAAACACTAAGACTAGAATGTCAAACACTTTTGAAAATTCACAACCTTCGAAATGTAAAACATAGTGTTTAATGAGCTTAAAATTTTACTTAAACTTAAAGTTTTCTTAATATTATTTCTAGGTGGATACATACCTCAAAGATGGATCACCGTGATTTTAGGATTTTTAAGCTTTATCAATGCCTACAGCATGCGAGTTTGCTTATCAATAGCCATTACAGAAATGGTTTTGCCACCCAAGAATACTGGAATAGTGAATTCAGATGAAACTTGTGTTGAAAATTTTAATTACAATAATACGCATGTAAGGTCTGCCAATCGTTCAGATGATGTTCAATATGATTGGAATGAATATACTCAGGTAATAGAAAACTATTATTACTCCATCCGGTTTCTCAAAGCTACTGACTTTAATATAATTACGTTCAAGCATTGATAGGTTGTTTCTTATTTTCAGGGAGTGATACTCTCTTCCTTTTACTGGGGATATACATGTACTAGTGTACTAGGTGGCATAATATGTCAAAAACTAGGCGGCAAACACACTCTTAGTCTGGGGGTTTTATTCACATCACTATTTACACTTCTAATACCCTACTCCATTGAGTGGGGTGGCGCCACAGCCCTTATTATTTTGCGAGTAGCCACTGGTCTCGGAGAAGGCACATCATATCCAGCAATGGCTCATTTATTTGCTCATTGGGTGCCAGAGGATGAGCTTTCAAAGGCCGGGACTGTGGTTTTTAGTGGTGCGCCGTTAGGTACCATTTTCGGAATGTTAATTTCTGGGATTATCTTGCAACATTCGCACTACGGTTGGCCGATAGTGTTCTATTTCTACGGTAGCGTTGGACTAGTTTCATTTCTCTTCATTGCAGCATTCTGCTATAGTCAACCTAGTGATAATCCATATATTTCCCACAAAGAATTGACATATCTACGAAATAAAATGAGTATGTAAACATAACAGGCAATGCATTAAACATATTGAATTTTACGATAATGAAATTCCATACAATTTTTCATAATAAATACAATAATCTTTTAGAAAATACGCACAAGAACGTACCACCCACACCTTGGCGATATATCTTAAAATCTCCACCAGTTTGGGCTTCTTTTATAGCGAAATTTGGCAATACTTGGATATTCATGACAGTTGTCAGCGATATGCCAAAGTACATGAGCAGTGTCTTAAAATTTTCTGTGCAAGACAATGGTTTTCTATCATCCATACCCCATCTGTCGACGTGGATAGGTGCTACACTCACTTGCTGGATCGCTGATAAAGTGATCAAAGAAGGAACAATGTCGATCTCACTTGTAAGAAAAGTCGGATGCACCATCGCCTCGCTTGGTCCTGCAATATTTCTCATCGCAGCTTCTTACGCTGGCTGCAACAGGCTTAGTGTAATTGCATTACAGTCTACTGGTTTAGCCCTCGTTGGTTGCGCTTATTTCAGTGTGTTTGTTAATGTACTAGACTTGAGTCCAAACTATGCAAGTTCAATAGAAGGTCTTGGTAATGGAATCGCGGTTATCAGTGGCGTGTTAGCTCCGTACTTAGTTGGATTGATAACTCCCAATCAAACGATGAGTGAATGGCAACTAGTGTTCTGGATTGTATTTGCAATCGCTGCAACGAGCAACGTAATCTTTTTGATTTTTGGTACTGGACAGGTACAAATATGGAATGATCCTGGTTTCTTGATCGAGAAAAAGATCGCGATCACAAACGAAATTAAGGAAAGTGTACATCTATTTCATATAAATAAACAGTAAATATTGCATTAGCAACTAATTTTCAAAAAACGCAAATTTTTCAAAATGTTCAAAGTATTGAAGCCTATTAATATAATTTTAAACCAGCAACAAATTTTATAAATAGCTCAACATATCCAGCTACATAGCTCATTTGCTAGCATATTGCATTCTTAAAGATTAGCATTCAACAGATGATTTAGTAATTTTTAGCGGTGCACTGTTAGGTACCATTTACGAAGTGAGAATTTGTGGTGCTATCTTGTAATAATTAAAAATCGTCTGACTTATGATTTTTACTTATACGGTAACACTGAACTCATTTTGTTTATATTGCCATCACTGCGTTGTTACATTTTACACTATGGCAATCCATACATTTCTCAATTGGGAATATAATGAACCATCCTTTTAAAGCCATATTAAAAAATCGAATCTCTTGCAACTTTTTTATTGTTTTCCTAAAAAATATAGCTAAAAACATACAACCCATACCTTGACAGCATATTATAAAAATGAGACTTCATTATAGCGAAGCTACAGTAGAGTTTGGTAGCATTTGAATATTTTTGAATGCTGATAAAATCATCAAGAAAGGAAAGGTACCAAAGGTCACAAGAAAAGCCGGTTCCACCATCACCTCATTTGGTTCACAATATTAGTCCTCATGACTTCTAATACTGGTTGATTCTATATTTTTATATAAGAACAGAGTTGTCCACAAAAATGCAATCAAACAAGGTATTCACAAAGGACCTTTAATAGACTACCTATCAAAAAAATTGTTCAATAATTTAAACAAATTGTTAAACAATGTAAAATTTTTACTAAAAATAGCCAAATTGAACAGAAAATCAACACACGCGCAAAAAAAAAAAACCTCAACAAATATCTTTGCACGTTTTTACAATTAACAAAAAAAGTGTCAAAAGGGCACGCCTCCATTACTCTTAGCGCACTACTCTCGCTAATTCTATACATCCTCAAGCCGTTTGATCTCAGACGCGAGATAGTCAACAGTGCATGCATTTTTATTTCACGCCTGTGTACTCACCGAACACAACAGAGTACATACTCCTCAAAAGACGTGGCCTTCTTTTCTCCATGATATCCTGCCGATATGTTCATTACTCTAACAAAAAAAAGTCAGAAAAAAAATTCGCACAAGCATGCGACACTTGGGAGGTATGTTCGCGTGACACAAAAATACAAGGTCTTCAGTTCTGTGACTTAGCTTTTTCGTTGTGTCTGCTATCTCTTTGAGAGGTGGGCGCATATACACTTAACTTATCGGTGCTTCGTCATCTATAACGAGAGTGCAGTTAATTTACACCTGCGCAGCAGCTAAGTAATGTGTACTTTGGAATGCTAATGAATTGAATTCTAAAAACTTGCTATTTTTGCCGTTAAATGAGATTTGATACTCTGTCTCTGATATGCTACCGTGACAGACAATGCTTTCTAGATTAAAATATGTTTCGCAAATAGACGATGAAGTATTGAATTGTTATTTCTTTGAGCGACGGTACCATCTTTAGTTCCTTTTTCCGATACCGTTTGCAGTATAAAGTACTTATACAATTAAATTCCTCTTATATTCTTTAAGCTCTTTCGATTCCTTTCGCAACCGTATGTGATTAACATATAAAATAATATAAAACTATATAAAACTTGATAAAATTATTCCACACTTGGCTACTGTGTACTTAAGAATTTATCAATAATCGATATTTTCTATTAAAGTCGGATGATTTAATGTGATCTGAAGAATCATCCAGCAGATTTGAAAGAGTTATTTTCAGTAGTAGAAGAAAAAAATCAGAAACATAAACGATAAAATCAATTCCCTTCGAAGAAAAAGAGGCCATGCCAACGTCGTCTTTCCGGCAGCTCTCGAATATGATTAGTCCTAAGAGACTACCATAGAGTGACGAAGAGCTTGGTAGTGGATTGAATCTTGCGTGGGGTATAATATATAGGAGAGAGAGAGAGAGAGAGAGAGAGAGAGAGAGAGAGAGAAACGAAGGAGAAAAGAGCCGCAGGATGAGCCGTTTATCTCCGGCGTCACTTTTCAGTTTTTTACCCTCATCCCTGGGCGTCTTAACCCTCGAGAAAATGCTCTCTATCTCTCTCTCTCTCTCGTCTACGGTTGCTTTATCCCATCCTTCAGGGCGTTACCACCATTGCTCGCGCGAATAATAAGCTCTCCTCGTTGGCATTCTTTCTCCTTTTTCTTCCTTTTGTCAACTTATTCAGCTTTCACCTCTTTTACCTCCTGAATAATTTTTAACATGCTCGAGGAAAAAGCTCGCGTCGCGTTATACAGTCGTCTTGTCAATTTGTCCTTATTAATCCGTGAGAATGGGATGATGGATGCGATTACCCTCTTTCCTTTCACCACTGAATATACGAGTTTCTCTCTTCGTCTTGTTACGGTATCGTTGTAAGTAATAAGGAATTTTTTAAGGTAATGATGACGAATATTCTTATTCTCATAAAAACTCACAAAGTAATTTATTAGGAAATAACATGACACTGTTGCGATTTAAATGAAAGTCTGTACATTCAATGATTACATTTTTAATGTTGAACTTCTTTAATCTATAGATAAAAATATCACTCATTCGAAATTAAAATAAAGGAAGTAAAATTTTGGAAGTATATGAATCATCGAACAGCAGTAATAAAATCAAGAAATCTTATTCCATAAAACTATTATTGGATATCACGACAATAAATGCACAAGTTTTTAAACCTTGTGATATTTTAATAATTGATATGTATTATATTAATCACTTTAGCACATTACTTATTGTATAACTTATAATTATTATAAGTCATAATAAATAATTAGAAATCTAATATAAAAAGTACGAAAACTTTTTGTCATGAGCAATGTCTTCAAATTGATTGTAAGTCAAAAAATCAAAATTAATAATTATAAACAAGAAAAAATAGTGGACGAGCAAAACTCATTTCTGTGATAGCAAATGATAAAAAAGCTCGCATGCTAAAGGCATTAGGAAGGCTTATAACAATCCAAGACAAACAGTAATCCATCATCGAGATACTTGTGAACTTAAAAATGAATAAAATGTAATTAATTGTTAGACATCTCAACACAACGTTATACTTTTAAAGCTTGGATAATTTCAGAGTGGTCCAATATTATATGTATATATTAAATTCTCAACTTAACGTTGAAATAGTTAAATTATACTAATGCTATTATAAAATGTCGAAAACGAAATTTTAAACTAAATAACATTAACTATAGAATTGATTTCCTTTTGTTGAAAGATCCGAACTTGTTGTAAACAATTTATAACTAACGTAATTTACATTATTAAAGTTTTCATTGAGCGATATATGAAACGTTCGTATAAGTATAATAAGCTTCAATAAATATAAGCAATTGTTAGTGTTTGATATGAAAAACATTATAACACGTTCACACCGGTGGCAGAAAAAAGTAATTATAACATTTTTATCATTTAATGACGTATCGTCGTATCGAAAAATAAAGTTATATATACATGTAGCCTCGAATGGAAGTTTGCGCCCGAGCGAAGCGAGGGTAAAAAGGTCACGCGAGGCTAACATTATTTTCTCGCACTAGTATCGAAATATACTATTTCGTTTTCGAATTTTGCAAAATATATGAAAAAGATCGAATGCCTCAAATATAGAATTTAGAAAATCATAATATAAACATGATAAAATTTAACAAGCTCAATGTAGGCAATTTCATTAATAGATAACAATTCAAACTATTTGGAAATTGACAATGTATGTATAAAAAACTTTATAGATTCAATGCAAATCGTGATTCGAATTTAAATTTTTTATTAAATCCAAACAACTATACAATGTTTAATTGAAACTAAATACAATTGTTTTATAAAATCGTAAAAAACAACTAATAAAGATACATTGTATGAAATCCTACATCATTATGTAGTTTGTTTTTTTTGTTTTTTAGCGATAAAATAATAAAAAAAGAAAATTTTAATGTTCGTACGATTTGAACATATTCCATTCGTACTATCATAAAAAATAGCACGTTTACTGATAATTTAAACATTTCAATGAAAAGCTCGTTGGAAAAATTACAAGCGTATGTATTTCAATGGTTAATTGTATTACTACCGGCCAATTAATTTATTTATTTAACATGGGGTCTCTTGTGGACATAATATTATAAAAATCCAATATTTAATACTTTTAAGTTAATTTTTACTATTTAGATGACAGATTTAAAAAAACTCTAGTAATATATAAAATTAATTCGTATCAAAATTAGATCAAAATTTTTCATTCACAGGTAAAAAAGATTCTGCAACATTATCTTCATCCGTAAGTATCTTCTGATTTTTAAAATTTGGATTATTCCATTCTTGCACATCCGCACTGCCGTAAATCAAATATACGAAATTGCTCGTGATAAAAAGAGCAAAAACAATCCAAAATACGATTCGCCACTCACTAATCGTTTGATTGGGTGTTATCACGCCAACAATGTAAGGAGACAGCATGCCACCAATGACGGAAATTCCATTGACAAGTCCCATAATTGAACTAGCGTAATTTGGACTTAAATCGAGAGCATTAATAACCAAGCTGAAGAAAGCACATCCCATAAGCGTCAATCCTAACGTCAATAGAGTAATCGCGAGAAAACCATCACATCCAGCATAAGAAGCTGCAACGAGAAATATTGCAGGACCAAGTGAGGCTATAGTGCAGCCGATCTTCCTTACACCGGTTATCGAAACAATCTGTTTGGTAATGACTTTGTCGGCAATCCAACATGTGACTGTGCTACCTATCCACATTGAGAGATATGGTATGGATGATAAGTAGCCATTGTCTTGTACGGAAAATTTCAAGACGCTACTCATGTACTTTGGCATGTCGCTGATTATTGTCAAAAATCCCCATGCATTACCAACTGATACAACGATCAATGCCCATACTGGTGGAGATTTTAGTATGCAACGCCAGGGTGTCGATGGTAGATTCGAATGCTTGTTTTCTGCAAATCAAATTAACGAATCTTTTCAAATACTTATATTAAAAACTAATGTTGAAATGTCAATTTTGATACACACTCAATTTTCTTTTTAGGTAGCTTAACTCCTCTTCCGTGATGAACGGATTGTCGCTTGGTTTACTGTAGCAAAATGCCGCATTCAACAAGAAAGACGCCAGTCCGACAGTTCCGTAAAAGTAAAACACCATCGGCCAACCGTTTTGCGAATTTTGCAGTATCACGCCAGAACCTAACATCCCAAAAATCGTACCCAGTGGTGCACCGCTGAAAACCATCGATCCAGCTTTAGATCGTTCGTTTTCTGGAATCCAATGTGCCAACAAATCGTTGAGTGCTGGATAAGCTGTGCCTTCTCCGAGACCCATAACTAGTCGCAAAACTATCAGTGCAGTTGAACTACCCCAATAAATACTTGTGGGTGTTATCAGAGTGAACAATGAGGTAAAAAGAATGCTTAAACCTAGAGTATGTTTTCCCCCAAATTTTTGACTTATGATACCGCCAAGTAAATTGGTAAATATGTACCCCCAGTAAAAAGAAGAAAGAATGAGACCCTAAAAATAAATTTCAACTTTATATATTTATATCTTATTACTTTCATAATTTGCGTTGTTTAGGCTTATAAGTTACCTGAGTATGTTCGCTCCAATCATATTTGGTTATATTGAAACGATTTACGTGTACGGAATATGTAGTATTACCATCATAATGTCCAGAACAAATTCCATCAGTAACTATTATAGTATCGTTGGGAGGCAATGTCATTTCGGTGATAGCTATAGATAAACAAATACGCATGGCATATTCATTGAAGAGACCTACAAATCCTAGAATCACGATAATCCATCTTTGAGGTATCTTCAAACCTACAATAGATGAAATAATATTACAAGAATGTACTTGAACAAAATCTATCATGGGAATTACATAAACAGTAAGAATTATGTCAACCTACAATTTTTTAATGACATTGCCCTATCTACCTGGTCAGAATACTTCAATTTATTTCTTCATTTGAAAACATAAGTAATTATGTGTCAATATGTAATCTGCAAAAAAACGAAACTAATTTAAAGAGCATACATTTTTTTTAGTAATATTTATTTTTATCATATCATTGATCTATGTTTTCTGTCTCACAAAACTCTATTACAAAAAGTTTCAAGTAACGATAGCTGTAACAAAATTATGATATAATTTCTTACATATTAATTTTATTGCATCGTCACTTGATCGTCACTTGAACTTTTTACTGGATTTAAATAAGAGTTTTGGTACAATTTCTAAAAGTTATTATTAAGAACTCATCTGCCAAATACTTATTTAAATTGATTTGTATAAATATGCATTTATATGATAAGCTATCGCTATTATTAAAATCGTTGGCATGAGACATCATTCATTCTATAAATGAGCACAAATTATTGTTTAGAATATTAAACATTTATTTGAATATAATACAACGAATCAAAATTAAATTTATGAGTTAAATTATACTAAAATAACACAAGTTACCTCAATTTTAGTAATTTGCGAAATACTATTATGTTTTTTATATAACAGATCAATATTTTTTTCAAAAAATATAAAATACTTACTAAATCAAATTTATGCATAACATCAATTCGTAGCCAATTTATGAACATCACAAGCTTTATCTATCAGATCCATCTACAAATTTATATCTTATTTTTATTAAACACTCAAATATATAAACAATGTTCAATGCATCTTCTAAAATAAAAACAATGGTAAAAATATTATTTCATTTTTAATTGTTTCTCATATAGGAAAAACACTATCAATAACTGGTATTGCTATTCAAAGTACAACTTAATGTATAAATAAAATTATTTAACTTGACTTTGAACTGATAGAACAGTGTTAGCATTAAAATTAGCATTATAAAAGGACTGTTCGTGAATGTATGTGTAGTTTATGAAAAATTGGGAAAAAACTTCACAAGATTCGGTTAGGTTTGATCTTGCATGCAAACTATGTTTGCACGTAAGCGCAAACGGAAACCGCCTAAATGGAGAAAAACCCTTGGTTGATTTACATTGATAAAATTTGCGTTCAATCGTGGTGTAAAGAAATAACAACGTGTTATGATTAATTGATTACAATTGATACTTAAAAGTATGCATATATATGTCGGATGTAAAAGAAATTGAAATTGGTTAATTTGTGGCTAACCGACCAAATGATATGTGAAATGAAACACGTGGCGTTGTGATGTCGATTGACTACTTTGTGGCTAGTCGACCAATATAATGTACGTAATGAATTGATAGTTTTTTAGTCGCTGTGGACTTGATTAACTATTTTATGGCTAGTCAACCAATGATACGTATAAGTGTGTGTGTAAATTGTGTTTGTGTTACCTGAGTTCGAGGAGGGTTTGTCTCGCGGCGATTGCTAAAATAGCACGACTTAAACAAAGAGAACTGATTGGAAGAATTCTTTAGAAACTAGAATAAATACGCGTCTATTAAATACTATTTTAATTGAAACTAATTAAGCTTAACTATACTACATTGACAAATTAAATGAGTTAAAGAAATTCTGTTTAACGAATGTAGAATTCAAAATGTGCGATTAGTTCGGACGAATGATTTATACTGCCCTGACCTCCGCAACTAACCGATAACGCGCCGCCACCCGAAACGCATACTCTCCCGTACTCTCCTTAAATAAGAAAGAAAGAAAAGTCTTATAGTTAGATCGTAGTTAGGCATGCTGAGTAAGTATATCGAGAAAGGAGAAGAGAAAAGAGAGAGAAAGAAATAGTACGTGGCCACTAAGAGAGACGAGAAAGCGCAACTATATTACAACCTTATACTTACCCTTTACTATATAGGAAATACTTTCGTCTTTCGACGAAACAAATAGAATAGAATTTCATATCTACGTACTTTATAACGCGAATTCCGATAAAATCACCTGTATTTTCTCGTAGATAATACTAAGATAACGGAATTCATCATTATTTGTGCTAACATGCCCTGTTTAAATCATACAGATATGTGTATGTTTTTTAAGCCATCACAATATTAAACATTTTTGATAATTGTGCGAATAAAAAATCTTCAAGTCGATATTACAAGCGATTTCTAGGATCTATTGAAATCTACTGAAACATAAAAGTAACAGTTGAAGTGGCATTCGCATTGTGAAATTAAATTTACTATAATAATGAATAACCGTTATGAGTCAATCTGTTTAAATAATTAAAAATGCTAGAAACGAAACAAGCGTAGCTTATCTTTATTCCCAATTTGTTTTAATAGACTGAATATTTAATAAAGTTTATTGGAAGAAGATCTATACAATTTATTGAAAAACTAATTTTAAAACGTTGAAGAAATAAGTTTATGGAAAAAGTGCTCTGCTCATCTCACAGTAAATAAAGGAAATAAACTCTAAAAATGTTTTTCGTTTATTCTGATATCTCGCATCATGTACGGCGCTAAAGTTTCTCAATAAAAGAGAAAATATTACACACACATATATACACACACATATATGATGACTTTCGTGGAACATACAAGTTAAAATTGAGATTATGAAACTTGTAGAAGTGAAAACAGTTTATCAGTACACACCAGCAAAGAAAATTTCATGCTTGCTATTTAACTATTTATTATAGTCACATTATAATTTTAGATAATTATATATTGTAAACAGTAATTACCCGTTTAGTTTAGGAGATAAGTTACATTGTAAATTTCTTGAGATGAAACGGTAACGGCTTTCTCGGACTGTGTCAACCGATCAAATGAGATATTACACAACATGTTGGATATCGTACCGTTGTGTGATTTTTCATGCGTGTTAGGTTTCAGTCTACATCGCAAGTTACATATAGTAACGCTTTTCCTTGAAAAACGTTGGTAAATGTAACGAATATCGTAACTTAGTTGCCTTTTTCTCGCAAGCGATTTTTTATTTCCAAAGTTTGAAGACGACTACAAGAAAAAGACTTGATTTTGTGTAGTTTCTTATTAGTTAGATAGTTGTTATAACTACTTTGATATCACTTGTTTCGTGTCTATGGTATAGAAATTTTCAATAACAATTTCTAACGAATATTTTTAAACATGCTATAGAAAAATAGGAACTTGTCCAATGATACTTTCATATGATATAAACAACTCATGTACATTCTAGAAGAGTATTTAATCTATCCAATCACAAACGTTTTTGTAACTATTTGAAATCAACTGATAACAAATAAATGAAAGCTAATCTATTAAGAATATATTTATTCAGACCTTGGTTCTATCTATTAATAAAAGAAATAAAATGAACATAACAAGCTTCTCAAGCGCGTTTTATACTCGCCGTCGGATTCAGAGAATGATATTTTCATTTGACATAGTCAAAAGAAAATGTCATGGTCAAAGAAAGAACATACTCATGAGTATAATAAAATAGCAATATTTACACATAATGTTATATGTAGACACAGCTTGATATAGAGTATTAAAAAAATTTTTTTCGCTATTTGATTGAAGAAATTTTCACTACTTAAATTGAATAAAACTTGAGCAAATACGCTTACATGTGTTTTTTAACTCCGGTCATGTTCATTCTTGTCAAATGTTTTTTTATTTCAAGGTGATTATTGTTATAATCACTTTCATTCAAACAAGTATCGTGTTAGAACGTTACTGTACTGTTCTGTGTTGATCAGTTGAATCACAATTGACAGATATATCCGAATTGCACACGAATTTAAAAAGATAAAAAATTCCAAACCAATATTTAATAATTAACGGGTATAAGTGAAACAAAACCAGTGCTTGAATTGGCGTTCAAGTATAAACTTCTCTCGCGTATTGCTTGCAATAACTTTTGGTACGGTATCTGAAAATATCGAAATGAAACATAAATAATACATAATAACAAGATACCTTCATTATGTACATTACGTTTGCATAAATATATATAATATGCCAAAAGTGCAGTTTATGAAAGATCTAATATATATTTATAGTTAACCGTTGAAAAAATTTGATATTTAGATATCGAACCTTCTAATTTTTAATATATCTAAAACTAGTTATTAATTTTAAGAAATTTATACTCTTTAAATCCAAATGAAGAAAAGTATACGTTAATTCTATTTACTTATCATCTATTTACTTATCATTAGTAGTAGTAGTAGTAGCGTAGTTAAAATAAAGTACATATAGAATAAAAATTCCATTTAATTTCTATTTGTTAGAATTATATTTCGATTCATCGAAAATAGTTTTTTTGTTAAAAATTTGAATGATTTGATAAAATAAGGATATTGTTATCAATGAAAAAGAATATTATCTTTTCTATTTTTTAGTGATAACTGTTTTGAATCATATTTTTCATAGCAAATTGATAAATGCAGATTACTGCTTGAGTACTATTTTTACAATAAACGTATTAAATGTAATATATAAGAACACATAAAAAAGTATTCTATTGATTATATAATTTGATATTGTAAAAAAGTGAATGTTGTCCTCATAAGATAAAACAATTCGACGAGCTAAACTTTTGAATTTTGAAAGTATCAGTTACTGAATTAAAATTTTTTTTTTTATGATTAGAATAATTTTGTATCATAAACATTTCTTGTACCATAAACAATTCTTTGACAAATTAAAAATTAAATATTCCGCGACTTGAAAAAGAAGCACCCGTCTCAACTCCCGCAGTAAGAATCCAAGGAAAAACTTGAGGGATCGTCGTCTGCCGCGATTTCAATCAGCCGAGCAAAAGAGCACGCATGCGATACGCAGTTGAATGGATAAAAAAGCGAAGAGGAGAGAAAGAAAAGCAATCTTGCGCCAGTTGATTTGATTCTTTGTGGCGGTTCCCCAATAAAAAAAGGAGCCCCCAACTGATATCCCAAAGAAAACGATGCGGTGGTTCGAGGCTATTGCGATTGACATTCGTGCACGCGAATCATTACAAAAGCCAGTGCCCAATTTTCCATTTGCTATTATTGTGTATTATTAAGAATTTGTTTTTTCACAGTTGCGATTCAAATGTTTTGCCAATGCCGCGGAGAAAATTGATTAGATAAAATTCATGACAAGTATTTTTTATTATTTATTGATGCCGTTTTAATGAAAAACTAGTACCATGCAAAATTCTTCAGGCTGCAATGGCCTAAAATTTGAAGTTATAAAAAACAGAACATGATTTTTTCCTTAATATTATCAAACAACAATATGTATTAAAACTATTTATTAAAAATAATCTGATAATTATCTAGCAATTAATTAATTTTCAATATATATTGCAGAAATAATCAGCAAAATCTATTATTATTATTTGTAACTAATTTTAATGAAGTATACGGATTAAGTTTTGAAAAGAATTAACCACAATATTGAGGTTGAAAATATTTTTTTATTGTACTTAATTAAGGCTTTATAAAAGTTATACAGTTGCAAAAATAAAAAACAATGAAACAATCGAGTTTGAAAAATTTTGCTCTATAAAAGTTATTAAAGTATAATCAGAGGGAAACAAAAGTCTCACTATTTCATTTAGTTGACAGACTTGAAATATTCTTTACTATCTTTTGGATTAGGTTTAATTGTTTTTGCTTCTGGTTGCCAATTAGCAGGGCATACCTCTCCATGTTTCTCTACAAACTGGAAAGCTTTGATGAGCCTTAAAGTTTCATCAACACTTCTTCCAACAGGCAAGTCATTAACTGTGATTTGTCGCAGAATGCCTTCTTTGTCAATGATGAAAAGACCTCTCAATGCAATACCTTGATCTTCAATAAGAACATCATATGATTCAGAAATTTTCTTACTCAAATCACTGAGCAGAGGATATCCTAAATCACCTCCTAAACCACCTTCTTTTCTTGGAGTGTTAATCCATGCTAAGTGACTGAAATGAGAGTCAATGGACACTCCTATGACTTGTGTGTTGAGAGCTTCAAAATCTTTGACTTTTTCGCTGAATGCTAGAAGCTCTGTTGGGCAGACAAACGTACTAAACAATATCAAACAATCAGTCAGCATAAATACAAATTTGTTTTGAAGGTACATTTTTTTAAATGATTTACTTACAAATCTAAGGGATAGAAAAATAAAACCACATATTTTCCTTTATAATCACTCAACTTAATGTCTTTGAAGTCTCCTTTCACAACTGCTGTTCCAAAAAAATTGGGTGCAGGCTTTGAAATTTGCAAGTTACCTAAGAGTCTTGAGCTGGCAGAAAAACATCTAACATTTTCTAACAATTGAGACTTATTTACTTTTGGTAATGTTGATGACGCCGTAGCTGTCTGAAATAGATTAATATACATTTAAATTTAATCAAACTTTCGTTATTCCACGAGTTGACAAAATTCACATATAAATAAAAATCCGATTGAAGCGTTTTCAAATGCCTATAATTTTTACTGTTAGCAAAGTTACTTACCAGTTTTTTAGCGTGTGGAATTAAATTAAGCAACAATCGTGACATTGTATAAAAAATAATTGACGATCGCAATTGTTCGTTTCACTAAACTTTCGATAAGCGGCGTCAAAAAATGCTGATTGCCGGAATGTAAATACATGCAAGGTTATGTAACCTCGATTAAATCTATCCAGATTAGACATCATAACCGCGATGTTTTTCTACAAGATCGACTGAGCTTTGTAAAAATTTAATAGCTTATTTTTAAAATTAAAGAATCATTTTCAAATTAAGTTGCAAATAACAAATCGACAGATATCTTGTTACAAGTATTGAAAATAGATTATATTTCGTTTTTTTACTTTCAAGTATGTAGGATACGAAACCTGTAAAAAAATAATTTACAACGATGTGTAGTCAATATAGGTATTTTATTTTTATAACAACGATATTAGTCTCGTTTTCTTCAGATAAAAAAAAAACATAAAAATTCATATATTTTCTATATATGTAATGAAATATGGTAGTAGTATACTTTTTTTATAAACTTGACTTACAAGCACAGTGTGTATCACTTTCAATTCCTAATGTTCTCAAATTAATTGGTTCGTTTATACTTTACAATCAAGTACACATTCTCGTAAAATAAAATTTATTACAAAATTTTTTTTAAGAAGAAAATTAACATATTTACAAGGAATATTCATGATCGTGTTAAAATTAAAACGAAATGCAATGAAACACTGTATGTACACGCAATAATGCAATGTCTTTAGAAAGCGCTTCTTCATCATTTACAATTTTTACATAATGATTAAAAGTGGCGTTCATTTCAAAATTATGACAGTTATGGTTTTCTTTTTCTACAAGAAAAAAATTATATATGAAACTATCACAAAATTATTAAGCTTCACATTCATTTAAGAATGAAGACTTTAAATGAATCTGAATAACTTCAACTTTGAATTATCTTACGCATGTAATAATGCACAATCGTCATCTCTCACATACTGAAATATATATATATACAAAGATATCTGATTGTACGTGATCATACATGCTTTCTTTATAAATATATATTTATATAAAATTAGAGTCTAACATTAAATAATTTTTGTCCAAGGCTGCTATTATCAACTAGACTAATGAAAAAATAAAAAAATCAAAGAAACAACATGATGCTTGTAATCTATTTGGCGGAAGCCTCAGCCGTATTCATTACTACCACAGCGGATTCATCGTTAACAATACGTCTATTTTTCTTAATACGTTTCCACTCGCCATTCGTATAGTTCATTTGGAAGTGCGTTTCCACTTGCATTAATACAGTCGATCCATCAGGTTGCGTAACTTCTTCTATATTTTCAGAAAGCATCACCGTTACAATATTACCCAACTTTGGACAAGGGTTGTCTGTAAACAGAATATATAAAACGAGTTAAATATATGTGACAATAAATTAAAAATACTATTTAGTACAGCTGAAAATGTACCTCTTGAACCAGCCATGAAACCTAAAATAAGAGCTTTTTCTGGCCTAGTAACTTTGTTCGCAGTCCTAAACATTTCTTGGGCTTCCAACATTTGTTCTCTCTATAAAATACATATAAGTTATTAAGTAATTTTCTGATAATCAATTTGTCTTACATAATAAAATATATAAACATAAAAAATTAATTACCGTAAGCGACAATCCTTTTCTTGTATTTGCCGTGTTCGGCTGTTGTTGGTTAGCCGCAGATATACGAATCTGCGTAACAGTTTGCGTTGGTCTGACGGTTTGCATAGGGATAGGTGCCGATTCCACTGGAGTAATAACAGGTTGCGTCGTTATAACAGCTGCTGTTGGTGTTGTAGGCGTCACAGCTGTAAAATAAATCACCCATTTTGTAAAACTCGATTCGACAATAAACACATCGGTGTATTAAATCTTTCATTTACATTATAAGCGATACTTTGAAAGTATTAAACAAGTTATATTATATGTTTGTGTTCTACTGTAACATAATAGTTCATTACCATTTACATTTAACGTTTCTTTTCTAAATGTTGAATGGTATTTTACAAAGGCTCAAGGAAATATTTCTTTTTAACATCTTCAAACGTAAGATTAAAAATACAAAAATAACGATAAATTATCTTTTGCTCAAATGACCTTCAAAATAATTTTTATATCTTATACAGTTTATTTATTTTGGGAAATAATATTATTAAACGTTCTGTAAACATATAATGTTCTTTCAAACTATGAATCCTGCATTAATAAAAATTCTACGTGCTACAATGTTTAAATTATTGTGGAACTTACGAGTCTGAGTGCTAGGCACTACGGCAACAGTGGGAACAGTTGTGCTAATAGGCGTACTGTAGGGTTGTGGTAAGACCGTGGCGGCAGTTGAGACTGGAGCAGTAGGAGTTGTAATAGGTGCAAGACCCTGAGCATATTCCGGAGTAATTGGTGTTTCGGCAGCTGGTGTAGGCGTTGTTGCAGCAGCTGCAGCCGCTGCTTTTGCCTCCTCAGCTTTCTTTTGCTGTTCTTCAATTTCCATAAGACGTTTGCGTTTTTTCGCTTGCGCGTATCCCATCGGCTGCTCATTTATATCCAATAATTTAATACCGCCGTCTTTTCGCATTCTACTTGCTAGAGGGGTACGATTCGTCATTGGCGAGCTTGATAGTGATGGTGAACGGAAACCTGATGATGGTACTCGACTTGGGATTCCCTTTAATGGTGCTGAAAATTTTGTTACTTGTTGTATTTCACATTCAGATAGATTTTCCTTAAAAATATTACCAGAGCGGTGATTAAATTAAAAATTATCAACTTTATAAGATTCACAGTGATGGTAAAAATTTCCATTTCAAATTTTATAGCATGCTTGTGTGAAGTTTTATAAAAATAGCCTATGATTATGGAGATGTATTTCTCTATTTTATGCAGACATGTCTATACATTTTTAACAATGAATATTGAAAAGAAATAAACAATTTGACAAAGAAATGGGACTTCACAATACCGTTTCTGTTTTTTTATAGCATCAAGTATATTTATCAGAATTAAACTAATTATGGTTATTTTTCTGTTCATTAAACTTGATATAATATTGAAATATAATAAATATATTTTACTTGTATCGGTCATTTTTCTTGGCATTCCTCTACTTCTGACTGGCACCGTTGGTGCTGCATTTTTTTTCAAATTGTTTTGAGCATCTAAACTCTTTTGATGGAGTTCTGATCTAAGCTGATGACTTTTTGGTTTCCTTTTCAATGTGAAATGTTGTGTTGCTTTTGGTAAATTACCCACAACAGCAGTTAAGGCAGGTTTGTTCAAGTAATGACATTCCAATGGTAACATAGCAGGATCATTCTGCTTCCTTAACAATTTTCGTAGATCATTGACTAGCTCGCCAAAGATTGGACGATGCTCATCTAGTTCGGCTATATCTGTATTTAGAGAGCCAGTATGTGGAAAGGTCTTCATTGCTTCGGATAACATTGAGACCCATAATTCACCATCCAACGATGCAACTTCAATGATATCTTCCAATTCACTTCGCCACTGAAACAAATTATACACTTAATGTGCTTTCTTACAAAGGTTATATATTGCTAAGTAAAGATATAATAATTTGTTCTTTTAAATTTAATTTTGAATAAACCTTTGAAAACAAAAATTATAAATGCATCGTATCCCTCGATTACAATTTAATTAATTAATTTATCTATATAAATAATCCATTAATGTATCACTTATTACTTTATTGCCATTTTTAATCAGTCAGTAGGTATAGTATGAAAGCGTAGTATACGTAACTCGATACAACCAACGACTATAAGCGTCTATATTCTTTTGTGCACTAAAGCTTGGAAAAAAAATATCTCATACTTTTGAAATTTGACTGACAGTAGGGAAAAATTTCTAAAACCATCGTAAAATTAAAAAAATATTCAGAAAAAAGAATTTCGCAAAAAGTAAAAATATGAGTCCCAAACCCATGGTATAGGACACAAACGCGTGCAAATATGCTACTGGCCACTCGAAAAACATTGTCGCGCTTGGCGCGGAACAATCAAAAGTGGGCGCCGCGATTAGGACCTGCGCACGCGTTATTATTTATTTTGCGCGAAGCTTTCGTAATCTCGTCACCTGTCCTGCATACACGATCTTAACCTCTTCGACGATCGTAAATGAAAATCAATCTGAACGTATTTGAATAATCAATCAAGCGAGATTGTGTGAAAAAATTAAAAGTTCAGAGAAAAAACACCATACTTCCTCGACATTTCTCCTAGGTATGTGGAAAAATGAGAGCAGCAGTTTGAGTTTGACTTGAGTTTGCAGATCAGGGAAACAATCTTTGATGTTGCGTAGTACTTCGGCATTGAGTTGAGAACAAATCGAACTGCCGGTCCAACTGTCGTTCGAGGTGCCAAGCTTGTTATGCAGCCACAGCGACGTATCGCTGTCCCGCACGTTCGCCATGTTGCTACTCTGCTGCATGTGCACCAGCTACTGACTGGCAGCCGCGCGAGTATCGCCGCCAAACACCTCCATCGGCAAGAGAGAGAAAAATGTGTCATGTGACCATAGTATACGACGGTCACTGACACGCAGCAGAGCGCCAACCATCCGTGCATTTTCTGTTTTCATTTATTCTTAGATTTTAATAAACGTCTGCATGAGAAGTGTAAATTTTAGTTTTATAATAAAACTTTACAATTGACAGTATACAGTACAGGATGGCTGAATCGCTGTAACTTTGTTAGCTATTTTTTCTAAAGTAATAGCTACAATGTTTGTATGGATTAGTTTCATAAAATTTATTCAATTTCGATTTAACGTATTATGTGTAGTGCTTAGTTAACTTTAAGTTCTAATAATTAAATTTCATGTATAGACGTGTGCCTATATCACCAAGCTTAAGAAATATGTATTTATGATTTTGAAGCATTGAGAAATGTATTTATGATAATACATTAATGCTATTCATTTTTATAGTTTTTTAGAACTTAAAATTGACTGTAAATTTCCGGTACCAAATGTTTTTTCAAGATACTCAACGTGGATGGACTGACGATTTACCTGTTTGTAAACAATCTGGTAATTATAATATTTAATAATATTTGAAAAAATCATTGAAAATATGCTTTACTTGCTACATTTTAGGCATCGGTCAATCAACAAATCAAACCTACAGAGAAGGTGGATTTCGACAAGAAGAACATACATTCGAAGACAAAAGTTTTCACTGCAAGTATGATGATTCTACCTTTTTATATGCAGTATTCGATGGCCATCAAGGCTCCAAAGCAGCTACTTTTGCTATGCAACGAATGGCTGCAGAGATACTTTTGGGTCAGTTGAATGGCAAAGGTAGTGATGAAGAAGTTAAAGATGTTTTAAGGTATTTTGACAATTATTACTTTATTTAGAAGTTTTTACTTTAAAGTATGTCTCAAATTATTTATTACATTGACAGACAAGCATTCATAACAGTTGAACGTGGGTATATGGATTCTATAGGTGATTTGCTAGCAGAAAGAGCCAGTTTACAATTTGATATTCCAGAAGGTTTAAACTGTTACTTACCAGGAGCTTATCAAAATTTTCCTAATTTGGTATGTTGTTTGTTATCAAACGATTTTGCTTTTTATACCTATTTAATACATTTTATAATTAAAAAGCAATCTTGTAGGAAGAGAAATTTAAATGGTTGAATTTTGAATTGTCTTCTGGTACCAGTGCTGTGGTTGCCTTAATTTACAATAACAAATTGTATGTTGCTAATGTTGGTGACAGCAGAGCTTTACTATGCAAAACAGACAGTAACCAAGTACTAAGAGTTGTTCAATTAAGTATTGATCATGATTTGAATAATGAAGATGAATTATTCAGATTATCTCAACTTGGTTTAGAAGTGATGGCAATCAAAGAAGGTAAAGAAATGTTATTATTTAAAGGATTTCATGTTGAATTTTTTCTTTCTACTTAAATTTTAGGAGGGCACTTAGGCAATCAAGAAAACACACGATGCTTAGGAAACTATTCAGTGAAAGGAGGTTACAAAGAATTTAAAGAATTATTTGCAGCCATTTCTGAACCAATAATAGCAGAACCAGAAATTCATGGAGGAATTGAATTGGATGAATCTTGCAGATTTTTATTACTCATGTCCAAAGGCCTGTACAGATCATTGGAAGCCACAACAGGGACTGATCAAATAAACAAAAACTTAGCATCTATGATTGTAGAAGAGGTAATTAACTGAATTTATAAAGAAAAAATTCATAAATATGTACTTATATTATGAATTACAATAATTACATTTAGTTCAGAATACAATCTACACTAACAAGTGTAGCTCAGGCAGTAGTAGATAAAATTGTGCGACTACACCATGATGAATTCATGAGAAATTCAAACAACTCTTCAACAAACGGCAAACACGATGACATAACGCTTTTAATTCGTAATTTCAACTATCCACTGCCAAATGCTCTCAAAAGTCCTACAGTGCCTCCATTGATTAATTTCAATCAAATTGAACATACAATGAGTACAACTACAGAGAATGTTGTATCAACAACTGATAATACTTCAACAAGTGACACTGAGATGGATGATACAAGGCCAACAAAGAATGTAAATAAAAAAATTCAATCCTACTGTGATTTTAGTGAATTTTATGAAAAATTTGAGAAGAAAAAACGAGAAGGTACTTTACCTAAATTACCTGATGGGTTTGAATGGTAAAATTCAAATTGGTAGTAATTAACCAAATAATTTAAGATATGCCTTATAAATGAAAACATGTAATGTTCTATTTAAAAGTATTCATCGCTTCTCATGTCTTATTTTTGATAGTTTATATGATATTTTAAATCTACCAATGATTCTTTAGTTTAATTATTCTTATGTAAACTAGAGACTCCATAGGTACTTGTAATTTCTATTCATGTTGATTTAAATTAATATTTATTTTAAAATAATGTTCATAGTGTATGAAAGTTGAACACAAGATAACAAAGACATTTATTATAATAACATATTTAAATCTTAAATATTAAATTGTGTGAAAAATTTATGCAAATTGACAGTTCATTTTCCATAACAAAAATGTGCAAATAATTAGAGTTGCAATCATTCAATATCACAGAGACAAAAGAGCGATAAAAAGTAGGTGTGTAAAGATTCCAAATAACAGGTACAACAATTCAATAAGTAAGTAATTTTTAATTGATATAGCTTTAAATAACATTAATAATAATGAGAGTCTATTTACCATTATGGTATAAACTTTATATATAAGCTAATATTCCAATAACTTGTTTTCATCATAATTCATCATAACTTGCATTATACACACATATATATATATATATACATATATATATATATATACACTTAATTTTCTGAAATTTTATTACAATCATATATCACTGTTGAGCAAAGCTCACTTGTATTCCAGTTTGTGATTTTTATCTGAAGTAGGCAATTTAAACACATTTATAAATTGCATTGAAAGAACGCATTGAAAAATTAAGTTATGTCTATTACTTTTTGCCTTGACCAGATTGTAATATTTCTTATATATAAAAAAAACTTTGACAGAAATAGATTTTCCGCGTATTCTATTCCAAGATGTCTGTTTTTTTTTTCAAAAATAAAGTTTGACTTATTTCATTAGCATCTTTATGCAGTTTTTTAGCTGATCAGATCGCTTATCTTCGTATTTTGTAATTTCAATTTTCTTCTCAATTTAAAAACACATAACTTCCTTGACAAATGTTCATAAATCAACTACAACATAGATTAAAAAATCGTTACTACCTAAGCATCAATGTTGTCATTACACTGTTCTGCAATATATGGTGCAAATGAGCATTTAATGCGTAATGCCTATACTTAACCGCTAAATGCAAACGATTTTTCTTATTATCCAACAACGAAAAAAGAGAATCACGCTGTAATTATAGTCCTATTTCAGCTTTAACAAATTATAATTCCTCGTTGAAATTCCGAAGCTCGTCATCGTTAAAATTATCAACAATCTCGTCCAGTACATCGTACAATGATTGAAAACAATGAAATTCACATAAAATGTTTTTAGCTCGTTTAATAAGATTCCATCTCATCAGTCCATTATCAATATTAACCAAAAGTTTCCCCCAATAAATAGGATACAAATTCTCATCGATCTTTGCTTTAAATACACATTTCCTCACGTATCTTCCCCAAAATCTCACATCGTCTCTCAAAAACTTAATTAAGGACACATTACCATACCTTGTTACTTTAATCTTTTCCAATTCTTCCATACACTCGGTAAAAAATGAAGCAAACTCAGGAACAGAATCTATCATAATCTCATTCTTTTTACATACGAAAAATCCATGAACTTTCAGTAATGCAACACTGGCTACTATAAATTTCGCAGAATTTCCGTTTGCCAAACACAACGGTGTCATTCCATTTACATCACAAATATTCACATCAATACCGATATCCAAAAGAAACTTTACAAAGTTCTCGTCTTTAGATTTTACAGCCAAATGTAACGCCGTTTCATTGCTATCGATATCTGCTTCGTCAATATCACGCGAATCAGCACCACGATGTAGAAGCCTCTCAACTTTACTTCTATCACGAGTCTTCATAGCTATGTACAAAAGCGATCGACCAGACGAATTTCTTGCATTTACGTTTGCACCGCGTTGAACCAGGAGATCAACGATGCTTACGCAACCAAACTCGACTGCTAAGAATATTTCACGATCTTGATCGAACGAAGCTCCATTATCTAGTAGGAATCTCACAGTAGGAAGATCCTTTTGCGCGATGGCAGTGTGAAGTGGAGTGTAATACTGAGATTTGCCTTTCTGAATAAAATTACCAAACGCCACGGTGTTCACGTCGATATTATGAAGTAAAAGTTGTGCCGCAGCTTCTATACATTTAATCTTCGTTGCTGTGTGAAATGGAGTTAAACCGTGGCAATTTTTAGCGTCGATTTCCACATGATTTTTTATCAATAAATCGACAACTTCAAATTTGTAGTATTTAACGGCAACATGAAGCATCGTATCGTTATCAATCGCGCGTTGATTGATATCAGCATTGAAGCTCAATAGCATCTCCACTAGTTTGAAGTCTTTGTATCTTATAGCCAAATGTAATGCACTCTCTTTGTATTTATTTTTTAGATTAACGTCAGCACTATGTTTTACAAGAAGCTTGCACATACTGAAATTTCTACGATGAATTGCTAAATGAAGTGCCGTTTCTTCGTCGTTGTTGCGATAATTCACATCGGCTCCCCTATCAATCAAAAGCTTCGCTAAGTTTTCATTTCTCTGTCTCGCTAATGAGTGTAAAAGTGTTTCTCCGTACGCATCTGGTATATTCACGTTTCCAGAATAATTTTTCAACAGTAACTTAAATGTTTCTTCGTCTTCATTTCGTAATACTATGTGCAATGACGTTTGATTTGTACACAATGTTGTATCCATAACATCTACTCCACTTGTTAATAACAGTTGGATTATTCGACGATCGCCGAAATTTACTGCCAAATGAAATGGACTTTTCCCATATAGATTTTTTGTGTTAGTGATTGGGTTGTGCTTGAGAAGACATTTTACTATGGATTCGTTTTTGAATGTGATTGCGAAATGAAGCGGAGTTCTATTGCAACTATCTGTACTGTCGATGTTTAATCCGTGTTTGATTAGTAATTCGATGGACTCTTCAAAATTGTATTTTACGGCCAAGTGGAGTAAATTTTCTCCAAGTTGATTTTTGTATCTTATCAGTTCGCTGTTGGTTCTCAAAATATTTGTTATCTGATGTATGTCTCTGTCTTGCATCGCTGTGCAGAGAGAACGTACGCCATTCTCTTCTTTGTTAAACATGTTTACTGCCGACATTCCTAAATTAACATTGAGTTAATTAGATAGGCTTTCTGATACAATGTTTGTTAATTGAATGGCTTGTTGTTTCACAGCTGTCTGTCCTGAACATCTCTCTACTCTGAAAATACATAATTAGTATTATATATTTCAATAATTTATTAGTAAATTTAAATGTTTTTCGGGCCCCTTTGGTTGTGAGCGTGACTATTCTTATCAATTGAACAGTACTTTCGATACTCCAAATAACTTTAACATAAATAATTTTTGTAATAAAAGAACAATTTTACATTGAGTTTCCTTTTTTGCAATGGTTCGCAAAGGTATACTATAATCAAGTTAATAACAAAACAGGACTATCTCGCTAACATACCATAAATTTTTTCAAAAATTTTCTAGTTCACGGTATCACAAAATAATGAAACGGAAATCTTAAACAATACTTTACAAAAATCTAACCTTCATGTAAAAAAATAACCGATAATCCAATTTCAAACATAACTTTATCACCCCGAAAATTGTAACAGTCAATTGATGAGTTATAAGCGTGAAAATGTACTGTTGTAGATTGTGAAAAACCGGTTCACGCTATTGTAAAGTAGCACGCACACACACACATACACATTAGAGCGCAGTGGAAGCGAGGTTCTCTAGTCAATGTCACGATCACGACTCCTTTGTGCTAGTGCAATGCTTGGCCAGTTATAAACACATGTATATGTTTCCCCGTTCCATACTTGCTCCCACTGTGCAGAAAAAAGGAAGAAAAAAGATTCCATTTTTCTATTTTTTGCCGCTACGTTTGCGATTCGTTACGGAATACACGAAAATTTTGAATCGGTAAATTCTTTCCATTCGTTTACGAAGAAGCAAATGAAATTCGTATTACGCATAAAATATAGTATCACTTTATTTTGGCAAGACATATTTACAAAAAATACATAATATGGTATTTTAATGAATAAGATTTAATTTTTAATGAATAAGTTTTTACGAATTTAGTGCTGTGTATCTTCTGAGTCGTGAAACACAATGCTATAAAGAAGAAATGTTTTTAGTTTACTTCATTTTTAAATCTTTTTTTTCTTGAAATAAAGAATTTATTTCTGAAATAAAAGGTTTTTCTATTCTAGATTTATTCTTTAACCAAATTTCAGTTGAACTTTCCCTCTTTTCGCTTGACAAAAAGTTCCTTCAAGCTTTAGATAATCTAAACACAATTAATTTATTTTCAAACTACAAAATAAAGAGTAAATTTATTAGAATATCTATATGGTATTTTTTGGTAAACTTTACTTTTCTTTAGCTTTTAATTTATCATTTTCTTCAAACGCTCCACGTACATTATAAATTCATGAATTCGTCTGAAATTTGAAACGTAGGGGATGAATAGAGGAATTGCTGAATCACATTTTATAATTATTTATAACAAGTAAAAATACCAATTTCTGAATCACTGTGTCAATATAATGAAAATATAATTTTTAATTGAGGACTCAAAAGTGTGATCTAGCAGTTTCTTCGGTTAGCCGTTGTAGAAACTCTTAAAATTTATGAGACGATAAACTTGATAAAATAAGTTCGAATCTAAGTACGTATTTTGATGTGAAATTTGAATATAAGATTTCTTAGATATAGAATTTCGTCAAGTCAGAAAAACTATGTTTGATAAAAAAAATTCTTCTGCGAATAATAATTGAAAAAATCTTTTTCGTACTATAAAATCTATCATTAAATACTGTTACAAATAGAAACAGTAAAACATATGATTCAAAGCTGTTCTAATTTCAAAACTACTATCGACAATTGTTTCTCAATTAAAAGAAACAAATGTAAATTTATATATTAGCTCATTCAAAGATCAGTCGCGAGTTTAATTAAAAAATACAAGCTATAATCATTCGAAGATTGTTCTAATGACCCGTGTCGGTAGCCGGAGTATCGTGACTCTGACCAACGGAACTTCTGATAGTTCTTCGACTCCTATGTATTGTATAACCCCTAAGCCTGCGTCTCTTCAATTTTCCTTTTCTTTTCCTTCGCCTGTTCGTCGAAGATACATCGGTATCTCTATGATTACGCCCAATGCGATAAGGCAACTGTCTATAAGCAGACAATTCACTAATCGACATTGAAAATTGCGGATCACTCGAATTTCTTTTCGACTCGATTGACGCACGACGCACACTAAAACTATATGACTCATTAGAGCTGCGGCGATTGTCACGTTTTGATTTGGCCAATTCGCTCTTCAATAATTCACGAACTACTGCGTCTCTTCTCATAACCATGTACGGCAATGCAGCGGCCCACGTAGCACTGATATCTTGCGACTCAACAGAATTCGGATCAAAATTTAGTCCGACTGGATCTTCGTTGTAAAAATCAATGGATATCCGTGGATTTTCGCCTTTCCAATCTAATTCTTTTCCAGATTGTCGTTTCGAATAAGCTTGCGCGATCACCTCATGTTTCTGCAACTTCACCGGTTGCTGCTGCTGCTCTACCCTCGCATTGTTGCACTTGAACAGCCTACAAATTCGACAGAGGAGGTAGATATAGATAAGTACACGTGACAACGGCTCGATCATAGCTTGCAAAAACTCAAAAATTCGTGTACCTTTTGAAGCATCGCAACCAGATGGCCATACTCGAACTTGTCCATACCCATGAAGACATCACTATCCCAGTGAAAAACAAAGCGAATAGGTGTAGTTGGAGTTTCGTTACGCTCGGTCGTACCTTCATTTTACAGCTTGATAAGTCGCTGTACCCTGTCGTTACAGAGCAACTGTAAATTAATAATCAATTAGCGAATGCCCATTGAAAATACTATCTAAAAGCATTCTTTCTTTCTATTGCATTTTGAATCCACAACATTCTTAATTTTAATATATAAACAAGTAGCAATCTTGTTATTTTCCTTTCTAAAAGTAAATGTTTTTCTTCTATGTTATCTATAGGGAAATATCTTTTTTCATTTTGAGAAAAGATTTTCGATAATAATAAAAAAAAATTTTATTGTTTGCATTCTCTTAGGCGGCTTTTTCAATGAAGTCTCTATTTCATAAAAGAAAGAAAATTGTTAATTGAAATTAAATATAACTCACACGATGAACATGCGGAAATTCTGCTCCCACGCCGCGTAATTAAGAAAGTCGTACAGATGGCAGTGGATAGTTATAATCACAGAGGAGAAAATAGCAACGGAGAACATTCCCATTCTGATGATCGTATTTCTCAACTTCGAACTTGCTTTATTCGAAATGATACCCTCGGAGGTTATCGTCAAGATGATCAATCTGATCATACCTGCAAACGTACATTTGTTACATGGTCTATGCCTGAAACTCCTTGAATTGAGGTACTTACTTCTGATAAGAAAGTAAGGACCAATCAGTATAGCAACGACAACAGGTCCCAACACAAATCCCAGTCTAACGATGTAATTGTAACGCCCAATGAAGCATATCCCTGTCATACTGTCACCATCAATTTCGCTCATGCTCAACACACCAACTGTCAACATCAATGGTAAACACCAAGCTAGCAGATGAAAGTAGGCACTTTTCTTGTCCAATCGACTGTTCAATTTGGTACACGGCTGGACACTTACATGCCAGGTGTAGGTGAGAATGACGAACCAAATGATCGCCGACATGAGTGGGTAATAGACGAGAATGAAGATTAAGACGCAGGATATATCGCCTCTGGAAAGTCGGTGAATTAATCATTAGAATTGCCGAATTTCTGCCTCGTGCAGTTATTTACGTGCGCGTACTTTGGCTCGCTTTTACGCAGAGTGCCGTCCGGTTTACAAACGATAATATTATTGTTGCCGGTCGAGAACTGAACGAGCCATCCCAGGCAGCAGACCATGAAGCAGGCGTTTATGTAAAATATGACCGAGGCTGGAAATTTGCTAGCGCTTTTCCAGTTGATTAGGAATGTTGCCTGAAATAATGGCGACGAGCGTCGATAAAATCCGACAGCGGCGACCAAAGTTCGCTCGGACGTGCTTACCACAGCGAAGACATTAAGAAGGCAACAGGTAGTCGCTCCCCAAGCGATAAACGTACGGATTTGCTGATGTTCCTCGTGAGTGTACATCGGATCTCGACATGGTATTCCGCAGCCATCGATGCCGTCGAAAACTGCCAGAGAATCGTTGGTGGGTACTAGCGGTGCTGGACAGTGCCACGACTTGTCGAACATCACGTCGAGCATGTTGGTGCGACACTGGGGCATGAACAAATCCTCGTTGTCGCAGTCGATCAACGTCGGCCAGACCGTTTCATTGAGAACTAATCGACACGAGCTGAATACCGTGGTACACATGCTTTGAGATAGCCGCTCAACCGTGTCGTTCACGCATTTTGGCACGAATAACGAGCACATGAATGGACGGACAACTGACCAGCATTTTGGAATTGACTTTAGCACTTGGAGCATACGTAGACGACGCTGCAAAGTTACAATTGAAATCGGTGGCTCCGACAGATTCAATTCTGTGCAAGCTCCTTACCTGGATGGAATATTTCGTAGCGTAACCGGGAACTAAGTTCAAACTTGTCGAATCGTACGGCAAGCGGCTTCCGAAACAAGTGGCGGCGTACAACGGTACACACGTAGCATTTCTCTTGCATTCAGAACTGTCGGTATTCTCGAATAAATCATCAAAGTGATAAGTTGAATCTTGCGCTTGGCCGTGGTGTTTACTCACAGATACATTAGCTATTGGTGAATAGATGAAATCATACTCGTACGGTTTGCTCGTAACGAGGTTGAATGACAGCGTCAAGAAGACGAGCATCATCTGCCGATAATAATATTTTTTTTAGTCTGAAATACTCATTTTTATTCTTTTCTTACGTATGAATATATAAATAAACATAGCAATAAATACATTAAACATTTTGCACTTAACTACTTTATTATTATTTCTTTAAATCCAATGCTCTTGTTATTTTACAGAACTTTATCGACAAGTTTTTATGCAGTTCACACATTAAAAAAAACTCTTTTATTAACAGAGTTGAGTTTGAAGATTGAAAATGTAAATTAGTACATAGCAACCCCCCCCCCCCCCCAAACGAATCTAATTTATATTTAATAAGTATTAATAAGTATACGTGAATACCAATTTTAGTGATCATAAAAATGAATCATTACGCGTTCAAATATTTTAAAAGCAATCATTTTATTTTAACTTTAGAATAATTATCCTGAAACGAGGATGTAAACGGTTTCGTTTTTTTTTCACGTTTACATCCAAATAATTATCGATATGATTACAACATGCAATGGATTATTTCGTAAATAATATAAATAATTATTTTCTTTAATAAGAACATACTTCGAATTAGATATTCAAAGCAATTGCAAGTAATTGTAAATGAAGCAATATAAAAAAGTGTCCTTGCATCTTACTGTTATACCATTGAAAAGATCAATAAAAAAATTAAAAAATAACAAAAAACATATTGAAAAAATTAATAAAAAGCGAACACTTCCAGTCAATTAAAAGTAAAATGAAAAAACAAATTTTAAAAAATCGAAATAAATATATATAATATATTAATAATCGTATTAAACGTGGCTTTCATTCGGATTTTCTCTGTCTTTCTGGTTTGTCTGTCTGTCCGTTTGTCTCTCTCTCTCTCTCTCTCTCTCTCTCTCTCTCTCTCTCTCTGTCAACGCTATACTCCACAGCAACATGTGTTTTATTCTCCTTTCGACAAAGAATTCCTCTTCATTGCACGCAGTAAAAATATAAAACACACCAGAAAAAGAATTCAATTTTTACCTTTCACTACAATTGTACAACTAATGTGGTATAAACGAGAAACATGTCTGATGAAGCGACGCTCGGAGAACTGCAACTCCACTGCATCAACCAGGTATACGAATACAGCTTGTAGATGACCACCCACGGTGAAGCCCCTAAACGGTCCAACGCTTTCCCTCACTTTTCTCCTCTTTTTGAATCCTCCCCTCATAGTTTACGATGAGTCAAGCAGATCCTCGGGATTCAGAATCGAAAATTCTGGTTTTTATGCTGGCTGCCTTGAAAATTGTTCTATTTCTCTTCTTTTTTTATTCATTATTAATTGTTATATAATCAAATTTATTTGAAAATTTTTCTTACATGTAGCGGATAAAAAAATGAATGATTTGATTTTGTGAATTTGTCAACCTTTTCTTTTCGTTAATTTAAAAATCACAAATAGTTTTACGATCTAATCAAACAATCTGTTAGTCACTCTAACTACCAAAATCGAACCAAGTCAATGCAACTGCAATTTATAAAGTATAGCATTTTAAAAATGCTCCGTATACTTAAAATAAGCTAAAAGTAAAAAGGAGATATTCAATGAAAAATGCATATACTTTCCACGAGATTTAAAAACTTAATTTATAGTTTGGTACAGGAAAAATAATAATATTGTAAATAGAAATTTGTTGTATAAAATTAAACCATTTTATTCATCAAGTTTTGAACAAAAGAGTTATACAAACAATTCTGAAGTCCTTTTTAGTTGATTTTATTTGATTATTCAAAAGAAAACGATGATGCTCGATATGACTAAAAATATAATCACATAAGTTAAATAATCTTTTAGATAACTGCTCGTACATAAAGAAGTAATGTACAACAAATTATTTAGACATTTATAAAAAAATATACATAATTAAAAATGGCTAAGTATGTATTGGAAATATATTCACAATTAAAAAAATATAACTTTAAATGGTAAATTAAAGAAGTTTGCTTGTCTTTAATTACAACTGCTTGGATAGTATTAAATTTCGAACGAAATGCGCATTAAATGTTTACATCAACTTTATCTGTCTTGGCAATATACATATATAAAAAGGACTTATTTTTTTAAATTTTATTACAAAAAATAATATTTTGTAGTTTAGACAAAATGTGGTTTAGCGTCGGCTAACTTCTCAGACAGCTATATAATTAATATAATTTGTCGATATCATAGGATCTCCACAAGAAATTACACCGACATGTTCTACACATCATTACTCACTGATTTCATTTATTTTTTTTTCATGCAACTAATGTTCTTTGTCATGCCTATATAACGCAAAATACCCGGAGAAAATTAATTTTATTCAAATTATAATCGCGCATACAACTGCGCGGATGTGTCTTCAATTGATAAACAATTCACTTTTCAATTTAAAAAAAAAACATGAATTTTGCTTCCAAACAATCGATAGTTTATTCTCTTTTCTCCGGACCATCAAACTATCTAAGAATCTCCTTTTGATTAAATCAAAGAGTCTTCGGATATATGGCAGAGAGGCAATAACACGTGTTACCGGTGCGAGTATGGCGGATGCCGAAAAATGCTATCGGATAATCTCATTCCTTTCACTTTAGTAATCTTTCTTTGCTGGCATCACTTTCAGTCGTTCAAATGCAGCCTTTTCCAATGCTTCTCTATGGTCTGGATGTGCAACCTGAATTAGCTCGTATGCTCGCTGTTGCAAAGATCTTCCGAAGAGAGAAGCAATGCCCCATTCCGTTACGACGTAACGTACCAATGCTCTTGATGTTACAACTCCAGCACCTAAAAATTGACATTAAGGTATTAATCAGAGAAAATTAAAAAAGCTTAATTTATAAAACTATAATTTTTTTCAATTACAAATAAAAATAAAATAGACAAAATAAAAATACATTAAAAACGTCATTACCTAATTTGAGCGTAGGTACAATTTTAGTAGCGCCCTTGTTAGTAGTAGACCTGAGAGCAATAATTGGCTTTCCTTTGCCGTCTTCACTCATTGCAGCGCCTGTAATGAAATCAACTTGACCTCCAAAACCAGAATACATTCTTGTACCAATACTGTCCGAGCAAATCTGCCCAGTAATGTCGACTTCTATACACGAATTGATTGCAGTCATCTTTGGCTGTTTGGCAGCGATTCGCGGGTCGTTGACATAGTCCACCCTCAACATCTCTATAATACAATGTTTCATTATTAACAAAATGATCTGTATATATAACATTGATTCTCTAACGATTAGAATAATTATTAATGATAATTTTTTGATAAAACATATTAAAAGAGAAAAATTAATAATTACAGTCGAAGAAAAGTTATAATATATAGAATCATTAGTAAAAGATACAAAATTTTTAGTTCATAATGACTCTGTTATGTTCTTTTATCAAACTTGTCATTAGGATGTGCGTTATTTTCCAACCTATAAATGCTCTCAAAGTTAAACGCATTTAAATAACAATTTTTCTTTTCATCGTTACAATCTCAAACAAATAAGAATAACAATAATAAATAAGAAAATTTCGTTACAATTATTTAATATTGTAATCTCTTTTTGATTTTGAATATTCTTACCAATGAAAGGATTATTATCCATGAAATCGTAAAGCTTATTAGTGCCAACGCAGAACGATCCAACAATTCTACCAGTATGTATAGTCTTCTGACTATTGGTGACGCAGCCAAGATTAACAAGATCAACAACGCCGTCACTGAACATCTCACTATGAATACCGAGGTCTTTATGTCCTTTCAGCAGAGCGAGTACTGCATCAGGAATACTGCCGATACCAAGTTGCAGAGTGGCACCATTTTCTACAAGATTCTCAGCAATGTGCTTGCCGATCAATTTCTCCTCTTTACTTGGCTCATTGCCTCCGTGAGACGGTAAAGGCTTGTCATGGCATATCGCGTAATCGATGTGGCTTTTATGCACCAAAGCGTCGCCAAATGTACGTGGCATGTACTGATTTATTTGTGCTATTGATAAAATTCAGATCGTAGCATAAAAATTTTACAATTATAAAAAAATAAATCTTTCAATTCTTACGGACCCACAATAATTTTGGAGTGAATAAGCGCAGCTCTGACGCAATCGACGCTGGTACCAAGAGAACAGTACCCTTTATCATCAGGTGGAGTGACGTGAATAAGGGCGATGTCAGGTTTAATATGGCCCTCGTTGAATAATTTGGGAATTTCATGTAAAAAGATGGGAATCGCGTCGGCACGACCTTCGTTCACGGCTTTCCTCACATTGCCTCCAATGAATAAACTCATGGATCGGAAGTTACCTACCAAACAATTAAAATTAATGAAAAATTTTTTAAAGTATACTTTTGAAATTTTTAGATAATTAATGTTATAAACCAAATTAAAAATTGTAATTATCGTTGCTTTTATAAATCGTAAACTATGCAATATAAGATACTTTCGAAAAATACAAATAAAACATATAGCTTATTTTGAGACACTGTAGTATAAGATTAGAATGAAAGACAGTGTTGCCTCTTATAACATTGAAGAGGGTCAATGTGCTTGCTATTAATTTCAAATCACTTTATTATTTACAAAATATCAAGTGACGTGATAGCGGAACGTATGCGAGTAGGCTCGAAGCGTGACAGGAACCGGTACTATTGATACAGTAAAATGACCATTCCGAACTCCTTCGAAAAGCATTAATTATTTTTATTGCATCCGCATCTTTGAAACGTTAATTTCCACAAATGAAATTGAAAGTCTAGAATATCACCTATCGCCCGAAAAAATTCGCAGTTAGATCGATGCAGTTTTAAAAACGTTATTCGAGAATGAGTAGATTACGCACCTAGGCCAAGAAAGTATTGGTAAGTCCATAGCACGTGAGGATTGACAACCGAGGCGAAGCCGAGGTTCGCAAACACGTGCTTTGGGTTTCCCAATTTCCCGGCTGTGTTGCGTAAACTATTTTTTGCCCAGCAAGGCCAAAATTAGCACATTACCGACCGAGCCGCGGTCGAAAAAGGTTACTTTCGGGCCGCTGGATAAAGAAAATTTTTTTCGGTAATGTTACTTATTTTTTTGTACAGCGACTTAAAAGTAGCATTTTCCAGCCGTGACTTGGTCGGTAACATGTTAATTTTGGCTTCGTTGGACAAAAAAATAGTGTACACACCATAGACGAGAAAGTATTAGCAAGTCAATAAAACGTCTTAGACAATCTCGGTTTTGCTACGGTTTTCAATTCTCACGTGCTATGGACTTTCCAATACTTTCCAAGCCTAGGTGCGTAATCTACAATTCTCAAGACTATGAAAATTCTTCTCATGCACGTGTTACAAGTTACGAGTAGCATATAATACGTTAGTAAATACCATCAATCATATATGGTTTAATTCCGTGATCGGTAACGTCGGTATCCGGACCTGACAGATCCAGACCTTACTACCTAAAATGTAGACTAAATCAGCTGTTCGTATCGTACACTTACTAAATAAATATATCAATGCATCTCATAAAAAAATTTATATAATTTATAAAACTATTAGAGACAAACACTAAGGGTTGACGACGGTAGGCATAAAAAATAAAAATAAATAAATAAAAATACTTATGTCTATGAATTTTCATTATCCTAGTACAGTTAGTGTAATCTCCCTCCCCCCTCCGCAACACACACACACACACACGCACACGCACACACACAATTTCAAGAAAAGTAAATTTTACAAGGGCATAGGGTACCGCTAATACCTAGAGCCTGGAGACTGTTTCTAAATCAATTTTGTAGCTGCAAACAATTAATCATTTTTATTTGACATTTTTATAACTGCAAAGCGGTAATTTCGAACTTGATTCAAGAATGTTCAAAACATGCGCTTTGTAGTCGTAATAAAAATGCCAAATGAAATTTGCTTGCAGATAATTGATTTCGAAATCTTCTAGGCATCATATTACAATTAATCACAAAATATCTTAAATAAGTTACAAGATATTTCATTTGAGTTTTAACAAAACAACAATAAAATCAAAAATACTGAAACGTAAAATGATTATTACAGTAACAATTGTTTACAATGCTCAATACATCACTTTCAATGATAGAAATATACAAAACTATTGTTACGGTGTACACGATTTAAAAACTGTTTCTTATTCCACGACAAATCAGCATAATAATTTCATCGAGCAATTGATGGAAGAAAGTACAGTACTCGCGTACTATAGGATCGATTTAAGCATCGCATCAGGCTTCGCATTGCATAAAAGAATATTTTCGAGGCCGAGTCATGCAACACACGTTCACCTTGGCCGTGCTTCATTGAGTTTGATCGTAGAGTAAAAGAAACGTTCATTTTCCGGTGTTCAACGTACTTTCAACGCATTTATCAGCGAACGGTGCTTCGCCTTCAAGATGCATGTGAAACAACCTCACGTTGCACACGTTGTTCTTCTGGCCAAGCTCAGTCATTCCTCGAAGTAACTCCACCGGTGTCGCGGCTGCGCCCTGGGAGAATACGATTTTATCTGCAAAAGAGGAAAATCAATTAATCTGTATTCGTTGTCGATATATGTAATTGAATTTCTTATTAAAAATTATAGTTGAGTTGTGATTTATAAAGCCATTTATAATTAATTATTTGTAATGCTAAAGTAACTTAAGTTACAAAGCAAAAAATTTAAGTTAAAATTGTAACGAAAATATATCCATCGGCAAGACATTTCTTTATAGGATTTCTTTACTAGTGCCGTTGTATAACGTAGTAAAGTAGACCTCGAATTGAATATTGTATTAAATTACTTCTTGAAAGATTGGACATAAATTTTCTCTATCCTGAATAATAGATAATCTTTCTAAAATTCGAAATTATTTTTCTTTGTAACGCACGCTGTTCATATTTGATTACTTTGATGGAGTCGAAGAATGTATTTTTATCAGCTCATAATCGATAAGCTACGAGTCAACTCAGCGAACTGACTTTACATATGGATACGCCACTGCACGAGAGCTGAACACAAGCATATACGTACGTGACAAATTATCTCAATAAAAACATTGCGCCTCTCTTTCACACAGCAGGCTACTGATCGTCGATCGTCCCTGCAGATATACAACGTTAAACTGCATATTTGCGCTCACGCTTCGCGTAATATCGATAAAGAGCTTCATTCAATTTTAGTTCCGGATAAACAAAGATCGGCTATCATAAATACCATTTGTGAGATTTTAAAAATACTCACATAAAAGTTATTTTAAACGCATATTTCTGGATGATCACTCATTAACAATCAATTATTTTCTAATCAAATATGACGTGCTTAGGATTAGACAAGTTCTTGAACTTGAGAGTCAATTATGGCCAAGTGCATTTTTTTTCGCGCGCCCTGTTCCCAAAAGCTTCGCGAATGTAGGGCAAGGATCAATGTCGCCAATGTGCGCAGAGCCGAGCGAAGTCTATTATAGAACGGCAAGCAAAGAGTATATAACCTGACGTTATTTTCAGAAATTTAAGTTTAATATATTCGATGACCCGAAACTATCATTTACTTTTTGCGAAGCATGACTTTTGAGATTGTTGCTTAATTTTCAAAATTATTGATAATTGTAATTGCAAGTTACTGTCAAGTGCGTAAGCAATTTGCAATTGAAATAGAACTTCATTTTTCTTACAATGTCAGTGCATATCAGAATTTGAATAAATCATCCATAATTGATTATTGAAAACATTGTTGTCGGCGAATAATTGTTCTCTAAAGAAATAAAAAGAGCCGCACAATCCGCAGCGAGATATAAGAGAGTGTAATCGAGAATTTATTTTATCGCGTGGGAAGTTTTATATACGAATTGACGCGCGAACATTCGAAGACTTTCGACATCGAAAATACAAGTCGGAGAAGTAGGAGAAACGTTGCGTTGGAGGTCATTGATTCTTAAATAAACAGCAATAGCAATTGTGAGGTGAACTTTCAACTCGCTTTTAACAGATATACCATTTGTCTAAACACGCGCTTTTTACGTGTTCGTGCAATGTAGCTCAAGATAAGCAAAATTATAGTATCGGGGTCGTTTCTTTTGTCCATCCGAAATCAATCCGTATTGTTTATTTTCTTCGTCTGAGATTTCATTGCACATGCAACACTTGATTCGCGCGAGTCAGTTCATTTGAAATTTAGCGAAACGTATTGACTATTCATTATTTAAATTCTTCTGTGTAGTGCTGCTAAGTTTATTATTAATCCCGACGCTCTAGATGCGTAATCCGTAACTCATGTTTTTCAAGGATATTTTCATTTTTTATTATGCTGTAAAGATTTTATAATTAGAACTAGCTTTGACAGTTGCTTCGTAATGTTAGTACATCAATTAGCACATTAATTAAAGAAATGTTGGTCATCGGCTTCATTTTAATAGAAAGTTAAAAAAATAGAACTGTATAAAATCGGAATATGTTTTGAGACATTGTCTACAATCAATCGGAAACATCAACATAAAACTTTCTACAAAAGGGAGCGTCGGTTGTTGGAAAGTTGATTGTTTAACGTGAGCTTGCAAAACTAATAAAAATCGCGTTAACGGTTACATGGATAGGGCGCAAACCTTAGATAAGATAACAGTAAACAATCGATTTGTTTTCCATCATCGTACTCGTTTAACATCCCTTGTTCAATGTCTGACGGTCCACTATGTAGAAGTTCCTTAGAATAATCTTCGTCTTTATTTCACAAGTAAGAATAAGTCATTATCTCACACTAACTGTTATCAAACAAACCAAACTTTTTATACTTCAATACTTTTTTTTAATTTATACTTTGATAATTCTGTTTAAATATTTTATAATTAATTTTGGATAATACATTTTTTCATCAACTGTATCAAAATTGATAATAAATTGGTGACATTTTGAATTTTTCATTTCGAGGAAAATTCAAATTATATTTATCAATTTATAGATAATGTTAAATACTAGACTAACCTCGATTGAGGATTTTCATTTTTTAACTCAATAGAAGTGGTAACTTTTAGTTCAATTAACCTCTTTGAAGTAATCAGTTAGCTCTACATAAGCTTATATATTTTACAATGGTCATTGAAATTAACAAAACACACTTGACTCTTACGCGTATGCACATATGATGCAGTGACACAAGATGTAACAAACGTTACTTCGAATAGCAGTCACTTGCTCGTTATACGACAGTTATAGCCTCGCCCCATCAGTGCGAAGTAGAAATGATGTTATATAGAAAAACGACGTCTTTAAGGATAAATACCTACGCTGTTCTAACATTGCAATAATTATGATGAACTAATAAATAATTTTTGAAGATGCTCTTATTTAGTTATCTATCTGTAGTTAATTATCTTTCCGGTTGTTAATTTATTTTTACTTATAATAAAAAAAAAGTTAAACAAGTGTTAACATGTTGTGTTTAAACTATTAAGTTTGGGTTTTACTTGGACGTAGAAACCTTTTCTGCGCGAAATTGATTCAATGTCTAATGATTGAAAACTGTTAATAAAAAAGTTTTCTATAGAAATTTTTTTATTCACCTGTAGAAACCAACAAACGTTGTAATTGAAAACTAGACGTCGTTTTATCAAAATCGATTGACATTTAGAGAATAAACAGTTAAAGATTCCTCGCTAACGTTAAGACTCGAAAAAAGAACTAAACAAGTATAATATATCATTCAGTGATAATAATAAAATTGAAAAGAAACTTACTGGATGCAAGACCAGCAGCTTCGATAGCCTCCTCGGCGCAGTTGACATAGCAAGGTTCCTTGTCGGGAATCGGCATCGACGGCTCGTTAACGTAAGTAAAGTAACTTTTCGAACCTGCGGCTGCTGTTGCCCTGTAAGGTCTCATAAGACCTGACAGTGCCTTTGACAGGCTCGTCATCCTTTGTAGTGACATTACGGTGATGATTCTGGGACAAACTCCAACTGAAAAATAACAAACAGATCGCAGATTGGATATCACGATCACTTCAGCCTTGTTGCAGATGTTTGCTTTCGTCACAAGTGTCAAGAATCTATTATTATACTTGAAAAGTAAAGCGTGCGAGTAAAATATAAGGAAACAGGAAATGAAAGAACTATTTTTTATCATTCCCCTTCGATTTGAAACTAAAATTAATCAATTAAATATTATCGAGTTTAAATTTGCATATGTGTTGTTAAGCTGGTCTCTCGCTTAAAGAGATAGATTGACCTTCAATCTTGCGAACGGATAAGTAAACACTTTTTTCGTGTTAATAAATAGAATAGGAAAAATATTCATGCAAATGACGGTATTCACGAAGTCTACTTTTTTACTTTCTTAAAAAGGACACTTTTTAAAAACATGTGTTATCTAGGATTCCAGGTGAAACGATGAAGGCTTTTTTTAACAATGATGCCACGTAGTTTGCATTCGACTTGTGCGACGTGAATCTCTTTACTGCCAAGTCATTTTGTTGGAACTTTCATAAAGCAATTTCATCAAATAATAAAATCATTGAATAACTGAATTAATGAAATACAAATTTTTTATTTGAAAATAATCTGTAAAATTCAAACAGATTAGATGAGAGACAGACCAATTCATTTTAGTTTCAATATATCGCGTTAAAAATAACTCGAAAATCGCGAGGTTAACATTCCGTAATATCCTGCCTAGAAACGTTCAGTATAAATTCAACAAAAATAAAAACATGTTAACAATCTTATCAAGACTTTCCACATCAACTTTTTACAATCTCATTTTATGAATCACTATATCCAGGCAGACATATAGTAACATATACATTACGAAGCATAAAACTATTAAAAATAATCACATCTCTAACAATCCCTCGCCTCTCATAAACACTAATTTCTGCTCCGAAAAAGGATGAAAGGAAAAGGATGGCCACGCGCGCATAACCCTTTATAACACGAACCTGACCCCGAAAACGCAGAACCACTCAACACACGCACATACACTAATAACAAACGTACTTGACTGTCGTGAGTTTCAATATATATCCTCGACCTCAGCGCTACTACACAAGGGTTGGGTCTTTACTTTTTTTCAATCGAATCTAGGCCGAAGACACTAACGCGCGATTTCCTCGACAATATGAGTGGCACCACCGGCTCCGACCAGTCCGACTGCCGAGCACTGTTTCGCTGCTGCTGATCTTGCCTTTGCTATGCTTTGACTCTTCTTGTTATTCTCCCTCTCTTTTGCTATCTTGTTCGTTCGTCAAACTGCAATGTGTATATGTGTTACATCTATATCCTACATATATGTGAGGGGACTAGATGTCGCGTATTACGTTGGCGCAGGGACGGAGCGTTGATACGAGGAGCCTCGTAGTTTAAAAACTTGCATTTTTATTGAGGGGGCTGAATGACGCTATTCGCGTATGACGTTGGCATAGGGGCGGAGCGTTGATGCAAGGAACCTTGTAGTTTAAAAATTTGTATTTTGAAAAAAATGAAATTTTTTCAGTCTAATTTTTGTCATAAATACCATTTTCAACCTAAATTTGTACAGCATTTGATTTTTTGTTCATTTACAACTAAGGTTAATAACGCGATTCTATAATTCGTGATTATATGTAAAGATTATGCTAACTCAATTAATCATGTTCATTAGTAAAACACCAAATTCAGCGTCGAAAAAAAAAATACAATCGTCAATATAAATTCTTTAATATTAATGTTATCGTAATTGAATTTACTGTTTAAATTGAACAAAGTATTACATAATGTAATATATCATAATTCATATATGCAATTGATGACCGTTATCAAATCAATCGCAATATATTGCTGTCGCTAAGTTATCCGAAATTGAGCGCTAAACGCGCCATGGCGAATAAACGACTATACTAATCAATTGACATGAAATTAAAACGTCTTTCGTTTATTAATGATACAAGAACGGCAAATCAATTTCTATTCAAACAACATCGTAGAAAGTTACAAAATGCCCATTAAAAATAATTTCACCTCAGATTAACCATAGAACAATTAATCAAAGCTGCTTCAAAAATCACTAATTTGATTTGTGAAGTACCATCACCCCAAGCCACGTGATCCCACGTGCTTCACTCTTATTCTTTCTATCTCTTTCTACGCAATTATTCACTAGCCTTCATTTCACTTTCTGCACCTTGAAACAAATCAACCATAACTAAGACACAACAAACTCAAGTCATTTAACGAAAAATTCACCCTGTCTACACTTTCACTACCGTCAAATCTATCATATAATAAGCAACGAACGTATAATCTATCTCAGTCTGAGCATCCCCACTCTGACCGACGTCCTATTTCTGTCTCACTCGCGCGCTCCGGCGCAGTCCGCCTTCTGCTACGCATCTCTCCACAGCTTGGCAGCAGCAACAGCGAATTAAGTGAACGACGGCAGTAAAGCTAAAGTTTTAGGCTTCGTGAAAAGTTTGTTGTAGTTTATACAAAAAGCATTAAGAGATTACAATCCAACGAGAAAGATGTACTCGAAAACGATTGGGGCTCAACAAGCCCAAAAGGAGCATGTACTCGCGGTCTCTCGCGATTTTATCGCCCAGCCCCGACTTAGTAAGTCTCTTTTCTATCACCATCTACAATCATCATTTGCATGCTTTTATAAGCATCCTCATTACGTCCGACACATTATAATCGCTATTTGGATAACTAACTATTGAGGTATGTAGATAGATGTGCAAAACTTGCGATAAAAAAGCAGTCGACATGTTTAGTGAAATGGGCGTTGTAAGTAGTACGGCCTAGCTGCATCTGTCTTTCTTAAGTTTCTGGCATATCGATCTAGCCGCCGTCCAAGCTGGGTCAGCTGATCGGTTCATCCGTTTATCATCTCTTGATTGGATGATAAGCATATGCATTGATTTTTAACGACTTGCACGGGTTATTGCACTGTACAAAAGACGTGGGAAACAGCTTTAGAGACGGAGAGACAAGCGCCTGTGAGCTCTTAACTTTTGTGTCATGTGACTGCAGACGACGAAGTGTATGCGTGTGCTTCTCTCGCGGATAGTTACTTTGCACGGGATTATCACGCGGAACTGTTTCTATACGCATCTTGGAATACTTTGAATGACTATTCATTTTTTTATTTTTTATTGATGAAATTTGGCTGTTGACTATAAGTGGGCGGTTGTTTATTTACATGGGCGTAGCCGTACTGGAATAGTTTTTACATAATTATAGAAATACAAAAGCTTGAGAAATTTCTTCTGATTATAGATAGACGTCTGCGTTTTGCTTGATATGAATGTATCTAGGGAATCTTTGTTGTCATAGTTGCATATGTCTGGGACTTTGCTGGCAAACATCCAAATGACTGCTACAGCTTTACTCAAATTTTTTAATGAATATCTATGGAAATCTATAGATCATAAATGCATTAATGGTCTCTAAGATATGAGTAAATTGTAATTTTATAGTTTTCCAAACTATCAAAATTGTAAAACTGAAAGCCAATACAGCAGGAGAGATTCTTTCATCATACTTTGTTTGAACGTATGCTATGCACTCAAAGATTTGGCATAAAATCTCTGCGTTAAGTATAGTAATATCTAACTTAAACAGAATAATGGCTTGTGTTTATTCCTTTTCATTCAAAATAATCTATCTTTATACATTCAATTATGTAGATATTTCTGAATTTGTAAACACTTTTAACCAATGTTATTAATTTACAGCTTACAAAACAGTATCTGGTGTAAATGGACCTTTAGTCATCTTGGATGAAGTGAAGTTTCCCAAGTTTGCTGAAATTGTCCAGCTAAGACTTGCAGATGGCTCAGTACGATCGGGTCAAGTCCTGGAAGTATCAGGTTCGAAAGCTGTTGTCCAAGTGTTTGAGGGTACCTCAGGCATTGATGCAAAAAATACCCATTGTGAATTCACTGGTGACATTCTTCGTACACCTGTATCCGAGGACATGTTGGGTCGTGTTTTCAATGGTTCTGGAAAACCCATTGACAAGGGACCTCCAATCTTGGCAGAGGATTTCCTTGATATCCAGGGTCAACCCATCAATCCATGGTCACGTATTTATCCAGAGGAAATGATTCAGACTGGTATTTCTGCTATTGATGTGATGAACTCCATTGCTAGAGGACAGAAAATTCCTATTTTCTCGGCTGCTGGTCTGCCTCATAATGAAGTAATTATTATAACGGTTGATTATTGATCTTTCAGAAAACATAGTGACGATTATTAATAGCCCCTATCATCTTTCTAGATTGCCGCTCAAATCTGTCGACAAGCCGGTTTGGTCAAAGTACCTGGAAAGTCTGTTTTGGATTCGCATGAGGACAACTTTGCCATTGTATTCGCTGCTATGGGTGTTAACATGGAAACTGCACGTTTCTTCAAGCAGGACTTTGAAGAGAATGGTTCCATGGAGAATGTCTGTCTCTTCTTGAACTTAGCTAACGATCCAACGATTGAACGTATTATTACTCCACGTCTCGCTCTTACCGCTGCTGAATTCTTGGCCTACCAATGTGAAAAACACGTACTTGTCATCCTTACGGATATGTCTTCCTATGCTGAGGCTCTCCGTGAGGTACAGTTTATTTATTTTCTTCTACTGTGGCTAATCATAGACAGTTTTCTACCAGCACAACAAAAAATATTGTTTAAATATGATTTTTTCCTAAATTTCAAGTCAAAGTTTAGGCTACTATCTTACGATATTGGTAATTTTTATGAATTTATACTTTAAATTTTTATCATTATGCTGCCTAACTGAATTATATACGAGATATTACTACTACTGAAGTTTCATACGTTTGATTTTAAACTATTTAGATTAAATATACTTATCAATTAGCAATGACGCATAATAACTGAATTTTGCAAAAAATCATGGGCATGTGTATTTTCTGTACATTACATCGTACATCTTCTATTAATGACATTGAATTGCGTTGCAACAATTTACTAACTAAGCAACATTTCAGGTCTCAGCTGCCCGTGAAGAAGTACCCGGACGTCGTGGTTTCCCTGGTTACATGTACACCGATTTGGCAACCATCTACGAACGTGCCGGACGTGTCGAGGGTAGAAACGGCTCAATCACACAGATTCCTATCCTCACTATGCCTAACGACGATATAACTCACCCTATTCCTGATTTAACTGGTTACATTACCGAGGGACAAATCTACGTCGATCGTCAGCTTCACAACAGACAGATTTACCCACCAGTCAACGTATTACCTTCGCTCTCGCGTTTAATGAAGTCTGCTATTGGCGAAGGTATGACTAGGAAAGATCATTCAGATGTGTCTAACCAGCTGGTGAGTTTTCATTATGTACTTCTTAGTAGCTTTTTACATTACGTTTAAATTACAGCTAGATTTTGTCTAATGAAAATATGTGTATTTTCAGTATGCCTGTTACGCTATTGGTAAAGATGTGCAAGCTATGAAAGCAGTAGTAGGTGAAGAGGCATTAACGCCTGATGATCTGCTGTACCTCGAGTTCCTTTCCAAATTCGAGAAGAATTTTATCTCTCAGGGTTCGTACGAGAACCGTACGGTCTTCGAGTCACTAGACATCGGTTGGCAATTGCTTCGTATCTTCCCCAAAGAGATGCTTAAACGAATTCCAGCCAGTACTCTTGCTGAGTTCTATCCTAGGGATTCGCGTCACTAAACAACTCTACCATCATCATTGCCCAGCATCTTCGTAATATTCTTTTTTCTAAAAAAAATAAATAATTGAAACGAAGCCTAACGCGCTATTAAATGTTATGAAAGAAGTGCACATGGATGAAAATAATATCCCTTGTGGAAATTTGCATGAAAATGAGCAATACTATATATTTTTCGTCCAGTCTTATTACCTTCCGTATGGGTTAATCTATTGGGGCGGCTACTTTTGAAATCAGTATTTCATATTTAGTAATTGCAAGCTAACTCCTACCTAAAGTAAAATAGGCTTATTTATCATTTACTAAATAGATTTTGTTATTATGGAGCAGAATTTTATTCTCAGTATATAGTTTTAAAAACAGTAAATTTCTACTAGGGCAAATAAAAAAAACTAAGATTTAATGAAAGTGTAATAAAGAGCGCAGGTCTCTGAATGTTAAATCGTCATGTTTTTTAACCAGAATATTTTCTGGGACGCCTGTGTGTAGCTTTTGAAAACGTACGTGTTATGTTTTATTCTTAGAATCATTGAAATCAGCAAATAAAGAAAGCTCAACAATTAATCGATGAAATCATTTACATTGATAACAAAAAAAACGCACCAAGCTAGGAATTCGTTGGCAATTCATATCGTAAGTGATAGTAAAAAAAAGAAATAAAACATTTACGTTTGTGCGTAAAAAAATCAAAGAGTTACACGAGATATTTTTAGAAGACGACGCCAAGGCCAAGTGTTCAAAAAATTACCATCCAATTTGAGTAAATGCTTCGTGAAATATCTCTTCGTGCTCTTTGCATTGGGGTACACGTGGACGTGGGCACTTGTTCACTGTTCTTTTATGTAGTATTATCAATGTTGGTTCTCTTTTTTTCCGAAGCATTTTCAAAATGTGACATGCATATGCGTATATTGCATTGTCTTGGTCTCCCTTCAAATACGAAAATATGTCATAATAAACGAGAGATAAATTGCCCATGTCTGACTGTGAAATTATTAATGTATCAGTCAGTATTACAGTATGAAGGAAAAATCAAGTACATCCAACTTTTAAGATTTTCGACACGTTACGTTGTTTGCCCTACATTCCAAAAGCAAAAAAAATTAATGCTGACTAAAAAAAAACTTTGTTTAGGAGGACACAACACATTGTACAGTCCTTAGATATACTCGAATACTACGTATATAGAAACACTCAAGACACAATAAGAAAAAAGAAATTTTCTATGAATTGTAAATGTTAAACTAATTGTAAATCTATGATGAAATTGATGAAATTCTAATCGATTGTACGTAAGTTTACAATGTGTCGATATAGCATCATTTGAAAGGATTGAGTCATTCGTACTATAATTCACCTTATTACCTAAACAACGATTAGGAACGAATCAACGTGGCTAACTATTATCCATTTTTTTTTGGAAGGTTAACAATTTTTTCTCGTCGTTGAATTATTAAGAAATGTGAATGTAATATATCTGTATAAAAAAACAAAGAAATTAAAGAATCTACTACTTGTTTCCTTCTTAGTCGTAATATTCCTCAGAACTTCTTTAACACACGTTTTAGTGTATAAAAACAAATTGATTGTTGCGCCATTGTTGCTATTATAAAATAATTGTTTTCTCTGTTATTATACCACCGGAGAACACTATAATTACCAAAAACTGTCACTGCTAAAAATACATGCTATCTTGAACAAAGAAAAAAATTAATAAAAAGCTTCAATAAAGTAACAAAGGGATTATACGATTGTAACGTGCTGATTTCTGTCATGAATTTTTTGACGCTACCATTAAAATTCTTTTTGAAGATTATATTATGATATGATCTTCCTCAGTTTTTACTTAAGAAATGCTTGATTTTATTCCGTTATTTTTGTATAATTTTAAGGCGTAGCAATATTATGTTGATAAAATGAATAAAAAACTGTATTGTGCATAGAAAAAAGTGATTGTTCGATTTGAAATAAAATGAAATAATATTTTATTCCATTTTTTTTATCTTTCTTAATTCCAAAGCGTTGACTATTTTAAAAATATTATTTTGTTGTAAAAAAGATAATTCAAAAACTTTCGAATAATAAACTTGCAAAGTGCAATCACATAGAATGATAAAATATTATCACGATGCACATCGAGGTATTGCGTTACCATCATAAAATGACTTCAAACAATCAAACAAACTAATTAATATAGTTTTAAGTCTATCTATGTTAGACACATGAGGATTCTATTCGATAATATTTTTTTTTTGTTTACAATTATAATCGTGGTTATCTTAAAATCCAATTAAATTATAGTTTATTTAAAATAGGAATGATTTGACAAGATTTGCGTTACGTATATGAAAAATTTTATGAAGTTAGGTAGAAAATATTTTCTTTTCAATTTTGATTACGTTCAACTGAATTAATTTGCAAGACACTAAATGTATGTGAAATATATGTGAAAATGTAACTTCTTTATGTTCTTTATATTTTACATCTTCAAAAATTATTATTAGGCATTGATTCGAATTTCAACAGCTAATACCTATATTATGTTTTTCAAGTATTATCACCGAAGATATATTGGAAAGTTATCAGAATTTGATATATTTTACCATTACCACTACAAATTGAGGAAAAAATTTATTGGTTGCGTTTGGCTTCTATCTTACAAAGTAGTTATTACTGTAAAGATGTGAAAGAAAAATGTATGTGTGTGTTTGTATTTATCGGCTGGTCTTCACTCTGTTAGGAGCGATTCGGACTGTCGTTATAGATGCTGCAATCATTCGGTCATGTACTAGATTTTAAGGATGAGCTCCAGCGTTGGTGGCCAGAAAATAACGTTCGAAACTTTAATTTAATAACAAAAATGATAAACTTGTTAACATTAATACGTTTTATAATTTTATAATTATGTCATTAAGCTGACATTATAGTCACGAACAATTTAATTTTCGACGAAAAAAAAAATATATTAGTCTATTTGGTTACTGCATTTTGAAAAAAATGACTCAGTACCTTTATTACACGTCGGATTATATGAAACAGGCGTACCTCAATTGTTATAAAACGAAAAAAACAGTTCCATTTAGCATTTGTTTTTTATTAGAATAACACTCAAAAGTATGTACATACTTTAATACATTTTGCTGCATACTTGTTTATTAGATTAAATGTTTTCGATCCATTATCGTTGAGGAGTAAATATTTTTTTAAACGGATGGAGGTGTACAATTCTTGAAGAGATTTTTTAACAAAAGATCAAGGAGAATAAAAACATAAGGACAGTGCAGGTAATGATTAATCAGATTTGTTTTCAAGATAATTTATTTTTATAAAGGGAAAGTCAATCTTGAATCACTTATAATATACTTATGCAGAAGTTGTATTGTACAATATCAATATTTATGTCAATAAAAATAAAAATCAAGGTTAGTTTAAACCATAATAATTTAACAATACTCAACTGTTTCTTACTTGATGGCTTCTGGCATGAACGGTATAGCCCAATGTTTATTTCAAGAACGGGCTATCCTATCAAACATTCCAAAAGACACGTTACGTTCATTGCATAACTATTATCATGTATAATGTTTCAATTCGAATGTAATAACAATACGTAATTAAAAGTTGTATGAAATATATTCAGTATCTTCCCGTACTTACGTTAATATAGCTTCTACAATTGTTCATTCTGGGAATAGAGTATCAGTAATTTGGTCTAAAAATAGATATGTACAGTAGATCGCAATACTCTCATCATACGATTGTTTTAAAAAGTTTAAAGTACTATGCATCGTTTGAATTTTCCAAATAAAAAAATCAATCTATGCAAAAAGAAAAGTTGGTGGTAATCACAACAGTAGAATAAACAATGGTTCAAGTGCAGTCTTATAGACTAGGCAGTATAACAAGCACGACGATCCAGCGTTCGATCGGGTAGTTGTGCTAGTCACGCTCTTTACTTGCATTCCAGGGCCAAGCAGATTGAACTTGTGTTTTTTTGCGAACTTTCAGAATCTGAACGCTTATTGTATAACAAATTTGTCGTTGACGATCTTCAAATTGCTCAAGGCATCTATGTAAACATTTAGGAGCCCGGAAAAAATATAAAAATTGATATAATTATTTTATTGAAAATGTAGTTTCTATAGTATGTTATAAAATTCGTAAAGTATTCTAACACAAAAATAATTAAAGTTATTTTTAAATAAACAATATGAAAACTTTAATTGATTTGGTAATTAATTGGACAGTAAAAATAGAGACGATAGGAGAAAAAAATGAAAAAAAAAGGTTTTAAAAGCGCTAAAAGCTTTAATCAGACTGACATTCATTGCCGTAGTGTACTGTACGGTTTTTTCAGAAATCAATATTGACGGAAACGAGTGATGTGTTGTTGAAAAGGGTAAATTTTAAAGGCTTAGTAATAACATATGAATTTTTCGTCCTTTTATATTACTCCTACGCAGAAGAAAACTTCTTTTAAACTTTTGATATCAGTCCTGCGATAAGCAAACGTCTTTCTCTTTCGATAAATGATTGTTTAGAAAGTCGGATAATTGATAACTACTTTGATAATGAAAACTTTTGTGGTCATAAAAAATTTCTTATATTAAAGTCATCACTGAGATAATTTTGTTGCCATAATGATATAAAAAAATATTTTATTTGCTAAAGAAAATCGATAAAATCTCAGCAAGTAAATCATCTTGTCTTTGTCATTTATCTGATTTATTTTAATGCATGCCCCCCATACTACTAGCGACCGAGACTGGCCCTTATACACCGCATTTACATTTGGAATAATGTTTAGAAAGAGCGACAAATCGAAAGAAAGTTCAATCGTCACCACCCGGTTTAGCCTGCGTGGTTTAGCCTGCGTATAATTTATACGTTTGTAATCTTATGTCATCTTTATTTATTTTCCAATTTTAATAAAATAAGAGCTGATAAGTACATCAATTATAACATTATCGAATTCACTCAAATGCAGATAGGAAATTGAGGTAACATTGAATAAATTTGCGAATATGCAACTCAAGAAATTTTTGTGTAAATGCTCAAATATAAAAAATTTAATAAAATAATAATGTTTGGAGGCACTTGATATATACGTACCGCAACTAATACTTCTTTTGTTTTTTTATTCATTACATTTAAAATATGCAACTTTGAATTCCAAATCTTATCTTTCATTTCGTGAATTGATATCTGTTGATATATTTAAAGTCCTGGCGAATAAAAATACAAAGATTATTTAAATAAAATCATTAGTAGCAACAGAAATAAAGCAATATCTTCAATAGTTAAAAAAATCTGTATCGACCTTAAGAAATAATTGCTGGCATTCCTCAATGTTTTCTACATTGCGCACATAAAATCCAGAAACAAGGCGACTCGAACAAAGAGAGCGCCGGGAGGTGAAAGAGAGGTTATACACGGAGAGTGGTAGGTATAGGTACTATAGGTAGTGTAGTTTAAGTGCTTGAAGGCTACTTCCATCTCGTCTACGGCCTCATCTTTTTTTCCATCAAAAGAAGTCTACGAATGACTCCGCACTTGCGTGCAGGTCACGCGTGCTAACTTTTATCCAGCGAGTCAACGACGCGCTCGTTGCAAAGGTATTTATCGATTATATCTATCTCTTTTTTTTTGTATTATTTGCCAAAACGCTTCAATTGCCCGAATCAGAGTGCACGTGCACTCAGGAGTGAGGTTATGTTTATTTCTCTCCAGGCCGGACACACTTTCTCTCCATTTTATGGAATTCTAAAATTTTCGATTTTTGTGAGAGAAATATGACTCAATCGTTAAAAATACTAACCTTATAATGATTAATTTTTTATGTTAATTCTAAATATAAAAGACAAGTTAGTCATCGATTTATTCTATATATTCGTGGAATATTTTCGGTTCTACGCAGTCGGTAACGCTTTTATTTTTTTATGAATGACACCGCCGAACACGGCGTTTTTATTATACAAGCAACACGTGATTTCTTCCTCGCATGATCGATAAACGCGTGAGTGAATGAAAGTATTCTAATGATGCTGCTCGTTTCTTTCTTACCTCGAACTTCGTTGTAAACGCAACTACGTCGACTTGTACTCAGCAACGCTGCCGAGAATTACGTAATACATACAGAACGTACACGGTATTTTGTTTGAGGCTCTGTTAGTAACTTGAATGTATTAAATGTTATTCGTTTTATGAACATTGTGTATTTTTGGTTGATTGAACTTTCTGAAATGAAGTGACGTTACTAAGAAATAGCAACTGAAAAGAAATCTTTTTTAATTAATTTTTAACGTGTCACGTACGAAAAATAAATTAGCTACTGCATAAATACTATAGAATGACTTTTGAAGAAGCCAATTTCGATGATATTTAATTTTTTAAGGTCCTTTTTTATACAGTACAATAGAATAGATTATGAAATATTGCATTATTAATAATGTTTTAATCCTCATCAAGCAAACAATTAGGTCTATACGATGTGCATGTCCCTCAGAAACACGATCATCGATGTTATTGCATGTACATCGAACGAACAAAAGAGAACAAAAATAAAACTTGATTCTCAATACGAATATGTTCAAATTCACGATTTCAACTCGCGTAACGGACCGAGGTGAAATCGCATTGTCACGGACGTTGATATGGAAGTGAAAAAGAAATGCTTACTATCCATTTTTTCATGTTTTCACGGTACTCCATGATGCATACGTCTACGTAATAATTGTGGTCGTGGATGGGTGATTTAGTTATACGCACTTTGCTGTCCGACTTTTTCACGTGCATCATATATTTACAAGACTCTTTGTTGATTGATTGTTTCTTCGATGAAAACGTACATATAAGTGTCGATGCAAAGGGTTTCACTTTCCGTGAATGCTGAGAATTTTCGTTTTATAAGAATAAAGAAAAAATCAAGCGTTATCGTAACAGCAATCAAGTTAGGTCAAAACAGAAGTACGTTGGTGAATTATGATAATGAATGATTTACCATAATTATAAGCTTGCAATTTGTACATTGATATAACTTATCTGATAACGCAACTCATATATGACAGCGTCATTTGCACATGGCAATTTCACATTTCAATGTGAATGTGCACGTCCAATCTATTTTTGTTTTTTAATGTATGTACACCTTTCGCGACATCACCAATATTACTTTTGTCGAAATGTTTACAGAAAAAAAAGAATTGGGAATTGGTTTCATCAACGCACTAAAAAGACGTACCCGGTAGCGTGTGAAATCGGCTGCACGATCAAGAGCTTCGTATTTGCCATTATAATGAACACGCCAGCCGAACAAATCTACGCCGTAGTTGAAGTTTGACTGTGATTTTGTTGTTTCTTTATTATCTGTCGCCCCCCCCCCTTCCCTTCGTCGCTCACTCTCACTCTTTCTTTCACACGCATTCAAATTCAATTGACACTGACCGGTTAACTAAGTCTGATGAAAACTCGAGATACCGGTATTTGAATGTTTTTTTTTACTTACGAAAGCGCTGCTTGAATAAATGTTAATGCATGGCGCGATTATAATTTGCTTTGTTTATTGGGCTAAAAGTGGATCGCTATGTAGTTGTGTGTGTTTTATATGTGTTGAAACGAGGAAATTTTTTCGCATTTGTAAATGACGCGCGTGTCGTTTACTTTAGATACTTTGTTGGGATAAAATTTTCTGGATAAAAGTTCTTCTGTTGTTGAAAGTTTATTTTGTAAATGCTAATTTTTATTATAATCAAATAACAAAAGAACGCGCCAAGAAAGAACTTTTATTTCAGTTAAAATTTACAATTCAACTAAAACTGTTGCCCACTCGGCAAAGAAAGAGAAAAAAAACACGGCATCTCAGCAAACGAAATTACAGTGTAAGCTCGGCGCATGGCCGCAGCACACACAGCAGACGGTGCAGAGAAATCGCAACGGCTCAACTGAACGCGGTCGTGTTCCGCTTGGCCCAATAATCGCAGTTCACTAAAAGACCCGTGCGTTTAATTTTAAAGCCGCACGCCGAGCCATCTTCTATTTCGCAGCCTCCTTTGTTTTTAAGTGGTCGTCAATTTCCGTTGCCCGATAAATATGTAGATTTTTTTGCCAGAACCAGAGCGTCCTCTTTCGACAGCTTGATTCTCATTGATTATACTTTTTGATGAATCTGTGTTAGTGGATTTTAAGAACAATACTTTTTTTTTCTAATGAATTGATATTCACGCTTCGGCATAGTGGTATATACTTTTATTTGCGTGGTTTCGATATACGATCATAATGATGATCAAATGTAGTTTTTATATCAATATGAATGCCCTGAAAGCAATGGTTTCCCTTGTATTTTTGCAGTATTTCAGCGTATTTTTGTAAATGAAAGCTTTACTTGAAAAAATTTCGAAAGTTTTCGATGTGCAATAATTAAAAAAAAGAATAAAAATTAGCATCACCAAGGAAACTCGCAAAACGCAAAGCCACATTCTGTAAACGCCTAGGATGCGTCGCACGATAATTGAACTTTAAAAAAAACTAATCATCGCGATAAGAAAAGAAACGCTGCATACGTACAGCAGAGATACAGGAGAGGAAGTGCACGCGAGCGATGTCCTTCCATGACGCGACGCTCGCGCATCGCGACGAATTTAATCTCATTTGAGAGCCATTAACGTTAACGTGCTTCTTGCAGCTCTCATTGTGCGCCAATCTTTTGTTTGTCTCGCGTAGCAAGTTTTCTATGTGCTTGCGAAATCGAATGGAATTTGATAAACGGCGAAACTTTTTTTCTACCATAAGACATCGATTATCAATTATTATAAATCAATTATAAGAAATTGTTATTTTTTTGCCTTTGTGAGGTATAATTTTATATATATATATATATATATTTTGTGTGTGTGTGTGTGTGTGTGTGTGTGTGTGTGTGTGTGTGTGTGTGTGTGTGTGTGTGTGTGTAATCAGCCGTAATTCTATGTTGGCCTTCCAATTTTTCATGCAGCGATCGGTGGTGGAGGCACTAAGGAACGTTGTATACCCAGTTAAAATATTCATGCACACTCCTAATTGACACACTAAGAAAAGCTCTGCTTCGTAAAGCTTTTTCAAACAGAACATTTTTTTTAATTGACAAGCGAAATATCTTGATTCAAGACATAATCAATTGGTTTTTCTAAAAAAATGCTTTCCTAAAAGAACATTCGTAAACGTAATGCGTTTACAGCTGCAGACCCGAGGGTAGAGATTCAATCATAACAATCAATGATCGCTTCGGCAAATAGATATTTAACTAACTTTTTCGATAAATGAAAGAAGACGAAAAAGCGAAAAATTCAATGAGAAAGACCATTGGCATCGGCAGCAACGCGCTGCACAGGTGAGCGAGCGCGTAAATTGCCGCGCAGGCGCCATGCCGTCCGGTAACGCAGTAGCGCGAGCAGCAGCAGCTCTGCTTTTAATTTTCAAAGCGAGTGTCAGTCGGCGCAAGTTGGCAGTCACGAGCCAAACGCTCCTGCTCAGCCGCGGAGTCCGTATATGCGTGTGTTCGTGCGCGATGACGACTTTTTTCAACCTGGCAGTAACAGATCAATGAAGGAAAACTGCCTACGATAATTGACTTGTGTGCCGCGTGGTTATAATCGTGCGTTGGTAAATTGTTGCTTGCATGCTGTTCAGTTCGGTGCTATTGAGCGCGTACACGTGTATCGTTTCGTCAGCCAATTGCATCAGTTTTTCGGCTGTTGCGAAAAAAAAAACAAATTCTATTGTGCATCATAAGATGACGATTTAAAACAACAAAACAAAAAGGTCTATCAATCAAATGTCAGTCAAAATAAAAAAAAAGCACTATGCGGAACTTTCTATTCTCAGCGTCGCCGGCAAACCGTGAAATGACTGTCCCTTCCCGCGTGTATGTGCCGTGCATTATCCCAGCGTAACCGCGAGTAAAAATGCATCCGTTCGACGGTGGAAATTTTTCGTACACGTGTTTTCCCGTGCGTGATTAATATTCGTGCGTGTTGGTAATTTCGGCAATCGATGCCGACGAAACGATCGTCTCTCTCTTTTTATTTGATCAGCTGACTTTATAATTCTGGAAATAGAAAAATAACCGGTGATTAATCATTCGCTCCGCTTGATATGCTCGAACGAGGTTTAGTAGTTTTACAACTAGAGCGTGAAAGTCTTTAATGTGCCTCGCGATTTTCGTTTCAACCGATCGATATTCGAATCACCGGGGAGATCTGGCTTTGCTTTTTTCTTATCGGTCAGCGCACGTATAATAATCGCAAAGCGCTGAAAAAATTGTTTTTTGTTAAAGGCAGGGGATCAGGAAATATGTTGTTGTGTGTCTTGAATAATTGCGATGCCGCGGAGTGCGAGTGAAGTGCAGATATTATAAAGGAACTCGTAGGCCTTTTTTATATACACACGGCAGTTCGACGATACGCACGATGGACGGACTTGTCGAGCTGTTCCTATTCTGTGGAGTCATATATTACTTCCTCAGTTTTAGGTATGATTATACGTTTTTTTTCTTTTCTTTTTCGTTCGATTTTTAATTTTCTTCGATCGATATGGGAATATTATTTTTATTTTTCCGTTTTTGCTCTTTTACGTAGGACAGGTAGGTTGAAACTGCTATATTACGTAAACTCAATGTTCGATTTTGTTCAATTTACCGTTCATCTTTTCGTTACTTATGGTGTTTTCAAATTATATCATTGAAATTGTGTATTATACAGAAGAATATGTGTCGTCTCTAAATTAACATCAGTCGTAATGTCTATTTTTACTAAAATTTTTATACAAATAATTTCGTGAAAATTTCGCTAAAATATTTTACAATAAATCGTTTACGTGAGAAACGGCATATGTTCAGAATTTTTTTCCATATAGAATATTGCATAGTAGCTAAAGAAACGATAGCCGCAAAGACTAACGTCACTGTCAGTAATCTTCCGCTTTCTTTGTATTCACAAAAAAATTACGTACGAAGAGTTTTATTAAACTCTATTTATTAAAATAATAATTATAAAACTTGCCTTGGGCTCTAAACGCTGTGCGCAGAAAGGAGACTACTTCGCAGTTTGTTAGTTCCAGCATTGAAAAAGTTCATTTTTAAGTGAAAATTAGCGAACGACCAATATTTTTCCTATCGCAAATTACTCTTATCACATTGTCCTATACCAATCCGATAACCCTACATTTTCTTTGTTTCCTCGATTCAATTTATTGTTGTTCATTGCGATAATCGTTCTGCGCTATAAACATTGTGTAACAGCAAAATGCATCTCGAATGATCCTCTGTAGCGATAGGTCGATCACGCCAGAGAGAGAGAGAGAGAGAGAGAGAGAGAGAGAGAGAGAGAGAGAGAGAGAGAGAGAGAGAGAGAGAGAGAGAGAGAGAGAGAGAGAGAGAGAGAGAGAGAGAGAGAGAGAGATTGACCCTGAGAAAGCAGCCTCGGGAAAGTGTCCGCAATTATTTATTTTTTTTTTTTTTCGACTGGCGACCAACGAGTTTGTTTCCTTCTTGTGGTTGCTCCCTTTCTAGGTACACGCGCGACTTATTAAGAAATTAAGCGCAAATCGGGTAATGGAATGTCGTTTTCTGAATAATGCTGATCGTATATTGTTAAAACAGTTTGCGCACATAGAGGTCGAAGTTTTCTCGGCTTCTGCCCGGATTATTTGAATAACACCACGAGCAGAGCGAATCGCCTGCTGGGGATTTGAGCTTTCGCTAATGGAATTCTTTATTTTTTATCGACCATCAGATAAAAAAGAATCGTCGATTCCTATTTTTGATGTGATAAAAATAATCTTGAGAAAATCCATTGTTTGTCGCGAAGATGCTTGATACTTGTTTGTTTATGCAACTTTGAGATGACGATCGATCTCTCATCAATCTGTCTTCATGAATAACAAAGGAATGGATCAATTTCTTAACTTTTTCAACTAATTATTTTTGTTATCGTGAAATGTAGATCCTTATCCGCTTAAACCATTTAAATACATATTTAGATTAATCAGAATAACCGATGGACGAGCGTTCCAAAAGATTATTGAAGATCTATATTAAACTTATATATCTATTACAAAGTGAATCGTGAATCGAATCACAATAGGCTTGTCGTTATTAGGTTAACGATCAAAATATGACCGACGACTGGAAATTCGTATAGATTTACTGAATTTAAAATAGATAGTCAAAATGTATTTTTAATAAAATAGCTTCTCCCATTGATCTATACTAACAACAACAAATCGGTCTTGTACGGTACGAAATTATAAATCTAGAAAAATTAAATATTACAATAAAATCTGCTAGAAGCTAAGGTTTCACCTAGATATCAATTTGCTTTGCTGAAGATAAAAATTTACAAATCGAAAAAAATAATAAAAAGATCGATCCAAAATGAAATTACGGATGCATATTACATCAACGTCGATCGATCGAAGAAAATGCTCATATATATAAGTCGCGTAATCCGACACATGCACAAATGAAAATATGCAATAGACCGGTCGAGTATGCGGTACAACAGTCATACGACGCCACAATTTGAGATTATTTCTTTTTCAAATCTGAGCGTGAGATTGTTGCTTATTGCAAACTCTTTATGACATTGTGTTATGTAAAGGTTTATGATTGGAATGCTAATACCGATAAGGCAAGTTAAGCTTGACGAAGATGTATATTTTTGTATTGGTTTTTATTATTTATAACAATAATAAAATGGAGACGCTCAAGTTAATATAATTCGTGAATTATCCTATACACGAAAACTTAAAATTTTCTAATCAAAAATATTCTGAATAAGTTCATTTAGTTTTTGTAATTGGAAGCGTTTGAAAACAAATTTATTATTATTCATTTTATGGACATTACACCTTCGGTATATTGACTTGTCTCATAAATAAAACAACGAAATTTGTTGTGAAAATAGATGCTGATATCATCGCGATGCAAATGTGACACTTAAAACTCGTATACAACTATATCAACAATTCTCAACATGTCGGCGTTGCTCGCATAGTCCTTCGATTTTTTAATGAGCTGATCGTCTTCATTGGAAGTTTGGGTATAACGTGCTATTCTTGACTGTCGCCGTGTCGTAATAATTTAATATATGAGATCGATGTTTTTTTAGTATATCATTCTACGTACCACTTATAAAAATAGTATCACGAATCGCAAAAAAGATGTAAAAAACACATGATTGTTCTAGAAATGATGAAAAAAGAAAATTTTTCCTTGAAAAATGAAAACAAATGGACTTGTTATTACGAAAATTGTTGATTATCGCCGACAATGCAGTATAAGGTTGACGATGATAGTCATAAGGTCGTAAAAATGTAACGGGTAATAACTTGTAATATTCACATTAGTGTGTCAAATGTGGGCACAACTGATGCAAGAATATAAGTGATAATACCAAAATGCGTTAAAGTTCTTATAAGGATCACAAACAACAGGGTCATTCGTCAGATGCGTAGACGCCTCACCGCACACTGTGCCCCCTCCCCTCTCCCGCATTATTATTTGATTTGACGCTCTCGTACGTGGTACCCATTACTAGTAACCAACACGGAGTGAAACCGACGAAATTTTCTATAAGGCTCAGGTCAAGGCTCAAGCAAGGAATGAGAATAGGTAGCCTACACGGTCGCTCATTATTAAGCCAGACTTAGCTCCGTCGAAAGCACCGTAATGAGCTCGACATCGATACCTTCATTACATTAGATTCGATTACATATAATGTGCACATACAAATTCTAGTAGCGCGAGTGCGCTCCCCTCGATCGAATACTTGGATAGCTCGATTGTAAAATACAATGTGTTGCGCTGTCGTACATTTAGTTTCGTTTGCTTGTGTTAAACAAAAAGTAAAGCGATCCGCGTTATCAATAGTGATTACAATTTATTAGAATTGCAATATGTTACAATTTCAATTTGTTAAAATGCATAGAGACAATGTCTCAAGGTTGGTTTTTAATGAAAATGAAAGAATATTCTTTAAATTGATGGATCTAGAACTTTGCACGTATACTCTTTGTAAAGTAACAAATATTTTGAGTCCTTGTTCATTTTTTCAATCTCATACTAAAATAGTACTAAAATAGTTTCGTTCGAGGATTTACATTTTTAAAAAAAGCAAAGCCTCATCAAATTTACTTAAAATATTTTACCAAAACCTATCTCAATTTGAAATAAGCAATGGAATATGAATGTCATTTAAAACATAAGTAAATAATAATAATTTTTAACATTTTATGATATATTCTAGTTTGAGATGAATTGTATAGTTAAAATCATAGGTAAATTTTGCTTCTTCGAATGAAATGAGCCCTTAAACGATTGTTTTGGGGATTTTCATACGCGTATAGAATAACTGTTATTCGAAAAAAGCAAATCAAACTTATATGTTCGTGATTTAGTAGAAAATTATAGCAATAGGATCCGTGATATATTAAACCCATACACATTGAACTTGAAATCTATGTTTGAAGACACGTTAAGCAGAAAATTGAAAAATTTAGATAAAAATCGATCTTAATTAATATTTAATATGGCAGATTTATTAATTAATGGACGACAAATCCAAACAATCATCCGTGATTAAACTCTTCAATACATCTTTCCGAGCCTCAAAATGAGCACAGCTAAATAGTGACGACGACAGCGACAAAGTGCAACAGCTGAATGAGAAATCTGGCTTAACAAACGCAGATATATATAGTACGTGACATTTTCGCAGTGGTAGCATTTGCCAATAAAAAACGTCTACACCAATGTGAGAATCACGCGAGAGAGTAGCTGACAAACGGTGACTCTCCTTGGCAGCTCTACATATGTACTTGTGATGCAGCTTAGATGCTCGTTATCTATGGGAAGTTTGTTACAACTCAAGGTAGAAAAATCGCTGAGTCGAGAGAGTATATACATCGTACGAACAAAACAATAGTTGACAGTAGGTCATAATTTGGTGAAACTTATATATTGTTTTTTATCTTATCGCGGCAGTATTCTCGTGGATGAAATAATATATACATATGCTGGGTACAAAGTCTACTCAAAGTAGTATATTAACGTTAGATCAAGCCGAGAAAAAGATTAATACGTTTATCGATAGAGTTCATATCACTCTAAAACAAAACAATCGAGAGAAGCGTGCACGAATCTCTTTAACTAATTTTCCTTTCATTCGATCACGCGAACTGCCTTACCATGAGCAAACACAAGTTATTTTACGTACTCGCAAATTCAAAGACAAAGTATATACATACTTGATTGATAATTGTGTAAAACTACTAACGAATCTTTATACTTTGCACGGTTTCAGGATCACCGACATGGTGGACGTAATGCAAAATCGCGTGCAAGATGTATTCGCAGGTTGGGATTCCAAGACAGATCGTGTGATAGCCGATGAGAATGCACCGAAAGTCTCGACAAATGGTAAGCTTAGGTAGCGTACTTTTTAAACGTATTCCCAAAAAAAGACTAAAAAAAAGTAATTATTCACAGAGCTGAAACGAGCAGGACTGTCAATTCAGAAACGAGCAGCTAGGAATAAGGAACAAGCACGAGCAGTGCGTAATAATTCGCTGTTTCGTATCAAGGAGACAGAAATCACAGTGGCAGATCCTACGAGGAATATGTCTTTTCTGTATTATTGTTGCAGTAGCTGTACACCTGCGTCAAGGGTAAGCGGAGTTTGCTTCTTCGTTTTCTTGACGATTGTGATTATCTGAAAATCTATCTTGAAAACTTTGAAGGAATTTCAAGTAAAAAAACAAATGATTATTACTATATTATTCGAAAATTCGACGAACTCGTTACCGAAAGCTTTCGCAAGCTCGATCACCAAATTTCTATATTATCATCAGCCGGTCAAAGGTAACGATCCACGGCTACCTATTTTTTGAAATCATCACCGCAGCCTCCATCCCGCTGCCGATCTATACGTATATGTATCTTTATACAAATGTCTGCGTGTTTGCTCTAAAAATACAAAATACACGCAAGACAGTTTCTCTCTTCGCTTCTCTTTCTCAGTTTGGCTACGAACGGTATCATGAAAAAAATCGCGCGATCGCGTGAGACACTCGACGATTATTTTTAGTAACGCACGCTTAGTTATCGATTGCATAATTAGTGCGTATTTTTCTACCTCGTTTGTCGCTTTGACGCTTCGTCAAAAATGCTTGTGACTCTGCTTCTTTGATTTTGCATAATTTTGAGACATGCTGAAGCTTTGATTGCAAGCAGCTTTAAAGTGATGTTCTTGACGTTTGAAAAATCAAAGATTATATGTGACTTTTATTGGTGGTTTGGAACATAGGAAGTTTGGTTACGAAGATTTAGTATTTGTCGTTGATTAAAAAAATAGGTCATAAAATTTGTTAATTTACATCTCAATAGACGGAAGCTTAATTTACTGCGCTTCATTAAAAAACAAACTCTGAATACATTCACTATGAACAAACGAACATTCGACGCGCAGTTTCTCCAAATTAAAACACTTCACTGTTAACATACATAAATTTAAATATATGTATATTAATGAGAATTCAACTGCAAAATGCTGCCAACTGAAAAATATAACATTCTCTCTGTGTTCATACCTTCGATAACGCTTTTTCAATTATGATATTAACAACGTGTGAATTGTGTAATGTACGATTCACGCATAAGATAAGATAACGTTCGAGATATAACGTCGCATAATACCATCAAAATGCAATTTTAGTTGAAGCAAGATGCATCGTTCTATTATTTTCCTAATAAATCGAAATCATCCGAAAGTCTTCGTCGATTTTCATCTATGATTTTAATGAAATGTGGTGTAAATTCGAGTTGAATAAAAATGTACGACGAATCTCCAGACCTTTTGCCGAGTTTTAAAAGATGGTTGAGAGTCGTTGTTATTACGAGCTATTTAGATAGGCCAAATGTGAGTGTTTCAAATTCGCAGAAAGAAAAGAAAGATAGAACTATAGTTTTTTCAAAGAGATGTGATTGTAGCTGGATATCATTTTTATTATAGGACTCTTTAGTAAGTACAACATCAAAGCAACATCACTCAAACATCACAAATCTTCTCATAGTGCCGCCAAAATTGAATCTTCTGTCCAAAATCTTCTCACACACGTCTCATGTGCTGACGTTTAAGAAGTACGATTATCCAAAGGTCACTCAAACTGTAAGTAAATTGTGTACTCATTTTCAGATCACCCTTTTTCTTTTTAAATACGTAGTTAGAAAGATTTACTTTTGTTTTGTTCAATGTAAATATTCAATTATTTTAATTTCTGTAAAATAGACATCAATTAAAAATATTACAATGCTTGAAAAATTAACATAGTTCGTGAAATAACAATAACAATATATTGAAAAATTATCGCATGAGTATAGTAAAAATCTAACTAAAAGGAATTATTTAATTAAAATACTTTATTCGATTCGTCAGGTCCTAGATGACGAGAGGTTAAAAAGTGCAATTGCGCAAACAGCCCGAGAGACAAGTAGGCACGAGGGTATCTCGGAAGATGAAGCTCTGCGTAAATGTGAAGCTCGAGCAAAATCCATCCTTGAACGAATGCAAAGTAAATTAAGCGATGCTTTGTTGAGGTTTACCGCGTGGACACTGTACAAGCTGTTGCCTTGTTTCATCACTTCGGCAGCTGTTCAAAGCCGACATCTCGACGTACTACAGAAAGCCAATGAATCGGGACTTCCACTTATATTCATGCCGTTGCATAGAAGTCATTTGGACTATATTATGATTAGTTTCCTGTCATTGATGAACAATATCAGATGTCCACTTGTTGCTGCTGGGGATAATCTAAGGATCCCGTTATTCGGGTGAGTAAGGGTTACTTAGAGGAACTTACTATTTGTTTGATTTGCTTTTTACAACAGCGTTGAATTGTTTTTTAATATTTTTTAACACACTCTGACAATTTTTTAATACATTTGTTTGAAGAATTATTTTTATTAAAATACTAAAATGAAAATAGTAATAAAATTATCAGTTTTCGAAATAATCGATGTAAATTAAACTGCTTTATTAATAATTGTTCATTTTCCGAAATAATTTTCATGTATTTTGGATGGTGAATCATCTCTCAAGAATAACAACTGAACTATCTTGTTTTATAAATTCAAGCAAAATTAATCGTTTAACAGTTGGCTGATGAGTGGTTTAGGCGCCTTTTTTATAAAGCGTCGTATGGATCCAGTTGCCGGTCGCCGTGATTTGCTGTACCGAGCAACTCTGCACACATATATAATGGAGTGTTTACGGGCTGGCCACAACTTGGAATTCTTCGTAGAAGGTGGTCGTACACGCACTGGCAAACCTTGCATGCCCAAAGGTGGAATTCTCAGTGTAGTTATTGACGCTTATATGGATGGTACGATTGAAGATGCTCTTCTCGTTCCGGTCTCAATGAATTACGAAAAGTTGGTCGATGGAAATTTTGTGAGGGAACAACTTGGTCAGCCTAAGAAAATGGAGACTTTTGGATCGACCGTAAGAGCTATATGGTCAACACTTAAGGGCAATTATGGTATTGTCAAGATTGACATCTGCCAACCTTTTTCCTTGAAGGTAAAATTAGTTTCAACTGAAAACTTGAATTTGAATTTTGTTGTAATAAATTTTAGAACTTTTTATTTCTTATAATTTTAGGAAATGCTTAAATTCTTCATTGCACAACAAAATAAATTAACCGTTCCTAGTCCCGGAGATAGGACATTGAAAGTTACAATGTCGACGTCGTCGCTGTACGGAACTGACGTTGTCGTAGAAGAACACCGAGAGTTAGTCGATAAAATTGCTCGTCATGTAGTTTATGGTAAAGTTACTTTATTTATGTTTATTGTATATTCGATTGAATGAAAATAATTATAAAATTTTTTTATTACAGATTGTTCGAGATCAACACCGATTATGTCGACTAATATCGTAGCTTTCTTACTACTTAACAAATTTAGAGACGGATGTACTTTAGAGCAATTAGTTGAAGCATTCGATACGATGAGGAAAGAATTAGAGTGGACCAATCGAGATGTCGCATTTTGTGGAGAAGCTGTTGATATTATTAATCACGCAGTAAGTTTTTATGGTTACTAAAACTAAAATAGTTAAATAATAATCACTAAAATGATGACTAATTTTTTTTTCAGCTTGACATTCTTGGACCAGGTTTGGTCAAGCAACAACGTCAAGAGATCACAGACGCAGTAGATGGTTACTTGGTGAAATCACAAATGATAACAGCGATCAGGCCAGTATCAATTCTACCAAACGTGATCGAGTTATCGTACTACAGTAACACATTGCTCGTACACTATATAATGGACAGTGTCGTAGTGACAGCATTGTATGCTGCACTCAAATCTCAAACGGAAGATCCAAAAGTATCAGAAAATCATGACCTCACTATCTCGCACAGTACCCTTGTAGAAAATGCACTCGCTATTTGTGATATACTCAAGTATGAGTTCATATTCTGCAGGCCCTGCCAGGAGCTTGATCAAATTGTTGCTCAAGCTATCGAGAATCTTGGTACTTTCGGAATCATTTACAGAAACGAAGTAAATTTCATGAAATCATTTATTTTGACTTTTATATTGTAAATAACTTTCATTTATAATAATGCATTTCAATAGTCGGGTCTTCTGGAAGAAGAAATTTGGAGCAAAAAATATGCAGCGCATTTCGATGATAGCTCTGACGAAGAGTACGCTAACGAGCACACCACGAGGAAACTAGAATACAAAGTAAATATAACTTATTATTTTTAAGAAAATTTCGACAGACAATTAATGATTACGTTCTAAAATGAATTGCAGCTTAGTTTATTAAATGAACACACGCAGCGTATGGAATTTCTTCATACGATCCTCCGACCACTTATCGACACCTACACTTACAGTGCTTTCTGCCTGAGGAAATTGGTCGGTCGATCTCTGTCCGAAAGAGATTTAATACAAGAAATACTTAGTGAAATAAAAATACACATAGATCAGGGAATCGTTAATTATGGTAAGATCAATGAGGGAACATTTTTAACATGGTAATGTGAAACGTTGATCTGACGTATTTTTTTTTATTTTATAGGAGAAAGTTTATGTGTAGATCCTATCAAGAATTCATTAAAATTGTTCGAAAAGAAAAATATCCTTGAATGTCATCCACAAGAAAATATAAAGATTTATTACTTAAAAGAAGAGTACGATGATGATATAGCTGCTAACGAAGTTTATGAAACTATAGCAGCATACAAATGGACGAGAAATATTGATTAAAGAAGATCATACAATTCTCTTCAAACTTTTGTTGGTTCCTAAATGTTTCACATTAGACGAACGAGAGATACACAATATTTATTTTGTTACGTCGGTCGAAAGATTATTGTATAAATAATAATTAGATTTTAAGTACAAAGCGAAGAAATGTATTATTAGTGTTCAATAGCGCACCACAATGAAAAACTATTTTTGTTTGACAACGGTTGTTAAGAGAACAGAAATGCAAAGACAATATAGATTCTATTTTTATGTAAATAGATGATTTAGGTTGAATTGTGAGCTCAGTTATTTTTTTTGTTATAAAAGTATAATTTTTAATTTTGTTCAGTTACACTTTAATGGAAGAAATATCCAAGGAAAAGACAAATGAAGTAGAATTAATTTAATGATTGGCTTATTTATAAGAGGTCTTCATTTTTGAAAATAATTTGAAATAAAGTTTTTTTGCCATGAATAGAAATTTTAGTCAATCTACATTTTTTTTCTTTCGATCGATTCACTTTTTTATCTGCATTTGTACAAAGAAGAAAATCATAATAAAAATTTAGTTTTTATGAGAAATGTAATTATATATCTATCAACCAATTTTTATGTATATTGATATTATTTATAAGATATTTTGTTTAATTCGTTTTCATAAGCGCATGAAGCGAATAAAAAAATTCAATTTCTCAGTAATTACTAAGTAGAGGAACGTACTTTTGTAAAATCCAACGATTTTTTAGCAAAAAAAATATTGAATATTTATATTTTAAATAATCACAAAATAACAATGTTTTAAGTATAAATTTAATCAATACAAAAAAGGCGAAATTTGACAAGTAGAAAACTGTTTCTGATTCAAAACTTTTATGAAAAGTTTTTACCTCCAACAAATCAGTATATAATTTCTAATTTCTGAAAATCAACATTGAATTCTCTGTCACGGAGTAATGAAGCAACGTGGAAACCGAAGCTTACCGAAGCCATTTGAAAATCGTTTTTGAGAAAGCAAACCAAAATTGGATACCAAGAACAACTGTATTTCTTGTCACGGCAGAAACAATGAAAAGTATGTTGTTTCGACAATTAACGAGCCCTATGCAATGAGGTTTCATGGAGAGTTTAAAGCACTATGTGCTCTCATCCCCTTAAACCCCCCATCAGTCAACGCTTTTCGTCTTTCTCGTGCTCCCTAGTCTTTTCAACGTCTGGCTGTGCCAATAATGACACTTTTTACTTTAACAATGTGTGAGCAAAAATGCATAGATATACATAATAATTTCTATTTTTAGACCAATGGTTAATATTTGTTAAATTATGCTCTCATAGTTACCAGTACGAATGTGCAAGTACACATATTATAGTAGACAGTTAGGAATGTATTTCAAACAAATTGTACAAATCAAATCAATTGAAATCTGTTATTATTGAAATTGGAAATGATTTTCTCATGGACATACAAGCATGAGTATCAATGAACAGCGACTTCATTTCAGCGGACAGTTGGGTGTCGAGCATGCGTTTGATTCCTAATAGAAATTCCAGTTTGCCTTTGCCTCGCTCCAATTCGTCGCAAATCTGTTTATCTTTACTGCCTTGCAGATACTTCATACACTTTTGAAGGTCGATTATTTCATCCTTTATCTATGTTTCAACGAAAAGAAAATTTAATATGGTTTCGTTACGACAGACAGAAATTTTATCGTATACCTTCTTCATCGAGCATTCAATTTCACTCTTCGCGTTTCTAATTTCGTCACACCTTTTAACAAACGCGTCATTCGTTTCGTTCCAAATTTTCAACACACGTTCTTTTATCTCTTCGATATTTTTATCAGCTTCGTTTCGATTGTGATCCATACGAGCAAATATCAAGCAAGATTTATTCTTAAGACTGTCGGCTTCTTTCATCCACACATTTGATTCTAATAGTCTATAAAATTGAATTATTACAATTCAAGTACCAACAATGTGAATTAATGACATGATCCCACCGATCGACAGCTTCTTTCGACCTATCCACCATAACGGCCCACTGAGCTTTCTGTATGCAATTTTCCAAATCATATTGATATCTTCGGCCTTCGACTAACTACAAAAACGTTATCGTGATACATTTGTTGCTCGAAAAGGAAAAGCATCAGAAGTTACTTTGTCTTCGCAACACTGCAGGCACCTCTTCGTCTGCTTAATACTCTGACAAAAGATTTGAGTTTCTTCCACAAGCAGCTTTTCAACTCGGTCGTCGATAAGTTCACTTTCTGATCGAGACAAATAATCCAACGTTTGAATAAAGTATCTAAATGGAGGTTGTCTACCCCAACGAGCGGCGACGAAAAATTAAAGCTAATAACTTAACTATCTTTGCGTTCTCGATGATAGAGGCACTCTTGAGATATTTGCAACGGAGCCTCGATACTTCGCGCGAAAGCTTCTAATTGACGCTTGCACTCTTGCATTTTGCTGCACGCGATTATCGTTTTTTCAAGTATAGACGATAACTCGCCGATTTTCGAATTCACTTCGCCAACCTCGATGGTCTTTTCCAAGCTATCTTCTAATTGCTTCTTCTTCTGTCTGCACGTAAACTTATCAATTTAGTCGTGTCCGATTGCCAACTGTAATAACTTTCAGATTAGATATGTCGTTATGCAATGACCATTCAGAGACGAACGCGGCAGCAATGCACTTCCGAGAGTTTGCAAGGCAATAACTTTCAAACGAGATATCGTGATTGAGTAACAATAGACGGATAACGAGTAAAAAAAAACTCAATACCTAACGAGATCCTCGAGTTTCTCCTTGATCGGCTTTATGTTTGCCAAGCACAGTTGGACGTTCTTTTCAATCCTCTCGCGATTCTCGTTCCACTGGTCGCATGTAAAATGTTCGCCGGCCGCGCGAAAGGGAATCTGATTGTAGCCTGTCACCAAATTCGGAAAAGTCAAGTGTGCCGTGAGCATATCCTCGGGCACGTAAGAAGGAATCCAGCGATCGTGTATTATGGGAATCGATGGGCTGAGTTAACGTCAATTCGAGTGCGAGCATAATTTTATTTGTCTTTACAAATAATAAATAATACTTTTTTTTTATTGGTCTCTTACATGTGATAAGGTTTGACCTTCTCGTAGCCTCTCGTTGATTGCCATGTTTCAGTTTTAAGTCCGTCAACTAACATCGTAGCGTATTAATTCACAGTATGATTTTTGTGATAAAGGTTATGAAAAGAAATTTGAAGCGCGTGTATGTACAGTCAATCGCACCACAGTAGAGACATTTGATTGTCGATCAGGCATTTCATGAATTTTGCTGTATCTTCACCTGGAATTAATTTTGTTCTGATCGATATCAATGTTTTTAATTGAAAGTATAAATAATGCTGCTTACTTAATTTTCGACATTTTCCGATAGCTTGTACAATGAGGATTAATACAGTGCCTTTGTCGTCGGTTTTTTCGTATAAATTCTCAACGATTTTTATTATATTAAAATGCTGCGTTACCCTTCCTTGGTCGTCCATCTGAAAGGCACGGGAATGATAGAACGGCAATTCTCAATAGTTAAAATTAAGCACTTACGAGGCTGGCTTTTCGCAACAAACAAGCTGAATATTTATCCATGTCGATATTCTTGATTTCCAGGCGGTTTTCATTTTCGAAACCTACGCACAACAAAACAGTTTGTAGAAGCGCTTTAATAAACTAACCAAACGGAAAAAAGAAAAATTGTCAAACATACTCGTGCTGTTTTCGGCTGTATCGAGGCACTCTTTGTCTAATAAATTGACATGTACGTCAACGCGTGTTCCATTAACGCAAAGTGTTATATTTGTCTCATCGTCAACTGATGTTTCACCCTATATCACAATCGAACTCAATTATTATCTAAAAATTTTTTTTCGGTTGGTTTACAGTTGCACCGGGGAGAAAGTGTACTATTATCGCTTGTTTATATGGATCATACTGAATAAAGATAGAAAGTTCTTCAGGTCACGCGAAAATAAAAAATTCGATTAGATATTAAATTTAGTAGATAACTGATTAAAAATACTTTACCCAACAGTAATTAACAGCAAAACAAGTAAGCAGTCCGAATGTAGTATACCTCATGTCGCGAGACGCACGCGAGAAGTTTTCGTATTGATTCGCCGTGAACAACTAAGAAAAACCAGATGCACAAAATAAACACCTGAACAAAAGTTAATACGACCGGATGGAAATTAATGGTTTTGAGGCCTTAAAAAACCAGTTAATGCTATAACGTGTTTTCATCAAACTCGTCTGTGGGCCCGTAATCGACGCGTCGACTTTCAAAATGTCGGGATGGGGAACGATAAATCACGAAATCGTAGCATGAGAAAAGTATTTATTCGTTCGTGTATTTCAGTACATAAACCAAAGTTGAAGAAAAATCAAATGCAGATCTTCGTTAAAAAAAAAACATCACAATCTCGCCTAATCCAAAACAGGGAAGTCTTTGCTGACGATAAAACAAGCGAAAACGTTACCCCCAGTCTCGCAGGTATCCTTGCCAACTGTAATAAAAGGACGGTTCGTTTCAGATCGAAAAAGTAAACTGGGGAAAAAAAAGAGAATAGAACATTGCCAGAGTTGTCTCACCGAGATCTTTGCACTTGTCGATAACCTTGTCGGCCTTGGCTACGTCCACATTGGTGGTTCGGGATTTGGTGCGAGCTGTTTCTACGTCGATGCTTCCGTCATCGCGCATCTAATTTATAAAAATTGAATCGTCAGTTGTTGCTCGACGATTTCGTTGCAAAAGGAGAGTGAAATTCATTGTGTTGTTGCATGAAAATGAGCGACCAGTTTGAGGGAAGAATAAAGGTTTTTTTTCCGTTGTTATCAAACTGTTGAGACACTTACAATTCCAATCTTCTTCAGCATACAAGCGGAGAAGCAGTCAAGACTTTTTTCACGCTTGATTTCTCCTCCCTTGATAATGGAATTGACGACGTCTGCAACAGTCATACGTGAGTTCCCAATTGATTTATCGATAAGCTTTGATTTGGCGAAAATGAAAAAATGATTAATTTATGTACCTGCGCTTACGCCAGTTTCGGTGATACAGCCTTCTTTGAATCCCTTGAGTCTAGCTTTTTGTTCGTCGTTCAGAGTTGCCTGAAAGTTCAGATCGAACGTCATTCGATTCACGGACGAATGAAGCAAAAAAATGAAATGTAAACTCACAGCGTAAGCCCCAGCAAGGCAAACAGCCAGGACGATGGTGAAGCACTTCATAATGCCGATCAGGATGTACAGCTTGCACACAGTTCGGAAGTATGTCAAATACTGAGTATCGGCTATCCGACGCTACGTGCTTTTTATACTGCGTTTGACCGCGCGCGTCTAATGGCCATTCGTGCATTCAGTACACATTCAGCGACGATCAGTCGCGATTTGTTATTGTTTTTCTTTTAGCGATTAGCTTTTGTTAGCACTGTTGCACTTCCATAGCTATTAGCCGACAGACCATACCATGATTCTTTAGTTATTTTAATCGCAACGCCGAGAAATCGCTTTCAAAATTTACAAATATTTAACTCGTGGTCACTGCAGCAAAACTAGTATAACTACATCGTGAGAAACAGTTGTGCATATAGTAAAAATAATTATTCGAAGTTATTTAATATTTTATTATTTCAGTGCATTCACGAATACAAAAACATTTCTTACATCGATTATATTCTTATACATTATGTACACATGAAATGAAATATAGAAAATAGATGGGTATAAAACTATAAAGTACCCTCCGAAAAAAATTTCGTCAGATTTATAGGCGGCACAGTCTTACCGTCAATATTTTTCGCGTAGTCGAAAAAGCAATCAAACAATCTGCATGGATCATCTAAAACTGAGTTACAAGATAGTTTGATCATTGCGCTCATGAAATAAGTTCGACATTGCAAAACTTGTACTCACGACTTTTGCAAATTTCGAGGGCTTTGTTTACTTCTTCTTTCACCTTCAAATGTACATCTGAATTAACGTTAGCTAGCTGCTTTGTTATTTCATCCTCGACGATGTACTGCGCGATTACAAGTATAGTGAGAATAAAACATACATCTAATTTTTGATATGTTAAAAGTAAAAAGTTAGGTAGAATATAATTTGTTTTGTACATTGATGGTATTTACTTTAAAGGAAATTCTAAATACAAATGTAAAATAATAAAAGTGTCTTTTGTAACTTGTTAGAACTCAACTTACTAGTTTAAGCTTTCGTAGTGCACAAAATGATAAGCACAAAGTCTTGCTAAAATCTTCTTGACTTCCGAAAAAACTTAATTTGAATTCTAGAAAATCAATTGTGTTAGTAAAGTGTTTCATATAAAAGTGCAATTGATGTTCTTTTACCTCTGTCAAAGCCAAGTTTATTACCGCAATTTTGCATGACATCCATGAATTCAGTGATATTAATTTTCTTAGGATTTAATTTGATTTGCTATTCGCAAATATAAAAAATATTTTAACACATTGTATATATCAATAACATACATATTTGCATAAAAAAATTACCCCTTTAACCATCACAAATAACAGTGCTAAAACAAGGAATAATATCTGTTTCATTTTCGCAATACTTGGTTGTTGACACACACCGATTATAAGCCAATGACCAACTAAGATAAACTTTTATGGTATTACAGCATTTTATAGCGAGGATGGACGTCGATATTCCCCCTGAGAGAGAAAGCAACAACACCCGCATTTTTTATACAGAATGACAATGACTTCAAACCAGTCGTTTCCGCGTTGGATTCCGACATGGAATAAATGTTGTCGTATAAGTAAATGTTTTTATTATTGTATCTATCGTTTAGTATTTTATCAAATATACGTTACCGACAATGGTAATAATGTTTTAAATACTAAAGTATTATTCGATGTGAATGAACGAGGACTGTTTAACGTACACAATGTGAAAAAGCTAAATACCGGTATTTACTTTCTTTAGGTTCCTTCTTGTTTTTTATATATAAAAAAATAAACGTTTCAAAAGTCATGAACTTTTTTAAAACTTTTCTAAAACTTAAGTGTAGTTAGTAGTTAGTGAAAATGATGATGATTAATAGTCTGATATAGAAAAAGGCCAAGACAGTATATTTATAACTAAAATTTATTAAAATACGTAATTTACATTATTTTCCTCGTCGTTTCTTTCATACAATCAATATGAATTTTTAACTCAACTTAATGGATTATTACACAAGATTGTTAAACAAGCTGAGAAAGAAATTGCTTCGTATTTGGACTTGGATTCGATTGACTCCCTTTCCAGTGGTATTTCAAATGTTCGAACATACATTGAACTAATTTACAATGCGTTTTACCTGTAACGAAGAAAAAAAAATAAACTCCGGCACAAAATGTTACTGTGAATAATATTTAATTGTAATATTACCGTCACGACAAGGTTCGTAAACCGAGAAAAATATATTTCTCTCTTCGACGTCGTTTGCGTCAAAGTAAGACTCCACTTTTGCCGTATCAATCGTTCCATCTGACCTCATCTAAAATATACATTTTAAAATTATTTTTAGGCAGATTCTAGAAAATACACATTAGCGTTTACGTCGGCCATTGTGTGCCGTAACCATTCGCACAAAAGTAATAAATTAGTGAGCACACAACGAGGCACTTACTATTCCGTTGTTTTTGTATGCGCAAGCGGGAATGCAGTACATTTCCTCTTCGCTAAAACCGCCTGTTTGCTCTGCATCAGAAAATGAGAGTCTCGTAGAGATAGCAATACGATAATTTTACATTGAGTCAAATAATTAATGCGTCACCTATATCAACTCCATACTCTTCCAGACACTCCCTTGTGATGTTTTGTGGCGGCAGCGTTGTGGTTCGCTTGGCCAGTCCCTTGAAAAATAAAGAACGTGCATTGCCCGTGCGATGTTCCACGACAAGTAACGAGCTTGAGAGAACTACTCCTTAGCAATTCGAAATAAAGAAAGAAACGTCGTATCTATTGATAATGCTCCAACAATAGAGCGTAATTATGGCAATAAATGAAAATAACTTACAGCGAAAGCTCCTGCGAAACAGAACGCGAGAACAGCCACGCGGACGGAGTTCATGGCGCGGAGCTTATGAGCACGCACAGTAGCGCACCACTTCGGTCATACAGCTTCACTCGACCTATTTTATAGCAAATGTATTATCAGCTCATATACGTAAGCACCCGCGTCCGCTGCATTTAAATAATGTCGAAATAGAAATTGTCGCTGGAATTTTTCAGCGATAAACAGACGTATGGCGTTACGCTGTTCACACGGCTTTTTCTTCTTCTCTTCGGATTTATTTTTACAAATTATTATGCTTGAAGAATGCTTTCCGAAGAATGAGGCTCGTGGAACGCGACATTTTTTCAAGCGGATTTCAGAAGTAGAATCGCTAACGAAACTCACATGGTTTACAAATCAAATATACCTGTGCGCAATATTGACTTATTGCGCCGAAAAACTTGTATGCAGCAGAATTATGAAATATGTACAAACAAATTCTTTTTATACCTTAGTTAGACTCAGAGTCAGTGTCAAGTAGCTCCAATATTGTTATGGCTTAAAAAATTTCCAATAAATATATTTCAAAGTATGTTTATTAAAGTATACGTTAACATATTTTTAAGCATATATTTAATTTCATAGATATCCCGTGCAAATTCAAAGATAACATCACGACAAACAGTACCTGAGTTATCTATTTGTTTAGATACGAGCGAGCTGTAAGACAAACGATTGAAGTCACATTGGGTATTGAGTCTGCAAAAGGCAGTCGCGATAGTTGGCGTCAAAAATACGTTGAAAAGACTGTAATGACTTTACCAATGATCTGATCTTTTACAGTTACCGACAAGAAATTATTTTGTTATGTTATACAGAGCAGTTGTCTCCTGTTTAACTACTTTCCGGCAGACTCACCTTTACATTTTGTATAGTCACGGTGAGTAGTTTGTCTATACACGTCCGGGAGATTATTTGCTTAGTAAGCCAATTCAACACTTGTTTTGAGGTTGAGAATACGCATGAATAGCTACACTTATGTGAGTAAAACTTGTATAAATATGCGAATAGAGTTAGAATCTTAAAAATGATTTTCTTTATATTACCTAACGATAGATATTACCTGACAAATAATTCACGTGAATACTTGATTTGATCGATCAAAAGCATCAATCGTTATTGTTCCTGAATTTTACAATACTTATCTTGATATCAGCATCGAATGTTCGAGAGGTACTTTCGTGTCTGGTGAAAATAAATTATACTCTTTTTCTAATGTGGACCAATTTAATTAAATAATGCTTCGATATTAGATTACGTAACATGTACGATTGAATGATTATTTTTAAATTCCTTAAAGGCGGTTTTGTTTTTGCAATCTATGATAAATTGAAAAATATACTTCAACTTATATTACCTCTAGGAAAAGTACTCTTAAAAGAGTAGTTGTACGCTAATATTAATGCCGCGTTAAGAATATCATAATAATATAAGAATCAGTAGTCATGTATGGAAGAAAATTCCTAATTATTGTAAAAAAAAAACAATTAAATTTTCATAAAATTGCCATGGTCGAGGACACGTTCACTCGATAAGTGCTTCATCATTGAAACCTCTTGCATTTTCGCGTTCGTAGCAGCAACTATAATGAATGTAGCTGACCTTGAAAAAGAGTAGAGCTAACCGGTGTATCATCGACACGTTGATTTACCAGTTTTCATTGAGATCTTGATCGTTACGGAGGTATAATCGACAGCTATGCACTGATATCACTTGACTTATATAATTTTTACAACTCATTGAATTCTTTCACAGTAAACACGATATGTTTGTAGTAACCTTATTCTATGGATTACTCATACTAATAGCTACAGTTACTTTTCGATGGATTGGGAGATATTTTTCACTACGCAGCAAGTTAAGTGCTATACCTGGTCCAATTAATATTCCGTTCATTGGGTTGACATGGCAGCTGATAAATATATCAAGTGAAGGTATAAATATCAAATAAATATAGTAGGGTCGGCTTTGTATCAATTTTGATTCAGCATGAGAATTTTACGAATTTTTATTGGATATTATTTTTTTAATTGAACAAAAAAAATAAAATAGCAATTATATATACATATATATGCATAAGAATTATTTTATATTGTACTATTAAATACAGTACATGTATCATTGTAGATCATCAATTTTTTTCGACGCGATCAGTTCCTAATAATAATAACGATTTTACCTAAAAACTATCGACCTAAAGACAGTAAAAACAGAATATTCCAAGCTCGGTCAAACAATTGTCAATTACATGTCAATCAAATTTTTGTATTTTATACGTACTCCTTCGTGTTAACAACTTAATTATTCAAAGCCTACACTTGTGGAAAAAATTTAGTAATATGTAAAAAATATTTTACATATAGAATTTTAATACGTGAAATTACCGTTTTACACGTAAAATATATCACTTATTTGATGAAAAAATAATATTCACTTGTGAAATATGATCGTATAGAACATAAAACCATGATTGTGTTGAAAAAAATACATCATATAGAAAGTTATTTCATTTATGTAGAATGAAAATGCGCTCACGTATAATATTATTCAAATTGTATTTGTACAAAACAATCATGTAAAAACAAATAGATCATGTGCAATGATACACAGTCAATATATAATAATTCAATATAAAAACATAATGTCTATTTATAATTACGTCATGTAGAATAGTTTATGCCAATGAAGAAAATTATTTTTTTAAATACTATTTTATTTTTCGTTTACAGTTAAAAAAACAGTACATAAAATAAAAATTTGTAAAATTTTTATGTTGAATTGACACTTATACTTGTTAAATAAATTATGGTTTTTTTAGTGACAAACATTATCTGTAGGACACATTTTGAGCGTTTCGATGAATGTAAAATAAATACAGCCTTAAGAAAATTTCATTGAAATAAATTTTCGGGCATATACTTCGCTTTATATCAATTTTGGATTTTGATGTACTGAGTATTTTTATACTAGTTTGAACTAGATGAGTACGAACTAATAAGCATCTTAACCGCATTATACGTCAATGCTCTTTTGTGCTTAATCAGTCTTGATGCATTAGCTCATTCTTGGTAATCGTAATATAAAAAGAAAACATGATTCACTATTTTTAAAACTATAAAAAACATTAAAATAGTTATGTCTAATACAGAATCTCTTTCTTTTCTGAAGTAAAAGTAATGCGACTAAATAGAACTTTTTACTATACATTAAATAGTAATCAGCGTTATGTTGTATTGTTTGTATAGGTATTTTTACAACGTTAATTTCCTAATAATAATTTCATATTTTTAGATCGATTTCAGTTTGTTAACAATTTACTTGGAAAATACAAAAACGGAATCACTCTCATTTGGATCGGCCCTGAACCTGTAGTAATTATAACTAAACCAGAATTAATTGAGGTATATCACAATAATAGATTTTCCAATATTTCAAAAAATGTAAAGAAAAATATTGCTTGTAGGTAGTTCTTTCAAGTAATACACTCATAACCAAAGCATCGGGATATGATTCAATTAAACCATGGTTGGGCCAGGGTTTAGTCACGTCGACCGGTAAAAATATTTGAAAACTCCTTGAGATATTTTAATATTATATATTGTTATTATTTACCGTTTCAGGCGACCTATGGTTCAAACACCGAAAACTAATAACGCCAACATTTCATTTCAATATATTGGAGGAGTATGCAGCCATTATGCAAGATAATGTCGAAATACTTATTGAATGCATAGAATCTCAGGTTCGCAAAGATGTAAATACCCCGATTAATATTTTTGAATATGCTGTAAAGTATACACTAGATACGATTTGCGAAACTGCTATGGGCGTGAATATCAACTGCCAAAAAAAATCAGACGTCGAATATGTCAATGCCTTGCACAAGTACGTAAAATTACTTTTTATAGTATAATATGTTTAGGGCAGGTCATAAGTGGCTTGAACATTTTATTCAATTTCATATTCAATCGGATTTTTTTTGTCCGAAAATGGAAAATACTTCAGTTATACGACATAACATTTTGAAAGAAAATCGTTGCAGAATAACGTTCACTGACACTCTTTTTTCCGTTTCGGAAATTCATAGATGATCACTAAAACAGACTACATTTTTTGTTTACAAAGACTACAGCTTACCCGTAAACGTGCTAAACTTTGTATTAATATTAATAACTCACTTCATGTATGTACCTATATAGATATTGAAGGTTTTCAGAACTAGCAGTAGAAAGAATGTTTAGATTTTGGCTCAAGTGTGATGCTTTATATTATCGCACGTCAAAAGGTCAAGAAAGTTATCGTGCCATGAAAATTATGCACGATTTTACTGAGCAGGTAAATACGGGTAATTATTAATTGCAACAATTTGTGCGTAAAGAGCGTCTTTCCCGCACGCTCGACAAACAACGTGCGTTGAAAATCCCATTTTTCACACGTCGTATCGTAAAATACAGTACGACACATGTTTGGGAAAAAGTTTCTCTAAAAAATTTACTTTCCCGCACTTGTATCGCAATGTATTGTTTTCAGTACTGATACTCTTAATGTGCAATTTTATCCCTTTAAAGGTGATTTTACGAAAGCAGTCGGAAAGAAAAAATAAATTGCCTAAGAAGGAGGAAGAACATCAAGTAGATGAATTTGGTAAACATTTCTTTGTTTTCTAGGTATACGTATAATAACTGGTAAAACAAATTGAATTTTTTTCAGGAAAACGGAAGAGAAAAGCATTTTTAGACTTATTACTAGACGAAAGTCAAAATGCTGAAAACCCGTTGACTACTCAAGAACTTCGTGAAGAAGTCGATACATTCATGTTCGCTGTAACTATTAACTATTTCTGTTCAGTTATGTGAAAAAATATACGTTATCCTATAATCTAAAAAATTATGATTGCAGGGTCATGACACTACAGCAGCAGCAATAAGTTGGGCATTATTTGCTCTTGGTAATGAACAAAAAATTCAAGATAAAGTATATGATGAATTGAAAGAAGTTTTTGGCAGCGAAACTAGAACAGCAACGACAAAGCAAATGAGACAGTTGAAATATCTGGATATGGTGATAAAAGAAGTTTTAAGATTTTATCCTAGCGTACCATCCATCAGTCGATATGTCGATACAGAGACTGTTTTAGGTAACTATACTATTATAATCCACATCGATATTCATAAAGCATTAAATACGCACTAACAATATAGTATGAGTAGATTTATAAATGTTCAGGTGGGGTGAGCAGAAATAAGTCCGAGGAGCTCGTCGACTAGTTTAGTTATTATTTTTCCACTATAATTCACTTATAATTTATTTGTAACATTGGGTCTACGCAGAGTCTATCCCTTTATTTTACCAGCGCTTTGCTCGAGAGCTGGAGATCTAATGCCGTTTTCGCTCGTCGCTATGAGCCCATTCCCGTGCCCTTCGGAAGTGTGGTCCGAGAGGCTTAAATCGTCCGTTAAGGTGCGCATATTCTAACTCTCCTCGCTCCACTAGTGGGTTGCCAATAGCCACAGATTTCGCCCATGTGCAAGTCTGCGCTGGGTGACCTTTCTTCTGTTGTTCCGTGGTCGCAGCAGCCTCGGAAAAGAATCTCCGATCTGTAGTGGCGCACGGCCCTGGCCGCCTCATGGCGACCATGCACGTCGTGACGAGTGAAGCTGAGGAAAAACACCTAACCTGTTCGAGCTTTCCCAGCGCACGCGATCTTACGTACATATTTTACGTCGCCGCTTGCTTCTACCTTATTTTCCTTTTCACAACAAGAACACGATTCTAGCATAGACACAGCCCGTGTCCTTACATATTTCATCGCTTCCGCTCGTACATATTGAGTTCTCTCGGTATCTTATGACCGATGATTATCGCGCTTTAAGTTTTCCTCAAATTCGTTTGCCCGTCGCCCAGATGCACCTCACATGTGTCCCAAACGTGCCCCAGACACGTGTGCCGCTTGGCCGTCCGCAACAATAAACAAATTGATAAATCAGTATCTGAAAAAATTTATGCAGCGATTTTTTCGAAAAAAATGCAAAATAGAGAGAGACTTGCGAGATTTTCGCGCCTTCGAAAATAATTTGAATTGACATTCGTGCCAAAATTAATCAATAATATTTTTCCGTATACTGCCAATTCGAGATTTAGGAAAGAATTTATTTTCAATTTTTGTTCTTTAGAATTATTTCTAAAAAATTGTTTACAAATGCATTATTTTCGTTTCACAAGCCATACTTAATCATTTATTAACTTGCAGATGGCTACATTATACCTAAAGGAACGACTTTGTCTGTCAATATTTACATGCTGCACCACAATCCTGAGGTTTGGGAGAATCCCGAAAAGTTTGATCCAGATCGTTTTTTGCCAGAAAATATTCATTCAAAAAAGTGGTATGCACATGTTCCATTTAGTGCTGGGCCCCGAAATTGTATCGGACAAAAGTTTGCCTATTTAGAATTGAAAACCGTTTTAACGGCAATATTACGTAAATGGCAGGTTTCGAGCGTTTTGAAACCCTCTGAAATGAAATTTATCTCAAATATAATATTAAGGGCTCATGATGGAAAGATTGAATTGTATTTCAAGCCACGTACATGAAAAAAGGGCCTTTATGTTGAAAAGTCTTAAGTATATTACTTGCTCCATTAATTGGGTTATATTCAATCAGGCTAAAATGATTAAACTAGATGATTTTCGTGAAATTTTAGATATGTATCATACGTTTACACATAAATGTGTAGTCATATTTTTTTGTCAATATAATAAAAAAAACCTTTCAAAATGTCGTTCCTCATCTGGAAATTTCGAAATCATCATTCAATAAATATATACATCAATGCATAGTATACACACGCGTGCATGCGCGCACGAATATACGTTTTCTTTTTTACTCTCCGGAAAAGAATTGTTAAATTAAACCTTGCTTTAATTTATTTAATGTGATATCGTACTGTCTTGTAATAATACGTATTGTAATAATATTTCAATATTATTTACGTTTTTACAAGATCCAAGGTAATAAACTTGCATCATCGAAGAACATTCTAATCGTTTCAAGCATCAGTTTTCACCTTTTCCTTAAGTAATTACAAAATGATCCCGAAAACTTTTCTATAAATACACTTTAATTTGTGTTTTGAAATCGTATCGTAAGTTACTTTGATCTTTTTTCTTTGTTTTTACGAGATCCTACCTGGGACATCACAATGGTCAACCTAAAATTATTAAATTTTTGTTCTGTCATTCCAACATTTTTTCTTTATTTAAAAAAATAAAGATAACAGAGCTGCTCTTATAAGCAGAGGTGTCAGTGTATTAGCATAGCTGCGTCGCATTTCGAGATACGTCTGAATTTACAAGGATCAGTATTTAGAACTGTGAGGTCGTACACTTACCAAAGAGTACGTCCGTGTCGGTCAAACTTTGCCGCAGCAATGTGAACCTTTGCATTTTTTCAGGCACTTTGCCTTTCCTAGAGACGATAGGAAAAATCAAACTAGTCGTAATCCGCCGATACTTTTATTGAAGTCTGTCGAGTACAAGCAATAAACCGTCAAGGTTTATTAATTTTGAATTGCTTGAAAACTAGCTAGGATAGTTAGAAAAAGCTGAAAATAGTTAATTTATTTTTGTCAAATTGATTGTTTCGAAAGTTTCGCTTACAACTATTGATGCGAATTTCGGATACATTGTTCTATACCAAACAAGCGATATTTCCGCCGAACGGCAATGTAGCATTTATCTCCGTAATTAGGAGATACGATAATGCAAAGAGCACGGGTATTCCACCTCGTATTTAGCTGTGCAGCATTTATTTGTAAAATTTTCATTAATAAATTACGGGAGAAGCAAACAATAAAGTGCATAGCGTAGGTTCGCATGCGTTCACTCTTCCTATCTCATTGCCAGTAGCTCGAGCAACCCGTCGCGCGCGAATGCTGTATGTTTACCGCCGGACCTCGGTTCGACAGCATGGGTCCCGTCATAAGCTGTTGCGCAGCCCTTGCGATTAGCCGCCCCTTATTGGTGCGACCTCACTAATTTTCCGAGATTTCGATCGGCTGCGTCTTTCATCGCCGAGAAATCTGCAAGGAATATTGCACTCGCGACAAAAGGCCCACACAGGTCAGGAGAGCAGGGAACCTACAGACCAGCCAGACCGACAACGTCCATCATTCTGGACATGTATGTACACTGTGCATAACCAGCGACACACCAAGCTGAACATTCAGAGCTATTTGCCGACGTTCACTTGTTGCAAAATGAATAAATAATAATTATTTATTGTTTTCATGACGTTATTGAACTTGTAAAGAATTGAGATAAGGATAACGTGCATGGGTTCTCTTATTTAAAAAAAAAATTCAAGGAAGATTTCCACGGACTTGAATTGTGTTCAACTATTATAGAGGTTTTATTTTTGCAATTGAATAAGCATATACATGATATTTGGACTAATTTATAGATTTATATTGAATCAGTTTGTTTAAATCATATTTCATTCAAATATTCCTAGTATCTTTTTTCAATTTGTTTAAGTAACTACTAAAGTCACGACTAAAAATGTTCGAAATTGATATCTCACAGAGAGTCTAACACAGCTGACGCGAAATAATTTGAAAAATCAAAGTAGATTTAGTCACACAAACTCAAACTTGTACTGAATAAGTCTAATGGGACGTCAACCTTTGATTTTCCCCACGTAGGATTTTCAAATTACGTCTGCGCTCGTATGCCCGAGACGCTTGTGGATTTACTTGGTTCACGCTGCTTGTGCACGAATTAAACTTCTGCTCCCGACCTATATACTCGCTAGACACAGATGTCACGCGAGTTTCATGTCACGTCGGATTAATATGCCCAAAGTCGTTAACGCAACGTGTGTATTCGTTTCGATATGATTTTGAACTCGACTTGCTCAGGACAACAACGCAGACACGACCGTGCAGTCCGCGCGCGGCAGTAGATTTGGCCATACACTTCACTCCCAAACCATTCACCCTCATCTCGATCCGCGTCTTCTTTCATCACTAACCGTACTGATTTCATTTGATTTGTTAGACGGTACTGGGTCTCTTTCCTAAACACTGATAAACCAATGCGCAAACGTAATTTTTGTTATTATATATGTTGCGGGGGCGATCATTATCGAGGACCATCGTGCCGACTACTTTTTCGTAGTCATTTTGGTCATTCCTACCAGAGAAGTAACAGTAATCTTATAATAGCCAGGGTACCAACGTGGATATTGAACCTCGATGAAACTTACCGCTATATTGTTATAGCGTAAGTGCCATCGTTGAAACATAATGCGACAATACACGAGTAATCTGAATACATAATCTTCGTTTCACTAACAACGATTATAATCAACTGCCGTACATTCAGGAGTTTCTGTTCAGAATAGCTCACAGTAGATATAATAACTAACGGTGACTTTGCAGTATTCGTTTGATTCCTGATGACTCAAAATGATTTTGAAGGCTTTACTATTATTCACTCAGTGATAAATATAGTTTAGAATCACATCAGGATGGCACCGGCATGAATATCTTATGCAGCTGATTCTTTAGATCGATAGCAGGTCTTCTTTTTTTTTCGCGACAAAGGCAATTTACTACTTATCGATACTCTCAACTTCAAAGGCCACTCTGTGATGCACCTTTTAGTATATATAATGCGTTAAAGTAGAACAAAGTGTACTAAGCCAAGTTATCTGATTAATCAATCAAGAATCGTTCAATTCAGTTTTTCTAAGTAGTGCGCTGATCTAAAGTTAAACGTATGCTTAGCTACATTTTCATTTATCTACTATATCAACGTATGTGATATAGTCATTTATCTGATAAGAGTAAGCTTTTTACCCACAAGTCATCGTATCGTTATAAACTGGCGCTGCATAAGTTATCCCATCATCAACAAAAGTAGGAAACTACTTTAACTGCTGCTACTAGTCGTTTTCTACTTTGATTATTAATTGATACACAATTGACTTATAAGTAATATTGTGAATACGGCATGTTATTATAATAACATATAAAAGCAATGTAAATCACATTTTCTAAAGTGGAAAATCTTTCCTTAGAACCGTTGATTATAAACATTTGTAGTAATGAAGTACGCTCTTTAATGTTACACGTTCGAATCTGAAAGAAAGTTGTATTTTGCAACTGATAAAACAAACGCAGCGTCAAAGATAATAACAGCTAAGAATGTTATGTTAGAACAATGTTTATTTATCAATAATCGAAGACGTGCACGCAAACTAACAAGGGAGTTTTAATTGACGCTGTAATAGTATGCGGTGTCCAAATCCAAAAGCTCGAGTAATACAAGAACGAAAAGCAGTATACATAAGCCGGCCGAAGCGGCAAAAGAAGCAATTCAATTTGCCAGCGAAAAACATCATATGTGCCCGGGGAAGTCCAGCTTAATACCGGTGAAAGCAGCGCTGCCCGGAAAAAAAAAGTAATCCGGCAAGGCGGATCGAGAGAGCGAGAGCCCGCTGGAGTGGAAGAAGAAAAAATACATACGCGTACGTGCGGAAAAAAAAGGCAAAGCAGCGGAGCCGGAAACGCTGCTAGAGGGCCGACAGTGCACGCGCGCAAAGGGGGAATTACGATGCGGAGGTGGCATTTTGGAGGAGGAGTAGAATCGCCGAGGCGACCGAAATTAAAAGCAACGCGCGTTGCCCGCGACCGAAGCGCGCTTACGTGCAATGCCGAGCAGCAGTTAACCGCGCGGTGCCCATTGCCGCGGTCGTTTGTACATTATGCAAGCCTGGACATTTCGGAAATGTGTCGGAAATCGGACGCTGCAAATTTCGAGAGGCTCAAGAGTGGCGCGCTGCGTACGAGAGGATAAGCAGTGTAAGCAGTTCGCCGAGGGAAGGCAGTTTTCGTCCCCTGCAGAGACGAAAAGCCAGCGGCGCACTGTTAAGGGATAGTAGAAAGGAAGCGTGTGATGATATTAGAGTACATGCATTCTTCGAATATTCCATACAACGAGCTCATTTAAAGCTCGTTCATTTAAAGTGCTGATATTTGCAACGTTCAACTATTCACTTCGCATTTTTTGCATTAGCGTAAAGGTCGTATAAGTTTAGCGCTATAAGGGTAATATAATTCCTTCAAGTTAACTTCAAGTTGATGTTATACCACTAGAACGTACGACCAGGAAGAAAAACTAATTAATTTGTCCATCATGAAATGCAAAGCCATTGAAATAATTAAAATACAAAAGAAAAACTCGCGGAAAAATGTCAATGACATTTTCTTTCAAATTAAAAATGTTGACATTTGTACATCGCATCCCTGCGCGAAGCTTCTCTCTTTTTAGCGAAAACACGCGCAGCGTGGAAATGGTATTACGACAAGCGCGCAAGGATATAGTCATCGCTACTTTTACTTCGACAAAGTAGTCTTTCATTCGAAAAACGTAAAGCCGTAGAAAAGGTTTCTTTACATTGTGCACGTAGACGCGGCAAAAGCTTGGTGTAAGCTCTTCAAATGAAAAGACGCAAGAAGTTTAGAACAAAAGGATTAAAAAGAGGATGAATTTTTCAAGCTCCATATATGTGTGTGTGTGTGTGTGTGTGTGTGTGTGTGTGTGTGTGTGTGAATATATCGTACACCGTACGATAAGAGATTCTTTTTTCAAACGATTTATTCGACAGAGTATTTTTGATGAAAAGATTTTTAAGACTATCAGAGAACGCCTTGTTAAAAATGTGAGATAACTTTAATTATCACACTTGCGACGCTAGAAAAATTTACAAAGAAAAGAAGAAAAGATGCGTCGAAGTGAATAGTCATAAATTAAGTTGTTTAATTCAATCTATGGTCGATTCGACGCTAATCTTCACAGGGATTAGAGAGAAATTTGTGTAATAAAAATTACTAGTTACTTTTACAATAGAAAGACTATAAAAAATTCTACTTTGCTAGGACATCGCCTACTCAAATGCCGAATTTCGTGAATATTATATGTATGTACTCGTACTCGTTTGGAGAAATGATTCCAAAAAATTACTCAAATTAAGCAGCTGGTTACGTCTGTCGATAAAATATTTATCAGCAATGGCTCATGATTCAATTCAAATAACTTTTCTGATACAATTTTAGGTAAGGAATTAGTCATTTTTTTAATATCTTCATACGTCACAGCAAAAAAATTATTTAAATGGAGTCTTAAAAACTACTTAAAACAAATTGTATTCAAAGTAATCATTTACTCGCTTCAATTGGTACTCAAAAGTTATCCAAGCTGGATAATGACTAAAAATAAGTCAGTTGTTTCTCAAAATAAACAATTTGTAACTGAAATTAAATAATTGACTTCAAAAACGACTACTACTTAATTAGCACAAATTATTTAACCCATTAACTGGCAGTAGATCATTTACATACATCTTTGAAAAGCTTTGTCGAATGTCAATAGATTTTGTTAAAATTTAGTAGTTTTCGAGGTCGCTAAATTCAAATTATACATCAAAATTATTTAATTTAAGCGAAATAGCGTCCTTCAAGTCTATAACTAATTTCAAAGAACGATGAAATGATATGAGTGAGCAGGAAAACTTTTGTAAATACGATTTTTATGCAACTTTATTTTTGCAGATTTTATGATAAATATCTAAAAAAAATATAGAATAAAACAAATGACGTCTCGAAAAAATTAATTTTTAAATGTTGTACTTAATCCTAAAAGAAGCTTTTTATTGCGTATTAACCAAACAACCTATATACAAAACGAAACTATACTCTCATTGAATTCTATATTGAATAACTTTTAAGTTAGTATCGATCTATCGACGATTATGTCTGTGACAAACGTCAAAAATAAAGAAAACCAGTTGTTTCATCACACAAAAATTCTTCTCTCACTCGTGATAAATAAACAGATTAAAGCTTGGGAGGGGGGGGGGGGGGGTAGTGTACAACTATCTGATCGCAAGCTCCATCTCGTTTTCTCTCATGCTCGCTTATAAAAGCCGAGTCGAGCGACGGCTGCGCCTGCGTGTGAGGAAGCCTCTCTCTCTCTCTCTCTCTCCGACTCCAGCAGAGAGAGAGCCTCTTCTCCTGTCAGTGCGGCCCGAACGGTCACCCGGCCTATCACAACTTTCTCTCCTCTCTACCTCTGTCGCTTCGCTCCGTGTTTTCTCAACACACTCAATCATATACACATACACAACAGTAAAAAATATTACCTCTAATGCCAGTGCAGTGCGCGTCCAATTGTACGTAGGGTGTAGAGAGTCTTGTGCATTTCGACAAACAAAACGTAACGAACGATCTATATTTGTTTTTGTCATCCCCCTTTCTTTTCTCTTCGTCTTCTCGCTGCCTCTCAAATACGATAAGAAATCCGGAAAATCCCCCCCCCCCCTTCCTATTTTTTTTAAATTTCATTTAAACGTACGTGAAAGGTTTGTGCAAAGGAAAATTTTTTTTGGTGCGTGACACGACGACGATGACGGCAACGACGACGTCGATGATGACGACGGCGGCGACGACGATATTCAGCTGAATAGAGCGCGACGAGCAAAGAGCAAGAAAAACGAGAGTATACACAAGTAAGTCGGTCTGTGTGTATGTGTGTGTGTGTGTGTTTAAACAAAAGAGAGTGCAAAAGGTGTGAAAGATCGATTGTGATGTATCGCTTCACGCTTATCTCGCGAACTCTCTTTCTCTCTCTCTCTCTCTCTCTCTCTCCTCGGTGAAGATTCCGCGTAGTAGAGGAGCGAGAGAGGGTGTGTGCCTTGCTGCTGCTGCTGCTGCTGCTGCTGCTGCTACTCTGCTTGCCTTTGCCGGAATGAACGAGAGAGCATCAAACAGATTCTTCGCGGCCACGTTGTTTCTTTCTCTCGTCGCCGGTGCGCCAGATAGCTTTCTTTTCCACCACATCGCGTCTCTGCGCTTATTCTCCGCAATTTCATGTGGGCGTCGTTGTTGTCGATCACATTGGCTGCAACGCTCCCGGATAAATCGTCGGCTATTACCTGCGAAGGCGTGCGTGACCGGGTCGTTTATGGGGGGGGGGGGGGGGGGGAATTGCGATTTAGCGATGTCAGAGAGGGGCAATTCGGTCCGTCGTTCTCGCCATACGCTTAAAGTCGGCCACTCGAACACGCACGTACACACAGCAGCGCGCATCAAGTAAAATCACCGCGTAATCATGGATAGTTAGCGAGATATATAGTCAAAGCCTGTTTTGCAGCAGAGAACAGGGGCGAGAGCAGTGTGTACTGATTACTCTGTGACTGAGACTAGATAAAATATACACACGCATGTACGCAGGAGCGTGCACGGTTCTCTTTCGAATATGCATACTTTTTTCTTTTAATTCTCTTGCTCTTTTTTTATTTAACATAACTTGATGTTTTTCATAGTTGTGAGATGGATACAGTCAATAAGTACAAACGATACGTTTGTATTTTTCTTGTGTGATATAGTCAGACAAATAAAGTGGACACGAGCTGGAAGAGAAAAACAAATGGGAATAGTTGGCAAGGTCCAATGCAGAATACGGCAGTGCGAATGCAAACTCGGAAAATGTCCTTTCGTTTCAGTACAAATTTGAAACGAAACAAAGACATGTGTTAAAGTGCTCCACTATCTCTATTAAGATCCCCCTTGTATCACCATAACGTTCAATAAAATATGTACAATAGATGAAGGTACGTTGACTGCGGATTTCCTTTAATCGTGTTCATGAACGACAGATAATCTGGAAATTATAGCTAGAGATGTTTTACGTTGTATTGTCAACCGTTCAAAGTTAAAAGCTTCGATACAACACCTTGATCGACATCTTTTGCATGAAGTAAATTTATAAAAAATTGAGCTGTACGCGATCAAATTGAAAGCTTTAACCAGCAGTCGTTTAATTTGCACAAAAACTATTCGTGCATCGATTTTTCATTTACAAAAGTGGATCGTAACGTCTATTTTCGAGAATTCACTCAAGCACTTATAGCTTGGGTTCTGTGCCGTTTAAACGTAATTTTACAGTATTGGGACATATACAGAAATACACAGATGTATCTTTAGATATGTCAAACTCAATCAGATAACCTCTGATATTCTTTAATTTTCATATGCGATATTGCAGCTTGTAATTCGGTTTAATATCGTAAAATTGAAGCTACTTTAAAATTTTGTCAAATAAACTCGTCAGAACATATAAGTTTTTGGGATAAACATATTAGTTGAAATATAGAAGCATCTAAAGATATATTGAAAATAATAGAATGATTAGGATATTTGTACCAGCTGATATGAACAAAAACGTTTTCGTTATTAGAAGATACATAAATTGAACAATTGAGGATTCAATTTCTCTGTGATTCACCTGTTATTGTTAAAAACTTCCATCAATTTTCTTATCTATCATCGTCAAGTCAATTCTACCACAAAAACTTTCCAATATAACGCAGCGACATTGTCAACGATAATATAATGCGTTTATTTAAATTCGTTCAATATGATCAGGACCAAGTATTCTTTTCTCGAACTTTCTGGTTTAAAGAGTATCATTGACATGTGTAAGCATTCAAGATAACATCAACCTCGTACCTATAAATTTCACACAGAAATTTATAAAACTTAGTATGCGATTCCGACGGCTTTTAAAGCTGTCGATTTTCCGACAAAGATAACGTGTGTGCTGCAGTCTCACCTCGTACTGCGTTTATATTTAGGACTAGCGCACGCTTTTTCAAACTCCAAGTTACACGAGGTATTTCATTTTCTTCAAGTTTATTTTTACGAAGAACGGAACAACAACGCTCCGTTCTATAACCGAACAAAGTTGAATGAACGCGTACAATATCACAGTTCTAACTTTGAGAGTTTCTTGTTCTACAGCCGTTGATCCAATCATAAAATACGAATAGAACATGGTGCAGAAGTTTGAGTGATTGATAAAACATTACTCAAAGTAAACAAGTCCATAAAAAGAATAGACCACCTGTCATAATCACAATGGCATTTATCTTATAACATTGCTCCCACAAAGACACACAAAGTAAATTTTTTAAATGTCTTAAAAACTGAAGTAACTACTTTTTCATCGAAAGATATATTGTTCTTGAATTAGGATGTTTTTTTCATTTTAAGATAAATTTTACAACATTTAATACCTTCCTTTTATACTGACAAAATTAAAATATTTAAATGATTGTCTCAATACCTTCTATCTTAATAATTTAAACAAATATTGAACAGACTACTGATAGAATATTTACAATTACTCAGATACCTGGAAGGTTAAATACGGAAGCTACTTTAAACATTCTATCCGGACTAGACAGAAGTTCTAGAAATTTAAATATGACATAATTTTATCTGTACTATATTTCACGTGACGTCAAAGATGAATGAATTTGATATCGTTAGAAATTGTATGAAAGAAGGAAATGAATACGCGTAACTTTCATGAACTCTAATACGATGAAGAAGTATACGACATGTAAATAATGTCAATCAAGGAAGCTGAATCGTTGTGACGTACCTAAAATGTTAATTAAAATGGGCGACAAAAAAAAGGGAGAGTCGGCACTCAAAAACTCGACGCTTTTCATTCGTAATGATATTTTATGCGCGCAGCAGTAAATCATAAAAAAAAATACGCGTTGCAAGCGCGAAAAAGTTTTGCTTTGTGCCAGACACATAGCGACACGAATAAAGAGAATGAGCTCTTTTTCAATTTCACAAAGTACCGCAATTTCGTTGGATTCTTACCTTCTCTCATCTTTGTGTCACTCGGGACAATATAAAGGTCATTTAGACGCGAGCACGAAATAAGAATTCGCACATGTCGCTCGGTCAATTATGAGGTTTATCTCGAAGACAAAAAAATGAATGTACAAATTGGAAATTAATTGCATTTTTATAATGTTAGAGTACATTTATTTGCGCTATAAACAAGAAGCGCAACCATATTTTTGAGCTATTCGCAGGTGGAAATATACTGCGATGTTGGAAATCGGAATTTAAACGATAATAAGAAAGGAATGGAATTCAAGTCTCCAACCAAGAGACAAGAGATTAGAACTATAAATCTGTCGCGGCTATAAAGCTAACCGTAAGTTTCAGGGCTGACTTCTACTTACGCCAAGAAACTTAGCGTCGACTCCGGACATACTAGACTTACTTGTATATATGTATATATTCTCAACTTTTACGATATACCCATTGAATTTCGACGCTTTTGTCTTTCAATTTGAACTTGATCATCACGCTAAATCTATTTATTTTGGGACAAGGTTGTATATGCGTGATTAAGCGAAGCTGAAAATCACACGTGTACAGGAAAACGAAATGAGAATGCTTAAGAAAATGTGCTGCCTTCTCTCGCGTCATCTGACATTTCGTTTGACCTTTGCGTTCTTGTCATTTATTTCGAAACGATTGATGTTTTTAAAATGACTAGCACGTACTTAAAAAAAGCTTTCAAAGCTATACTAATATAAAAAAAAGTTTATAATATTATTTAGGCTGTGTCAGAGCTTTGAGTATTCAAGTTTATTCGGCTCAATATCCTTAGAATGTGTACGTTTTTTTTCTGTTAGATGTGTTTTGGAATCTATAGCCCTAATGCTGCTATCGGATCATGAAACAAATTAAATAGATGTTTTGACGTAATTGTCACGAAAGTATTTTGCAACCCCAGAACGTGTCGATCAACATCCTATGCTGTTGATTATATGACTTTTCTTCTTTGATCTTTTATGCAAGTTGTGACTTTTACAACAATTGCAATATATAGATACAAATATCAGTCGTGTTCGTGGATTCCAAAATTTCATAAAAGTAATAGACACTTGATTTGATAAAGAGATCGGGCTTTTGTCCAAATCATCGATTCTCACACGTTCGCAAATGTACATTAGATAATCTCCAACTGATAAGTCACAAAAGTTGATAAAAAAAAGAACGAACGCTCAACTTTCAACTGTTCAAAAGGATAATCTATTAGCCAGCTGTCACTCAGCAATAACAATCCGTCGATCGAGCAAACAAAAGAAGAAGGGGAAAAGAGAAAAATTGCCGAGCAACGGCGGCATATCGAAGAGCAAGCGGGTGGTTAAGGGGGGTTCGAGAAAGGGGGCCAAGTCGCGATGAGGCGCTAGTCTCGCTCGTGCGCGTTCCAAAAATACACTTGACCTTTCCTTTCGATCCTGTCCAGAAACTCCTAACGGCGGCGGCGGCGGTAGCGGCGTTGCTCCTAATTGCCGAACGCCGCATATGTCGTACCTCCTACCCCTGCGCCTCATACACACGCGATTCGTGCCACTCGTCCGACCCTATACCGAAAGTTGATTTCTCATTATACGCTTAGGCTCCTTTTTTATTCTTCACGCTACCACTACCTACTATGATTTATGCACCCCTGGCACGTATACTCCTGCTTTTATGTACTCTCGTCCCAACTAAAAAAAGATGTAAAATTTATACTTGCTGCTCGCGCGAATTCTGGTTTTCTAGCGATAAATTGCTGCGGTAATGAGACGTCGTTTGCTTCGTGCATCGATTCCATGTGGTGCGGCTTATTTTTTTCCTTTTTTTTCGT